CGAAGGGACGGCATGAGTGAGGTGAAGAATCCTGGCTGTCAGCAATGAGTAACCAACCACTTCACGTTCACCGTCAGCAGGACGATTCATATATCATAATTGACCGAGTTTTCGAGGTTTCGAAGGATTGGGCCGAGGTGTAATCGGCATATGACAGATGTTAAAGGCTGCTGACAAGTGATGTTGTACATAGTACGGTGTGCTTGTACAGGGTAGCTGACTAGTTGGAGTCTACAGAGTGCAGCCATATCCATCAGGCTCGCATGATCAATCCCGACAATATCTACTAGTCTCAGACCACGACTCGTCATACGGATTCCCGACGAACTCACTACGACCAGCATGACAAGCAGGTCGATATACCATCAGTCGCTTGTCAGTAAGACACGGTTTACGAAATTAAGGACCTCCCAGGCACAAACCGTTCTAGCCAAAACGCCCAAGCCTTGCCCGCTCGCCTCGAAAACACGGCAAGAAATGACCTATGCAGACTCCATAGACTTGTCCAGAACTTCGCTTTATGGATTATCGAATCGAGAGCCCTCAGCGCTAGCTGAAGGCCAAGAAAGCGGCCTGGTCTATGGGGACTTCATGTAGACGTGGGGCCTTGTGTAGACGCTTGACGGGACTTGGATGAGATGACATCCGCATCCATTTCCTAGCTGGACTGGTTCAAATGCCGGAATTAGGTACCTTGCTAAACCGTGCGAAACCCTTCCTCGATATTATACTGTAGCCAGGCTCCTACTTACATTGTCGGACATTGCACTCCGTACAACCCAGCTATTATGCCCTATCCCCGCATATTGTAAGCCAAGAACGAGCAGAAATCCATGGTATACCATCTGCAATTCTAATTGCCGGTGTTCCAACTTCCAATTTGGTTTCTGACAGAAGTAGAAGCCTATTATCAATCGTCTCTGGAAGACATGGCTCCTATATACCAATCGGCGGAAAAGAATCCGACGCTTCGGAAACGCTCTACTCTGGGTGCAACGGCGAATATCTACCAGCATCGTTCGCAGTCCCTTTGCACTTGGCGGATTTCCTGCATATTGGATCCGGAATGACACCAAATCCAGCTTCATCATCGTCCTCTCGACGGTCTGCCAAGCGACGCAAAGTGACCCGCGCTTGTGATGCTTGCAAAAGCAAAAAGAAAGCTTGTACGGGCACAATCCCTTGCAGGCCATGCGTTCGAGCCCAGTCTGAATGCAAGTACAATGCTTCGTACAGTCGCGGTGCCTTAGTGACTCCTCAAGCCTCCGACGGTGCTTGTCTTCATCATGTTGACACTTCTTCGCCCGTTGAGGCAGCATCCGCGGGAGGAGGATCCACTGCGGAAACCCCTTACGAGTCGCAAGATCCTGATCTAGTCTTGGATGTTGCTGGCCAGTACTGTGGTCCTGCTTCTGCACACTCTTTCTTGGGCCGTGCAGTGCAGAATTTCTCTCATACTTCCCGGCCGTCGATATCAACGGCGCCCCCGGACTTGGAAACATCGTCATCACCCGCTGTATCCATCTTCTCGTATGGCGATCGCAAGGTTCCGGGCGTGGATCGCACTCGCTTTCACTGGCCAGATGTTAGGGTTGCAAGGGAACTAGTCCGGCGATACTTTGACTTTGCAGCCCCGACCTACCGTATCTTACACCAAGGCATGGTTGGCAAATGGGTCGATGATATCTACCATCCCCAATCGCTTTCCAATCCCTTGTCTGCAGCGACTCAGGCAACATTACTCATGGTTTTTGCGACCTCGTTGATGTTCCGCGGTGATCCAGAACGTATCCGCGATGCCGGTGATGATGGATGGCTTCATAGCGAACTGTACTATGCCATGGCCGAGTCTAGCTTGGCCCATGAAGTAGGGATGCCAACACTGGGCTCCGTTCAGGCCCGCTTCTTGATGGTTCTATACTTGCTGTGCTCTTCGCGTGCCAACCAGTCATGGTTCACTTTTGGTACGGTGGTGCAGCTCCTCATGTGTCTGGGACTGCATCGCGACCGGCCATTGAACGCATCGGCCTCGGTGGAAGAGCGCATTACTCGAGAGTGTGAGAAGCGCGTGATCTGGTGTGCCTATACGTTGGACAAATATCTGAGTCTTATCCTAGGACGCCCTCGATTTCTGCAGGAAGAGGACATTGATCAAGAACTCCCCGCTGCTGTGGATGATGACGATTTGGGCCAAGAGCAGCCCGACGGAAACAGCGCACATAAGGATTGTACTATGAATGCGCCCATACTCCATGCTTTGCTGGCTCAGATCCTGTCGCGTGCGGCCAAGGAACAATATGCCGTCAGATCCATCTCGGATGCACAGCAGATGCAGGCCATCGAGTCGCTTAACGAAGCTATTGAGGCGTGGCATGCACAATTGCCCCCGATTCTTTCCGGTGCCATTCAACCAAGTAGCTTGATCCCCCTGTTCCGTCGTCAACTCACCGTGTTGCAGTTGGCGCGCTTCCACGCAATTATGTTCGTGACGAGACCGCTGCTGCTACGTAACTACGCTGCCAATCTCCCTGGCCACGAAAGTTCCTATCGACATTATCTCACCACTTGCGTTTCGGCGGCCAATGACACGATATCGCTCATCCTGAGCTTTGCCAAAGAAGAGCAGCTTTTCCCGGCCTTTTGGTACTCGCAATACATTGCCTTCAATGCCCTATCGGCAATATACATCTATTTGATCCAAATGAAGCGCGGGCGCATTCCATCATGTACAACTCAGGACCTGCATGAAAATGTACTGTACGAGTTGGCCGAGACCGCCCAGCACCATCTGGCACAGGTCACGGTTCGAAACGCTCCATCCTGGCGATACAGTGCCATCCTGCAGGGTCTTCGAGGAGAAGTTAACCGCGTTCTGCATCAGGATGGATTCCAGAGTAGAGGGAGCACCCGACCAGGACATGCTAAAACAAATCGAGCGGCAGCCATGCGCACCCCACCAGTGGATCCCATGTTCAGCCCTCAGCCATCGAGCACAGCTGTCTATGAAGGACGCCCAATGGAGGAAGAAATGACAGCTCCTGGATACAATATACTCGACCCACGCGCGGAAAGTCTCTTTGGGAGCTTTGCAATGGATGGTGATCCGTCGTTGAATTTTTGGCCACAGCTGGACTGCTTGCCCATAAGTGCGTTCTCCCAGGCCTGTTACGTTTTGTTTACTGATCGTTGTAGTGTATCCGGAACTCTGGCCAGGATTCGGGGAGTATCTCAGCAACCAGCGAATCGTATGATATATGATATATTATGGACAAACAGGATACCGTTGTCAATCGTGAATCCTACTGGTATTAAACTGTTTCTTATGGGTTATGGTTATTCTGTGTGCCTAGTCTAGAGACGTCTTATATATCCAGCAATACCCGCGGTATTGTGTACTCCGTACGGCTTCTGCGACCAACAAGAGCATTCCTGTTGTGTACCTGACTATCCTTACATAACGATAATTGATCCCCAGGATGATCCCAGCTTCGAAAATTCCCGAAAAGCAGATGAAGAGAACCGGATCCTGCTCTTCCGATTCACGTGGGCCCATTAATAATATGACGCTGTTGCTTGGACATTTAAAAATAAAACAACGTCGGAATCCATTCAAACCTATCTGACTAGTTTCCACGGATCAACGTTAAAATGGACGTTTTGTTGGATGTACTAGATACGTTTGTGCTGGATCGCGCATACGCCGCGGTCTTGCCTGTCCACGGCAATCCCATCAGGCCCTCTGTACTGTACAACGAGAATGTCGGCCGTTATCTAGAGCTTATGCCTACTCAATGGGCGTACCTTTCGCGCTTGCCTAGAGAGTCTATTTTACGACAGTCTTTGAGCTTCTTTATGATCACTTGGTGAGTATCCCACGCGGACAAAATGGCAGAATTGCATGGATTGACCAATTGGATTTTTAGGGTCTTCGGTCTGCTCCTATACTTCCTTAGCGCAACGATCTCCTACTATTTCGTCTACGACCATCGAACTATGCAGCATCCCAAGTTTCTGCGCAACCAGATCCCCATGGAGATCCGGCAGGCACTGAGTGCGATGCCCATCATGTCTGCCTTGACAGCCCCATTCTTCGTGGCCGAAACGCAAGGACTCACCAAACTCTACGATTTCCCGGCAGAGGCCCCGTTTCCTCTCTACAACTACATCCAGTATCCGCTGTTTATCGCATTTACGGACTTTGGCATCTACTGGATTCATCGTGGATTGCACCACCCGATGATCTATAAGCGGTTTCACAAGCCGCATCACAAATGGATCATCTCGACTCCGTATGCCAGTTATGCTTTCCATCCATTGGATGGCTGGGCTCAGAGTGTTCCGTACCATGTGTTCCCAGTTCTGTTCCCTCTTCAGAAGGCGGCGTATCTCGGTCTCTTTACCTTTGTCACTATCTGGACTGTCATGATTCGTGAGTTTTTCTCCGGGTTAGTGGCATTGATAGAAACTGACTTTGTACTAGATGACGGCGAGTATGCGATGAATTCGCCTGTGGTTAACGGGTCTGCCTGCCATACTATTCACCACTACTACTTCAACTACAACTACGGCCAATTCACCACATTCTGGGACCGCGTAGGTGGCAGCTACCGCAAGCCAAATATCGAGCTGTTCGACCGCGAGCAGCGTATGGAGCAGAAGGAGATCGACAAGCAAGTCAAGGAAATGAACCAGTTGGTGAAAGAGGTTGAAGGCGAGGATGATCGGTGTTATAGCACAGGGACTGAGAAGAAAGTTTCATGAGAAAGAGAGCTGCTCTTGAGCAAGAACCGTAAAAATTGATAGACAGAACTGTACATAAATAGTAGACCATGATTACGACCCTCTACGATGACTCACAGAATCCGAGTGAATGGCGGAAATGTATCCTTTATCCGTTTCTACTGTCGATATCCGCATCTCGGACTTGGTCCGCACGACCATATAAATACAACCGCACCCGTCATCCTTTGCTCGGAAGCTAATAACTCATTCCAGACAAAATGCCCCTTCCTACGCACTTCGTCCTCAACACCGGCGCTCAGATTCCCGCCGTCGGTTTCGGCACCTGGCAAGCTGCCCCGCACGAAGTCGAGCGCGCTGTGGAAGCCGCCCTGCGAGAGGGATACCGTCACATCGACTGCGCTGCCATCTATCGCAATGAGACGGAAGTTGGCCAGGGAATCAAGAACTCCGGTGTGGCGCGCGAGGAGATCTTCTTGACTAGCAAGTTGTGGAATACCAAGCATGCACCCGAGGATGTTGAGGCGGCGCTGGACAAGTCGTTGAGCGATTTGGGTGTTGCGTATCTGGACCTGTACCTCATGCACTGGCCAGTGTAAGTCTGATGGCCCTGGAGAAATGCGTCAAATGCTAAAAAAAAAAAAACAGCGCCTTCGCACGCGGAGACAAGTGGTTCCCTCTAAACGATGAAGGTGTTTTCCAACTTGCCGACATCGACTACGTGACCACCTACAAGGCCATGGAGAAGCTGTTAGCCACCGGCAAAGTCAGAGCAATTGGCGTTTCCAATTTCAACATCCGCCACCTCGACCGTCTCATCTCCCAGGTCGATGTCGTTCCCGCCGTGAACCAAGTCGAAGCGCACCCTTACCTTACCCAGCCCGACCTCCTCCAATACAGCCGCAGCAAGAACATCCTCCTACAGGCATACTCGCCTCTGGGCAACAACCAAACCGGCGAGCCCCGCACCGTTGACGACCCGCTCGTCCACGAGGTGGCTGGGAGGCTAGGTATGGACCCTGGCGTCGTCCTGGGGAGCTGGGGAGTTCAGCGCGGCACAGTAGTCCTGCCTAAGAGTGTTACTCCCTCGCGTATCGCGAGTAACTTGCTGGTCAAGGAGCTTCCCGAGGATGCGTTTGCGCAGCTCAACTCGCTGGAACGGCATAAGCGGTTCAATTTCCCGGGGAGATGGGGATATGATATTTTCGATGAAGTTGGCGAGGAGGCCGTTCAGCAGATGGCGAAGGAGTCGGCGGAGACGAATAAGGTCAAGTTTACTGTATAAAAACCTGTTATATATAGCTGTTCTGATCCAGTATCATGGATAAAATCATCATGACTTCATGAACGTCGGTTACCATAAATGAAACCAGGGTTTACAAGTAAAACCAATGCTCGAGAGATTAAACCAAATGTACGACGGCCCTATCTCCTTGCTTAGATCACCAAAATAGGAATAGTTTGACACAGAGAGGATCGACACCTCAGGTCATAATCATGCTGTTCCTGTCAGATAAGATTCCCATAAACCTGCGTGCCATTCCTTCCGTGGCCACCAAATTTATTCAAAAGGTCAATTGCCGTACACATCGGTGTGTTGAACACTATCTTGAGTTGTGATGTTTTCCGCTGTTTCCCTAGCTGCGGCGGGGTTCCTGGGCCTAGTCACATTAACCCGTTGCGAGGAGGTTTCTAGTCTACGTTCAAACTATGCGCGAGACTTTCAACTGACACACGACTTTCCAATTGCTGGAAACAATGGATCAAGTCTGTTTCCTATGCGCCCATGCCGCGGTTTTCAGCTGGAAGAAGCGAGTATAGACGATATCCAGAGGTTGCTGACATCGCGGGCCCTGTCCAGCGTCGACCTCGTGTCCTGCTATCTGGAGCGCGTTTATCAAACCAGCAACTACCTCAAGTACGCCCACAATCCTCACATGTGGCACTGAATTGACTAACTGTTATCAAGTGCCATTTTGCAAATAAACCCAGATGCCTTCACGATTGCAGAAAAGCTCGACGAAGAGCGCGACAGCGGCAAGGTCCGCGGTCCGTTACATGGGATCCCATTTATCGCAAAGGATAATATAGGCACAAAGGACCGCATGGAGACTACATCTGGTAGCTGGGCGCTACTGGGATCTATCGTCCCGCGGGATGCGTTTGTGATACGCCAGTTACGTGAAGCAGGAGCTCTGTTGCTGGGAAAGGCCGCGTTGAGTGAATGGGCCGACATGAGATCGAACAACTACTCGGAAGGCTACTCTGGTCGTGGAGGCCAGTGCCGCAGTGCTTATAACTTGACGGTCAATCCGGGAGGGAGTAGCTCTGGGTCTGGAGTCGCCGTTGGTGCCAACCTGGTCCCCTTTTCCCTGGGTACGGAGACGGATGGTAGTGGTATGTGGGCTCTTGACAAACGTTCCACCTCGTTGCGCGACATCTCTAACGGTGATATAGTAATCAACCCAGCACAACGCAATGCTATAGTCGGTATCAAACCCACAATCGGCTTAACATCGCGCAGCGGTACTATCCCCGAGTCGTTGAACCAAGATACCGTAGGCACATTTGGGAAAACGGTGCGCGATGCAACCTATGCGCTAGACGCCATCTATGGTGTAGATGAACGCGACACTGCTACAGATTCGCAACAAGGGAAAACACCCTCTGGAGGCTACACTCAGTTTCTGAGTAACAGGACCAGTCTCCAGGGCGCAGTATTCGGCCTTCCATGGGAATCCTTCTGGAAACTAGCTGACCCAGAGCAGCTATCCCAGCTAATGGAGCTTGTGGGTCTGATAGAGGAAGCCGGCGCTACCATAATCAACGGAACTGAGTTACCGCATCACCAAAAGATTGTCCCGCCTACTGGTTGGGACTGGGATTATGGCACCGTGCGTGGTTATGCCAACGAATCCGAATACACCTACATCAAAGTCGACTTCTACAACAACATCAAGGCATATCTTGCAGAGTTAGACAACACCTCCATGCGCTCACTAGAGGATTTAGTCGCGTACAACGCCGAGAACGCTGGCTCCGAGGGCGGACAACCTGACGTCCATCCTGCGTTTGCTTCTGGACAAGACGGCCTCGAGGCATCTCTAGCGACCAAAGGTGTGATGGACGAAACCTACTGGCAGGCGCTTTCATTCTGTCATCGAACCACTCGCGAAGAAGGAATCGACGCAGCTCTGCAACATGGCGACCGCGTCTTGGACGGCCTTCTTGTCCCACCAGATGTCGCTCAAAGCATTCAGATCGCAGCGCAGGCTGGATATCCAGTGATTACTGTCCCGGCTGGCGTAAACCGCGCTTCTGGTATGCCGTACGGACTGGCGATCATGCATACGGCGTTTGCGGAACCGACATTGATCAAGTACGCGAGTGCTATTGAGGATTTGCAGAAGACTACGGATACTCAGTGGAAGCGTACTTTGCCTGAGTGGCGTGGATATCGGACTCGTAATATTCCTGTAATTAACGCATAGATGCACATCTTATGTACTCTTCGTGCTCACGAAGATCATGCGGCCAAATATATCTCAGAAATGGATGACTGTTAGGACTGGGCAGAGGTGCTGCGTTTGTACTATACGATCAACCCTTGTATTAGTTTCGCGATTTTACGCGGACGATCAAGTAGTAGGGTCATTCTCGTGGCGTGATGACTGCTTGCTGTGCCTACCATATTGAGATCTGGTATGAAATGGCTAATCGGAATCCCCTCCCCCCTGATAGCGACTACTACATTGGACTCTAGTGTCCCAGAGTACAGAGGGCAATAGTCATCATCCCGAAGAAGCAGAAGAAGTCGTCCGGATTCTTCAAATCATGAAGTTGCCCAAAACCCATCTAATCACTTACGTACCGCCCATAACCAGACAGGCGATGCATTTTAGCGGGATACAGTTTTACAACGTCCCGACACTCAAGCAACCAGTTCCTACACATTTCATGACAGAGACCGGCCTGGTGGCAGGGATAGTGATGGTGATATCGGCCATGGAGGTGGAGAATAATGGCAATTTTGTGACATTCTGGGAATAATTGGCTATGTACTTCTTTCTTATTTACATAATTGAATGGAAACGATACTAGATGGGTATTGCGCGTTGAAACAAAAGAAAAGCAGGGGTGTTCGCGTGCTTATGCCGTGGCATCTTTTTTCAAACCCATCTTGAACAGAGGCGAGCTTTGCAGATCTTCCCAGTTATGAATGGAGACACTGTTCAAGTTGGACGACTCGACGACCTCCCGTCCTCTGACCAGGACTTCTTCTTCATAGGCCTCGAGTGCCAGTCGGAGGGCACCGGGGGACTTGTCTTGGAGTTTGGTGATCCCACGGCTGAGGGAGGCGGCATCGAGGATGGCGTTGTTCAACCCTTGGCCGCGGTCTGGTGCCATCAGTTATCATTCACGGTATGTCAAGAGAAGAGAACTTACGGAAAGTCATAGGATGAGCTGCATCACCGACCAAGGTGAGAGTACCATTGTGATTATCCCATGGCTGAGTCTCCCAGTACGATAGGCGACTGTGCCATACCTTGGTACCGGGGGCAAGGGTCTCGAAGACAGATCGGAACGGCTCAGCGAAGTGACTGGCCTTCTCCTTGAGGTCATGCAGGATAGCCTCCCCAGACAGTCCGGTATCATTCTCCGAGATCCACGACATCAGCAGCAGAAACTCGGATTCAGCAGGGTCTTCGGTTTCATTATGAACTATACACAATCAGCATAAACTTATGGCACAGGTTCCGGTGGTACAGATACATACTTCCGACCCAGCAAAAGTAACCGTCTGGGTGGAACACGGCGCAGTACCGGGGATGCAATTTGCGCACGGCATTAGCCACATCAACGGGAAGTCTAGGGGTCGCGATCGACGAGACGACAGGGGATGGCTTGAGAGCTGCCTTTTCAGGACCCATGAGATACTCCCGAACTCGCGAATGGGCGCCTTCAGCCCCGATCAGTAGTTTACCGGTGGCTTGGGAGCCATCTTCGAAGAATGCGGTGACGATGTCGTTATTTGATTCGACTTTGGCCAGACGTTTTCCGCGCTGCGTGGATCAGCAAATGTATACGCATACCCCAATGGTTCGCACGGTCGCATACCTCAATGTCCAACCCAGTGGAGATGAGCTGCAGGAACTTGCGCCGCTTGAGACGCAAACTGTACGGCGCCGGGACATCAACCAGTTTCTCCCCAGTCTTGCCATTGAAGCCGGGCAAGATATCCGTCGCAGCTGGAGTGTGATTGTCTACCTGGCAATTCTCGAGCTGATCGAGCAATTCAGGGGGAAGACATTCGGACAGGCCAGACTGTGCCCAGTAAACACCGTAATTCCAGTCGCGCGGTCGGAAGGAAGGGTCTTGTTCGAAGATGGTGCAGGGGATGTTTTCCTATTATTGTCAGCTCTGCAGGGAACCGGGAATATTCTGGGCTACATACTCGCTTGAGAACCTGCGCGATGAGGAGTCCAGCAGCGCCTGGTCAGTAGTTAGTATCACTCCGAACCGTAGTTAAGCACTGTGCGGGTCATGGACATACCAGCGCCCACAATGAGAACTCGATCCATTATATATCTGTCACCAATGATGGAAAACTATCCCGACTGCAGTTAATTTATATGCGACGGAGAGAAGCCAGAGTGAAGCAGAAAAACGCGCGAAAAGTAACGGCTTCACGGGATTCTGCAGGCTTTTCCCCATTGAGTAAAGGTCGTTTCGATCTGCGCTGTCACTGCAGATTCTCTCTCCTTTTTCTCTTCACCTCTCTTTACTATAACCCATCTTCTCATATCCACTACTATACTTGGCACTATCAACTAAAATGACCGATCATAATAGAGACCCTCTCCCCAACACGCAGGTATATACATACATACATATGCACCCTTCCCTCGCTGTCAACTAAACTCTGACTTGACAGATTCCCGAACCCCGGATCTCGCCCGAAGTCACCGACGACGAGCCTGACGACGACGATGCCAGCGATTCGGGCTTGGATTCCGAGTCCGTCTACTCGGAAAGCACCTCGCTTAGTTCTTCAGTGACCAGATACCGCGAGGAGAATGGTCGTCGTTACCATTCCTACGGTACTTTTGTTCCTCATTCTCTGTCGCCCTTCAGCCCGGCTGACAGATAAAGGAACCATCGAGCATTGGGGCCCCAACGATGAACAGGCTCAGGAACAGCAGGATTTAAGGTCCGTCCATATAGATCGATATCCCAAATATAACTAACCAGGCAGTCACCACCTCTGGACTCTCAGTCTCAACGGAAAACTCTATCTCCCTCCGATCGACCATCTCCAGGACGTCTTGGATATGGGAACTGGCACCGGAATTTGGGCCATGTGTGTTACCGTTCACCGCGCATACTATAGCATACACTAATCAAAACAGGGACATGGCCGATGCTCACCCCGAAGCCACCGTCAAAGGCATCGATCTCTCCCCCATCCAGCCTTCCTGGATCCCTCCGAACCTGAAATTTGAAGTCGACGATTATAACCTTGAATGGCTTGACCACAACAAATTTGACCTCATCCACGCTCGCGAGTTGCTGGGTACGGTTCCTAGCTGGCCGGAGATGTACCGCAAAGTATTGGGGTAGGTCTACCTGTACACACAAGAGCACGCTGCATACTAACAAACACAGCGCCCTCAAACCCGGTGGCTGGTTCCAACAAGCCGATCCCCAGATTTTGTTGACGTCTAGCTACGACACTCTCGGTCCCGACCATATTTATCACCAATGGAATCCTCTCCTTCTCGATTCCGGAAAAAAGGCTGGCTTGGACTTTGACTCGGCCCCGCGCATGAAAGGCTGGCTCGAGGAGGCCGGATTTATCAACGTGACTGAATATAGAGTTCCGTGGCCGATCGGGCCGTGGCCCAAAGATCCGCACCAACGCGAAATCGGCGCCTTTAACCAAGTTCGTATCGAACAGGGCGTCGTGGACTTTTGCGGACGTCGCTTCACCAACAACCTAGGAGTACGTCAGCATAGCGCTATCGATAGAATCTCGCTGATCTTTATGCAGTGGTCTCGCGCGCAATTGGAGGTATTTGCCGCGTCAATGCGGTCGGCTGTGAAGAACAACAAATTGCTGGCCCATCATTATGTGTATGTTCTTCTTTTGTTGTTTTCAGAAGCAAGCTGACATCCTGCAGGTGGTTTGCCTATGGACAGAAACCCCCTGCGTCGCATTAAATCGATTAAGATACCAACTGCATATATGGCTTTGTATATATAACTTGCATACATTTCTTGCATTAACTGAAAGTAGGCATTGTTATTCTGCGCCTAATCCTCGCGTATATTTGGACAGGCACACAAAACTTAGCAGCAAGAACGAAGCGCAGAGTTCCTTTTGTGCAACTGGGGAAGTATTTTAGGGATCAACGAACCCAACTTCAAGCTCAAGTGGCTTGACATGGCATGCCATTCCAACTCTGGAATGACTTTAGTGTGCCCAGCAACACCCGCATTCCACGCATCGCCAGGCACTATCCCGGTGGTCCTGCAGAGATAATAATCCGACTGGCCGGTACCCCTTAACACTCTACCCCTTTTTAGATCGGGCGAGCGCCTGTTTTTGTCGAACACGCATGCGTTGTTCGCACTACGGCGGAGTGTGAGGCTCGGGAATGCTTGACAATATACAAGTTGTCGCTCTCCCTCCCGGTCTGCAGAACCCGCTTTGCTCATCAATATCAACTTGACCCGCCATGATAGCACAACTCAAGCTTGCGTGCGCCTTCTTCGCAAGCGCGACTGTCGCCACGGGGCCGTTGTACGATTATGTGGTTGTGGGAGGTGGCACCAGTGGGTTAGTTGTCGCAAACCGACTGTCAGAAAATCCCGATGTGTCCGTTGTGGTGATCGAAGCAGGACACTCGGTCCACAATAACGAGAACGTTACTGCGGCAAATGGATATGGAAAGGCATTTGGGACGGAAATCGACTATCAATATGAGTCCGTGAATCAGACGTACGGCGGCAACTCGAAACAAGTGCTGCGAGCCGGCAAGGCCTTGGGAGGGACAAGTACCATCAATGGTAAGTAATCCCCGTTGGAGTGTAACACATTACTAACGCCGGGTAGGAATGTCCTACACCCGTGCAGAAGATGTCCAAATCGATGCATGGAAAGAACTCGGCAACAGAGGTTGGTCTTGGGACAGCCTGCTCCCTTACTACCGGAAGAGCGAAGAACTGACCCGCCCCTCGCCTGCTGAAATCGCCTCCGGAGCATCCTACAACGAATCCGTTCATGGCTACGATGGCCCACTGCACGTGGGTTTCAACGATATGCAAGAGGGCAACCTGACCACGCCGCTGAATCAGACGTATGATAAACTGGGTATTCCATGGGTTGAAGATGTCAACGACGGCCATATGCGCGGATTCAACGTCTTCCCCGAGACTATCAACCACGAATTGGGTGTGCGTGAGGATGCTGCGAGGGCATACTACTGGCCGTACCGAGGGAGGCCGAACTTGATCGTGATGACAAAGGCGCGGGCGAACAAGATTCTCTGGAATGACGACAACGCGACTGATGGTATTTCAGCGTCTGGTGTTGAGATCCAGTCAGACGGTATAACCAGCGTTGTTAGCGCTAGGAGAGAAGTTATCCTCTCGGCGGGGTCGATTAGGACTCCTGCTCTACTGGAGCTGTCTGGCGTCGGGAACAAAGAGTAAGTTCTTCCCTGTGATAGCCTGGCAAGTCTAACCCCGGTAGTATTCTTGAGAAGCACAACATCAGTGTCCGCGTCGACCTTCCCACCGTCGGAGAGAACCTGCAAGACCAAACCAACGCCAACACAATGGCCCTCGGAAACGGTAGATGGACTGGCGTTAAGGCCCTCGCGTACGCCTCATTCTACGATATCTTCGGAGACGACGCTCAAAAGGTAGCTGGATCAGTCCTCCAAAAACTGGCAGACTACGCCGCACAAACATCCGAAGCAACCGGCGGCGTCATGAAGCAAGAAGACTTGGCGAACTTCTTCCAAATTCAATACGACCTACTCTTCTCAAACGCCGTCCCGATGGTCGAGATCTTGTTTATTCCGACCCACAGCCCGATGTTGATCACCGAGTACTGGACTCTCCTGCCATTCTCGCGGGGTAACGTGCACATCAACTCCGCAGACCCCGCCGAACACCCGGTTATCAACCCGAACTACTTCATGATCGACTGGGATTTGCAGGCACACATCAGAGTCACCAAGTTCATCCGCAACATGTACCAAACCGCCCCACTGAGTGACATGATAAAGATGGAACGTGCTCCCGGACCGGAGATTCCCCGGAACGCAACGGACACAGACTGGGAAGAGTACACCAAGAAGAACTGTATGTCTCCAAGCTCACCCCACTCCACACTCATGCTAACCATATCTAGACCGCTCAAATTTTCACCCTGTCGGCACAGCAGCCATGATGCCGCGCTCGATGGGTGGCGTCGTGAGTGACCAGTTGATTGTGCATGGTACTTCTAACGTGCGTGTTGTTGATGCGTCGGTGCTACCGTTCCAGATGTGCGGGCATTTGACTAGTACACTGTATGCGATTGCAGAGCGGGCAGCGGATTTGATCAAGGACGGTGTTTGATTATTGTACATATCATGTTTGTGCCCCGTAGTTGGTACAGTTGAAATGGCTGCTTGATGAAATGTAGGTAATTCTCAATGTTATGATATTCGTTTCATTTGTATGCCTGGCATCTTATCTCCACTCATGACCCGCAATCCTAAACATAGATAAATCTCTACGTACACGTTGGAGCCTATCTCGTTTACCCCAAAGCATCCCCAAAGCGGCAACGAATACGAACGGATACGAAGCCGGAAGACTTCTTAATCGGGTAACAAGTTCGAGTACGAAGACCCGTGAATCGCGATTGCTCCAGCCACAGCCCCTGTGCGAACGATATGAAACGGATTGAATATTATTTGCTAGTCTCAGTATGGACGCCTCCATTCTGGAAAATTGGATGCCTACCAAATATAGTAAGAGATTCGAGACAGTGAAGATAAATACCCTGGGGTGTCCGGCAGAATGGCTATTCTTTTTTTGATTTTAAAGCACTACATACAGCAAATATGAAGATTTCTATCATCTATACTACTCTGTTTGCCGTGTTGGCCACAGCAAGCCCTCACTTTGGTGTGGCTTCGCTGGATAACTGGAAGCCCGCTGGGCATGGTGACTGTATGTCCTTCATGCTCTGTGTATCTGGAATGAAGTGAGCTAACAGACTACAGTCCGCGGCCCCTGCCCTATGCTGAACACACTATCCAACCACGGTTTTCTTCCTCACGATGGCCGCAACCTTACCCGCGAAGTGGTAATCAAGGGTCTGTCGGAGGGATTGAACTTCAACGCTACGTTGGGAAACTTGATGTTTGATATGGCGCTCGTTGCTAATCCGGAGCCGAACGCTACTTACTTTACGCTGTAAGCCAGCATCTCCCGATACATGGATGCAGGGTACTGACGAAGTAGGGACAACCTAAACCGGCACAACGTCCTCGAGCACGACGCCAGCATGAGTCGCACCGACGCCTACCACGGCAACAACCACATCTTCAACTCCACCATCTTCGCCAAGACAAAAGCCTACTGGACGCAGCCCGTCCTCGATGCGACAATGCTCGCCAACGGCAAGTTGGCGCGGCAGATCCAGTCGCGTGCGTCGAACCCGAACTACACGTTTACTTCTTCCATGGAGGAGTTCAGTCTGGGCGAGGTTGCGGCGCCGGTTATCGCGTTTGGGGATATTCAGCATGGAAGGGTGAATCGGTCGTTGGTGGAGTATTTCTTTGGTAAGCTTCTTTTCCTTGTATGAGGGTTGGAGTATGGTGCTGATTGTGTATAGAAAACGAACGTCTGCCCGCTGAGCTTGGCTGGTCGAAGCCCGAGGCGGTCATTAGTCTGGCGGATATTTCCAGAGTGACGGACTTGATTCGGAATGCTACTAGCCTGATTACGCCGACTACGTCGGGTTCCAGTTCGGGGTCGTCTAAGCGAGATTTGCATGGGGGGTTTAAGTGAGCGTGTATAGTGTACTATTGGGTTGAATCCATGTGCAGAATATAACAGCAACTGTCGTCATTATCTTTGTTCTTCTATGCTCATCTATATTCCTATTCATGTGACTATTCATCCAAGCATCTAATAAGCTTCAATGCCGTCTGACCAGGAAGAATCCTCCAATAGATCCTTGCCGTGTCATATCCGTGTCCAGCATAATATGAGCCGAGTCACTCTTTATCAACAATTAACCCCCATACTACACCGGCTAAATCTACCAGTTAATCCCCGCTCTAACACGGGCCAGCCCGCTGGAAAAACCCCGGGTGATATTCTCTCCGCACCCCACGGGGCGCAATCGGGGTTGGCCCGGTTAAAGTCAACGGTTATACTGTATAGACATGGGGTGCATATACTCCATAGTATGGCGTATATGGCGCATAATATAAATGAGATGCTCCCTCAAATTCTTTTTTTTCTTTTCTTTTCTTTGGCAGGTGATAGGTGATTGAATACTTGAATTTTAGACAACATGGGCGCTCCTGTCGAAGCCATCGGCGTCTCAGCCAGACGGGCCGAATTGGCTGGGAACAAAGTTGGATGGCGTGGTTTGGTTAGCAGCAAAAAGACCTTTGGAATTGCGCTGTTTGCCTCATTGGGAGGGTTGGTTTATGGATGTACGTGACGTCTACATCTACTACATGCTCTGGTGTCAGGGGCTAACCGATGCAGACAACCAGGGAATGTTCGCGCAGATCTTGACTATGAGCTCTTTTATCAAAGCTGTAGGATACCTACGCTTGTCACAAGTGCGATCTAACATGAACAGACACAAGGATACGCTGCAGAACCTGGCATCGGCCAAGGAATGCTTACATCGATTCTCGAACTGGGAGCGTGGGTTGGTACACTGTTGAACGGATACCTGGCTGATGCTCTTGGACGGCGCGTTACGGTGGTCGTTGCTGTTGTTATCTTCTGCGTGGGTGTTATTGTGCAGGCATGCACTATGAGCCCCGATTATGTGTATGCCGGCCGATTCGTGACTGGTTTGGGCGTTGGTAATCTGAGTATGATTGTGCCGTTGTATAATGCAGAGCTGGTAGATATTCCTTCTCCGGTTAAGATGATTCCAGTCACTCACTCATGCAGGCACCTCCTGAAATCCGCGGCTCACTAGTCGCCGTGCAGCAACTCGCCATCACCTTTGGCATCATGGCTAGCTTCTGGGTAAGAATTCCTGATACCATGAAACAGAGACGCACCTAATATCAAGTCAGATCGGCTACGGCACAAATTACATCGGCGGCACCGGCAGCACCCAATCCATCGCAGCCTGGGAAATCCCCGTCTGCATCCAAATCCTCCCTGCCCTCCTCCTCGCCTTCGGCATGATGCTCTTCATGCCCCAATCCCCTCGCCACCTAATGAACACTGGCCGCGAGGAAGAATGCCTGCACACACTCGCGCGGTTACGCGATACATCAGCCGACGATTTGCTTGTTCGGATTGAGTTCCTGGAGATCAAAGCGTTGCGGATGTTTGAGGTTGAGACGGCGAGGAAGAAGTATCCACAGTATCAGGATGGGTCGTTTAAGAGTCGGTTTATGATTGGGGTGAGGGATTATATGTCGCTTGTTACGGATAAGTCGTTGTTCAAGAGGACTTCTGTTGCGGTATGGCCTCTGGTTGGTATATATATTGGCCGAGCTGACTCTGGCAGTGCTTGATTATGTTTGCGCAGCAGTTTAATGGCATCAATGGTAAGCACATTCCCCAGTCATACAGGACCACATGCTAACTCCAACAGCAATCAATTACTACGCGTGAGCAACCCATCAATTTCACAATTACAATCGCTAACGAATGCAGCCCCCAAATTTTCGCAAACCTGCACCTCGGCCAAAACACAACTTCTCTCCTAGCAACAGGCATAGCTGGAATTTTTGAATTCGTCTTCACCATCCCCGCCGTCCTCTGGGTCGACAACGTGGGCCGGCGAACGATTCTAATCGCTGGCGGAATAGGGATGGCGGTATGCCATTTCATCGTTGCAGGGATTATCGGGTCATATTCGGGGAATTTCGAGAATAACCCTGGGGCGGGGTGGGCTGCAGTTGTTTTTGTATGGATTTTTATCATTAATTTTGCGTATTCGTGGGGTGAGTTTCTCTTTTACTTGCAAGTGAATGGTTTGGGGTGCTAACGGTGCGGTATAGGGCCTGTTTCGTGGATTATCGTCTCGGAAGTGTTTCCCCTAAGTATGCGTGCTAAGGGTGTGAGTATCGGTGGAAGTAGTAACTGGGTAAGACCCCTCCATTTTTTTCGTTGCAACGCAATCTGACCCGGGAACCAAGCTGAACAATTTCGCCGTCGGCCTCTTCACTTCCCCCTTCATCAAAGCCTCCGACTACGGCACCTTCATTTTCTTCGGCTGTATCACGACTCTCGCCGTGTTATATGTGTTCTTCTTTGTCCCCGAGACCAAGGGCCGGACGCTAGAGGAGATGGATGAGATTTTCGGGGCGCAAGGAGTTGCCGCGGCAGATCAGGCATTGAAGAGGAGTATTGAGCGGGAGATTGGGTTGTTGGCGCTTTTGGGTGGGGATGGGCCGGATGAGGAGGTGAAGGAGAAGAGTGGGGTGGATGGCGATGAAGTCAAGACTGGGACTGGGATCGTGGAGAAGAAGTAGTCGTTTACCATAACAGGGATTTTAATAACGTAGATTCAACATAATATGAACAACTTCGCCATGACCACCTGCCAATGTTCTATCTTGATGTACAAGGGTATTGATGAAACCATGCTTTATGACAAGGTAGGGCTGGCGTAATACCAAAAGGAGAGAATACACAGGAATATGAGCAGCGCCAAAAGTGACAAGTAGACTTCGTTCGACAGCGTTATCGGTCAACATGACATGACAAAAGGAAAAGGCGGACAACAACATCAACATCATGCAGGATATCCGTTAGAAATTCAGGTGCCAAAATGAAAAAGCCCGGAATGTTTGGGGCTAGACAGAGGCAGGATAGAAAAGAAAACAAAACAAAAATAGTCGTGGATCATCGTCGATCAAAGAACCAGCTGGTGCGCTTTCCCGTCGTTTCCTGCGATTGGACTCCTGCGACAGCCGAGTTGGGAGCACTGCTCTCCGATCCTCCTCCGCCACGGAGTGGCTTCGCGATTCTCGAGCCAGAAAAGCTGAACCCGCCGCTACCATCCATGGTAGGAAGCCCTCTCGTCGAGCCCTGCTTTGCAGCCTCCAGTCTCTCTTTGACAGCCGTCAATTGCGCTTCGAATCTGGTTATGGTCAGTATAGTCCGTCAAAATAGAACCAAGGGAAACAAAGACATACCGGTGATTGGCTTGGGTAAGCTTCTCCTGGCTCTCCTGAAGCAGGCTCTCCAAGCTGGCAATCCGCTCGTTTCTAGCAATGAGCTTCCGCTCCGCAATCGCAACCTCCTTCTTCAAACTACTGTTTTGCTCAACCAGTTGCCGTTGCACGTGGGTGAGCTGCTCCAGGTTGCGCTCCAAGAACGCCATCTTCTTCTGCTGAGCGCGGTTGTTCGACGACCGCAGTACGTTGTTATATTGCTCGCGCGCGTCATCCAGCGAGATTTCGAGCTCCACCACTCGCTCACAGCGGTTCTGCAAATCACGCATCAGCGACTTCTTCATGGCGTCAAACTCAGCAATCTGCTGCTGCAAATTCTTGCCAGCGGCACCGTTCGTAGAAACCCGAGATTGTGAATCCGCCAGCGACTGGTGCAACTTGCTGAGTTCCTTATCCTTGCGAGTTATTTCATCGCGCAACTGTTCAGCTGCCTGGATCTCATCCTCCTTGCGAGTGACGTGGAGTTTCTCTAGTCGCTCACGGATTTCGGTCACATCGCCTTCACCCAAGTTCCGCTCCAGAAGACTCTCATGCTCCTTCTCGAGTTCCGCCAGTTTCCGTTCCACTTCCGCTCTACGGCTGTCCTGCAGCTCGCCCAGCTCGCCCCGGTCGTTCATGGTCAGTTCCGCCTGGCGGATGAGGCCCTGGGTCTCCAGGAGACTGGCCCGGAGCTCAAGAATATCATCCGGCGCAATCGTCTCACCAGCTTCACTGACACTGTGTAGTGAGTCCACCCGGCTGATGAGGTCCTGAAGCTTGCGCTCGTTATCGGAGAAGACCTCGCCACCAAGGTTGAAACCAGCCATCATCTTGGCCATCTTCTCCGCCTTCTTCTTCTCCTTCTCATCAAGAGCAGCAGTAGTCTCCTTAGCCTTCATGCGCACATCAAGAAGTTGTTGCTTGACATCATCCAATTCCGCCGTGAGTTCCGCGTTGGCCTCGCGAAGGCTGTCCATGGTGATCGATGCCTCCTTGCCCTCGTAAGACACCTTCTCCAGCTGCATACGGAGTTCATTGATCTCATTGTTCAGCTTGTCATTGTCCTTACCCGAGCGTGCGGAGTTCTCCTTGAGACCCTTCAGCTCGTCCCGAGCTTCACGCAGATTCCGTTCAACATTTACGATATGAGACTCCCGCTCCGCAATCTGATCCTGAAGTTCGTTCTCCCGTCTCAAAAATTCGTCCCTTTCGTCCTTCTCCAGTACAAGACTAGGCGTGCTGGAGCGGTCTCCCATCCTCGAGTCGGGGCGCGGCGTTTCGGAGCGAGGAACCTCTTGTAATCGAGATGGCGTAGCTGGCCGTGGCTTCTCGGCCTTCGCAATGGCCATGGTCTCGTTCCGAGCTGGTGTCCATCGGTCCTTAGGAAGGTTCTCGCCGCTTCGCCATACGTGGACTTCGGACTCCAGTGCTGAAAGGTAATTCTCGAAGCTCGTTACTTGTGTCTGTGCTTTCCGTAGGAGCTGCTTCAACTCTGCCGGACTCAATTCTGCGTTCACCTTCGCCTTGTTCTTGATCGACTTGGCCCGCACACCGAAACGCAGGGTTGAAATCGTTTCAGCGTCGTTGTAGCTACTGGGAGAGCAGTTAATGATCAAGGTTGTTCGCGAGTTACCTCCCAAACTTTCCTGCAAGATACGGGTAAGTTTGGAGTCACGGTACGGAATATGTGTCGATTTTCCATCAGTCAGTGCGTTGATGACCATTCCAAGAGCACTCAAACTCTTGTTGATCTTCTTTGCCTCCTCAAGCGTCTGTCCACTGGCACCGGTCTTGCCAACCTTTTCACTACCCGCCAAATCGACCAAGAAGAGCTGACCACTCTTGGCGGATCCGGTCTCGAGGTTCTTCTGCGTAATGGTAACGACAAAGATCGAATGGGACCGCGAAGACTCCTGATTCATGTTGGTAGCTGCCACAGCTCTGGCCGCACCACCACGGCGCATAACCTCATAAACCTCTTGCACACTGGACACATAGACCTCAACAAGTCCCTTGACATAAACACCCCTCGACTTCTCTTCGTGAACCGGCAGGTTGTCGTTCTGGGGGACCAACAAGTCGCGAATCCGTTCCATGTAGATTTCCATGTAACTAACGCGGACGGTGTATTCGATGTTACTCGGACTCGTTAAAATGCTGGCGAAGATCTGCTCGATGATACGTGGAATGATACCCTTCCCGGTGTCGTCTTCGATATCCGAACCCATCATCGTATACGACTTTCCTGCACCAGTCTGACCATAGGCAAACACTGTTCCGTTGTAACCGTTCAAAATATCGTCAACCGTTGGGCGAATGGAGTACTCGAAGATGTCCGTTTGCAACGAGTCCATGGGGAACACGCGGTCAAAGGTGAAGTCACCCGACCCCTCATGAGACTGCACCAAAAGTATAGTTTAGCCCACGATAGACCCTACCAGCGTGTAATTCAGAAAAGTGAAAACTCACGTTGATGCTGCATGTGTCTTCATTTTCAAATTTCACAATCGGTTGTCCTCCCGATCCCAATTCCACCTTGTTCTGCGGTCGAAACCTCGCAACGACTGTGTACCAAACGCGATTAGCATCGTCGTCGAGCGGGCGACGGGCAAGACAGACGTACCCTTAATGGTATTCGGTGCAGATGACCTGTCATTGAAGAAAGGCACACCATATCAGTTTACCTGCACAGTCAGACGCATTGGAGCGGTGAACCCGCACTCACATATTGCTTGACTCCGACCCAATACTCTGGTCGTGGAGATGAATTTAAAACAATAAAGAGAGTAGCCCCTCGAGGGGAAACACGATCCTCAGGCCCGTCTTCAGGCAACACGCAGAGAAAGACGAAGCAGTGGTGTTAAAAGAGTCCCGAGATCGACGAGAGGCTCGTGGCTTGTCTGTGTCTGTTTTGGGTCAGGGGTTCACGTGCCGAGAAAAGTGGGCGGCGAGAGGGACAGGCGGTGACGCCCTAGTTGGACAGCCAGAGGGGAGTTGTTGGTAATCAATAGACACAATAAAGAATGGGAAAAGGTTGATAAAGAGTCCAAATAGAGAAACTAGCCGGAATCTCGATGGCAAGACAAGAATGGCCTGTGTTCAGCTACACTTTCAGGTATCAAGGCATCAACGGCGACCGTTGGGGAAAAGGCTTGGCATTACTGTCCCGCATCGGAGTCCAATGTCCAATATCGGAGTACAGCACTACGAAATAGAGGATAAAAGAGCAGACAAGGATACAATTCATTATGCATTTCATGACTGAATATATAGCAGGGAAAACCACACAAATGCAAGCTATCTACAAAGCAACAAAGCATACCAGTAGATATTACTCCAAAGCAATTCACCAGGCGCCTGAACCCCGCGCTGTGCATACCGTCCGACAAGGCGAATCCCCTGGGAAACCTATTATAGACATTTAGAAAGTCATACCGTCATAAACCATAGCCTCTGTCATTATGCGAAGAAAGTTCATGACGGGTAAGCGGAGAGCACTGCCTCGTGAGTGAAGGAAAGAAGAAACCCATAGACCCAAGGAAATAAGAGAAAATAGGAAAACGGGAAAGACGGGTACCATCTGCAAGAGACGTCCCGCTAGTCTTCCCAGCTCTTCTCGACGGTCTCACGTACACGTTTGACGTATTCCTTACGGTTGTCTTTGTAGAGGTTCGAGGCTTCCACGTTTGCGGGGGACGATGTATTCGGGTCATTCAATAAACTAAGGACAAATATTAGTACCACAGAAAACGTCGAGTATTCCGGGAGATATTGCGTAGAGAGGAGCCGGCGTACCTCTGAATGCTGGTAAGGATAGCCGCCACATCATAGGTAGGACTCCAGCGGTTTTGGAGAATATCCAAGCACAGTTCACCCGTGCCGTATACATTGGGGTGGAACATCTGGCTAATGAATTTGACACCTGGAGGCTTGTTCGGGTATTGTTCTTCGAAATGCATGACTAGGCGGAAGGTACCATCCTCGAACGGCGTGTCAGCAGGACCGATAATGACGGCATTCCTGTGATCAGAGATCTCGATCAGTTCCTGGGTTTTAAGCACACACTTTCTCGCCATTATAACGTACCATGTCATGACATTGTCTGCTACGGGCGACGCAGAAACACCAGCAGGAGGATCGGTTTGCATACGCTGCAGTCGTGACAAATGACGTTAGCCTATGGAACTCGGCGGAAACTCGGCGGCCGTAGGATATTGGGGTGAGGAAAACGATAAAACCTGAGCTCAAATGAGGCCCTCTGTTTCCGCTCGTCAAGTACGCACCTTAAAATCACGCATAAGACGTCTGCGAGCGGATGTCGACATGGCGGCGGTGTTTGATGGGGACTGGGGAGCTATCGGAGATGAGCAACGAGGAATGCAGAAGATGGCAATGAGTGAAACACACCTGTTTATAAATATCGGAGAGGCAAGTGAGAGCAGCCGAATCCGTCAAATTCGAAACAAGTAGACAAAGAACACCCCAACGAATATTAAGAAGAAAGACCGGGGAAGGCGATGACACCGAAATGAATGCCCGGGGAGGAGGGGAACAATTGGATAGGGCGTTGAAGACCGTGCTGGAGAAACAAACCTTATGGAGAAACTAGTCGAAAGCAGTTTAGCCGGTGTGCCACAGCTTAGGTAATTAGGTCACATGATCGGGACAAATCAACCTCGGCTCAGCGGGTGCCGGCTAGAAACGGCCTTAGTTCCGCTGTCCGAATAGTACTATGAGGGGTGGCTCTTATTATCTTTCTTCTCTTCTTCTCTGACCTCGATCATTGTACAAATAATAGCATTTTCATATCTTCTTCTTCCATTCTACCAAAATGCCTATCCAGACATCAGCAGGCTTGTCAGCCCGTCTCTTCACGCAAAGAACAGCCATCCCCGCATCTCGGAGGCACTTCAGTTGTGCACGTCCTTTACTCAAGGAGATCCAGGATGCTTATATCCTCAGTGCCTCGCGGACGCCTACTACTAACGTACGGACTACCTTACTCTATTGAATGTAAGAAAATTGCTGACTAGATGCTCTTCCGGGCAGTTCAATGGATCGTTCGCCTCCGTCTCCGCCCCCGAACTAGGTGCCGCCGCTATCAAGTCTGCCGTGGGCAAGTCGAAGCTGCCAGTTGAGAAGATTACCGATGTCTACATGGGAAATGTTCTTCAAGGCTCCGTTGGACAGGCGCCTGCTCGCCAAGCCTCGATTTTTGCTGGACTTTCCCCAACCGTCGAATCCATGACCGTTAACAAGGTGTGTGCGTCGGGTCTTAAGGCGGTGGCCCTCGCTGCCCAGAATATCCAGCTTGGTCTCGCGGATGCTCAAGTTGCAGGAGGAATGGAAAATATGTCTCGAGTGCCGTACTATCTGCCGCGTGCTGGCCAGTTGCCGCCGTTTGGTGATCTGAAGCTGGAGGACGGTCTGGTCAAGGATGGTCTCTGGGATGTTTATAACAAATTCCATATGGGCATCTGTGCGGAGCAGACGGCCAAGAAGTATGAGGTCTCGCGCGAGGAACAGGACGAGTATGCCATCTGTTCATACGAGCGTGCTCAGCAAGCTTGGGACGAGAACAAGTTCGCCGATGAAATCGTGCCTGTTACGGTCAAGGGAAAGAAGGGTGACACGGTCATCTCACGTGATGAAGGGTTTGAGAACCTGCGTGCCGATAAACTGAAGAGCCTGAAGCCGGCCTTCCTCAGGGACGGCACTGGTACCGTTACCGCCGGTAATGCATCCACCATGAACGACGGTGCCTCGGCTTTGGTTCTGGGAAGCAAGGACCTTGCCCGCGAGTTTGGTAAGGGTAACCGTGCTCTCGCTCGCATTGTCTCAACTGCCGATGCCGCCATTGACCCCGTGGACTTCCCTGTGGCGCCAGCTAAGGCCGTCCCCATTGCGCTGGAGCGTGCTGGGATTACTAAAGACCAGGTCGCCGTTTGGGAATTCAACGAAGCTTTTGCCGCTGTGATAAAGGCCAACGAGAAGGTCAGTACTACATAACGAAATGAATCGGTATCTCTGCTAACATAATCTTAGATTCTTGGCTTGCAAAATGCCAAGGTCAACCTCCTTGGAGGTGCCATTTCCATTGGACACGCTCTGGGTAGCTCCGGCTCTCGCATTTTGGTCACATTGCTTCACCAGCTGCAGCCCGGCGAGTATGGTGTAGCTGCTATCTGTAACGGCGGCGGTGCTGCTAGCGCCATGGTTGTGCAGAAGCTGGACCAGGTTGACTAAACTTCAAGTGTGATTTTATTGTGAATGTTTATGTTGAATGTCGTGAAACGGCATCTTGATGATATACCCTCGAAACGTGTATTCTATGATAGTATGCGTGTGTTGATACACGATTGAATACCAGTGCATATTATTTTGATCTATAAACAATAGCAGTTTAGACAGGCTTTTCAGAGTACTAACTGAAAATTCAAGGTTCTGACCGATGCTCCGTACTCCGTGCAGAGCATTGCCCTAACATATGCACCCGTTGCGGGGATGTTCTGCACACCATTGGTCGATTTTCAACGCCACATCGAGATCGCAATTATCGATTAGACATTATTGGTCTCCCTTGCATTGTAGTGATGGCTAATAACTCCAATACACAAGTAAATATACATCACACCAGTGGCAAGCTAGATCTGCGTTTAAAATGACTTGACACCTGTCACATATGCAGTTTGCGGTCTTTTCTTCAGTGAACTCTTTCCCTTTTGGGATTGAGTAACGGGGAGAAACCATTTCAGGCTAGCTGGAAATCAAAATATCTAGGGTTGAAGAAATGGTTAGTCTGATTCAGCTCGTAATCCTACATCTCGAAACAACCCAGTCCCTATAACTAATGCATATAAATTGCAAGCCCTCAATCAAATGAGCCGAAGAGAACATGCAGAAGTTGTAGCCGTACTATCGATGTGTCTGTAGCTTTGCCCCCTCTCGGAATATGACCACTCTAATCGATGCACAATGATATTAACGGCGGTCGGTCAGTCTGTGAAGTAGATCATCTCGCTTCTGCACTTCACAATTGATTAGGATGCCTTGATCAGGGGCTGCAGACTATTCTTATAAACTAGTCCCATCCTCTCGGGACGAGACGCCTTGGTACATGCTCAACACACCATGGCTTCCGCAGACACTGACCCTCCTGACCTGGGGTATAAGCAAGGTAATCTGCGGCATGTAGTCACTACAGCAACATGCTTTGCCTTCCTTTTATCAACTGTTTCGGTTGCGCTTCGGTTGTGGGCAAGAAAGATCACCAATACGGGCTTGTTCCTTGATGACTATCTCATTTTGGCGTCTTTGGTTAGTTTTATTGCTAAGCAAGCAAGTTAATTATGCAAGTCACTAACTGGCGCAGTTCTTCTTGTATGGGATTTCCGTCGCGGGTATCGTCCGTAAGTCACCGACCCGAACGACCCAGACATCCACACAAGCATTCCTGACATGCAATAGTCCTGTACAACGGCCTAGGAACACACATTATATACGTCCCTCCAGAACAACTCGTGATCTACTTAAAGGTATCTCATTACCTAGTCCTAAGATAAGCATGGAACGTACTAACAACATTAACCCATTAGACCCTTTCATCCGGCGCCTTCCTCTACCCAGCCTGCATTGCCTGCGTGAAACTTTCCATGCTAGCCCTCTATAAACGTATCTTCTCGCGCGGCCCTATGGTCGCGTTAGCAAATGCAGTGGCCGCCATTGTCTTCCTCTGGGTCTATGGGGTCTGCTTAGTCGCCGCATTTACATGCATTCCGTTCCGAAAGATGTGGGATCCGACTATTCCCGGTGGATGCATCAACCTGGCTCAGTTCTACTATGGGCTGCAGATACCGAATATCGCCACTGATGCGGTTATTATCGTGATGCCGATGAAAATGGTGGCGGACTTACATATTTCAAAGATACGGAAGATGGTGTTGTCTGGTATTTTTGCGCTAGGAATATTGTATGACCATTCCCCGACATGATATGAACAAGACACAAGGAACTAACATAGCCTAGAACTCTAATATTCGACATAATCCGTCTTGTCACACTGATAGAACTCTCCAAAGCCGGAGATGACATTACCTGTACGGACTTCCTTCCCATGGATCGCTATATTCCTACTGATCTCCTCCAGATAACCAAGTCTCATCCAGCGTCTGGACGTGCATCGAGCCAGCTGTTGGTATTACTGCCGCTTGTCTAATTAATATGCGTCCACTGGTGACACATTATATTTCTGAGAGAGCGTGGTGGTCTAGACTCCAACCCAAGCTCTTATCCTCGTCGTGGAATAGCATTGATAAATGAACACGTGCATTAGGTTTCTGGTTTATGCTTGCTTGATATAGACATCCGAGTGGATGGTTAATTCTTTGGGATGTAATATATAAATGTAGACACTAGGGAATCTTTAATTAGACTGACAGGATGTCCAAGAACCCAATCAATGAATTGGAGACCTCACAACCATCGAGATCCAGCCCACCGCATAAATCGTTAGACGTGCATAAACAGAATCGTGCACCTACAGGCTGCCAGAAAACAACTGTAAATAAATGTAAACCTGATCTGTCACTCCTTTGTCCCTTTCTGTCTCCTTTTTCCGTATCTCGCTCAGCTGGTGGCGGTATTAATCGACCTTCAGCATACTGCTAGCTCTGTCAGTTGTGCCTACATGAGACAGAGGATCTTCAACTGCCGGGATACAAGAACTGACTGGTGGCAAGCAACAACTGACTGATATATAATTTGGTATACATTGACCGTTCAGGACCGTGCTCAAGAGAATATCTGGCGTCCATTCAATCAAATTGGCATAACCAACTTCGTATTATTGACGGACGTATGAGAACTATGGGCGAATGAGCTCAATGTACTTTGGCAAGTGCTTGGCCTCCATCTCAGCAAGCAACAGAACAGCTTCAACCTCTTCATAGGAACGCCTTCTAGCTTGTGCCTGCCGTTCAGTGCAAGGGCCGCCTTCAGTTCAAGATGATGGGTTTGCTTATGTATTCGCAAAAATGCCTCACCCGCTAGATTATCTGTGTCTCGGTAAAGGAACAAAGACAACGTGTAGGAGACTCCCCAGCTGTTAGGCCCACTGGGCATGTTTTGGAAGCATCTGCATGGGTTCTTCGGAGAGCTTTTCTGACAATGGTACATATCGGCCTATGTGGCATCTTGAAGACGAAATCCTTGTTGACCTAATACTTGTAGAAAAACGTCGGCTCTGTTCAGTCTGCTATAGTAAATCGCAACGTATGCCTTTCTACGTACTGGTATGTATCTAGATTGTGGTTAGCCAATTAAATAACGTCCATTGCAGCCAGTGGGTCCACGTGATTGCGACTAACCCAGAAAAGGCAACCGAAAATGGATGAGACATCGGAACGGAATTCTGCTCGATAAACATGCAACGCCAGATGGGAATATCTATACACACTCGACCATGTTGAGTCCCGTTACTCTTCGCATTTTTCCTTCTTGTTATGATTGTCTTTCATGGTCGGATGACGGAGAACTCGCGGTTGCTGCTGGGGAATATGTCCACATCCTAGTTTGTGACCCTGCAATGCTTTACCGAATCGCGAACAGTTCTGAAACTAACAAGAATACAGACGCCACGAAGTGCCGCTGAGCAGACAGCAAGTAATACTGGAATCGCTGGAGGCCAATGGCATTTCTCCCGTTTCCGAACCAATCTTTTCACCGCCAGCGAATGGCCCGTGATCTATCCACAAGACCGTCAAACATTCTCACTCGGAGCAGAACAGTCTAACAGTACGATCGTTGGCCTTGAATGGTCTCCTCCAGGACTTGGGAGACACCGACGGTGTGTCCTTAGCGTACTGACATCGAATTTGATGCTTTCTTTCTACGAACCTGTTGGTCTAGGGAAATGGACGCGAGTTGCACTTGTAAATGATGCCTTGAAGTCATATTTTGAACCCCTGATCCAGGAGGGAGGCCTGAGATTACGTAAATTGATGATACGCAGCTTCTCATGGTGTCCACCCATCAAAGCTCCGCGTTCGAAGAAACCCAGTACACCGTACTCGGTGCCAAACACTGAAACGCGCTGGGGCGTGCAGCTGCTAGCAGTAACGAACGATGATAATGAGGTGATACTCCTACAAACGCAAAGATCCAGATCGGAACCCAACTTTTCGGGTTTCTATGGATTCAAGCTATTGAGTGTTACTGCGCTAGATGAACTGGCGGGTAACTATCCCATGGTCCATCCTGGGTCTGTATTCTCCACGACGCTCAGGTCTCGAATCAAGGCTTCAAACCTTTCTTGTGGTCCATGGCTATCTCGAACGTCTGGAACGCAGCATAACACCTACTCTGTGACTAGCAATGTGGCAGTCCTTTACGGCACGAAACTGAGGGCTGTGAAATTGGATGTGACATTGACGTATGAAAATGATACCACTGAATCGGATTCTCGTCTCAAAACAAGCGCTAAAATTACAGAACTTGCCGCACTTTCCGGGGTATGCCATAACAGACACTTCACGGGCCCTTTTCAGTGGCTTTATACTGTAGGTATTGAAACCATGGTCTTGGCTTTCTACTTACCATCTTCCAGGAAGGGTCTCAAGAGGTACTACTCACTGCTGGTATTTTCGGCGGGCTTGCTGCCATGTCTGTCCCCGCTGCTCGATATCAAAAGGGCGATATTGAAAGAACCGAAATACAAACGCAAGAATGGCCATTTCATGAAAACACCGTTACCGGATTACAGACAGACGAGTCGAGACACTGGGAACCGATTAGCGGTAAGATTCCTGTCATCCTACCTAATTCAGTGATTGACAATAACCAGGGATGTTCAGCACATTAAACGAGAGCGATCAACAGCTCACGCTCTACCTAAGCACAATCGGGGGCTACGGAGCGGCGCAAGTATTTAACAGCCTTTCAGACCGCACTCCCTTTTCCCTGCCACCATGGAAAGCCGCAATTGACGACTATACCGACCAGTTCGATATCGACCGGGATCTTGGCGGTATGGTTACCGGAAGGATCTGGGGTTTAGGATGTCACAATGGTCATCTTGCAGTCGCTTTCACCGTGCATCCTAAGGATATGATCGAGTACCGCACTGCCGCAGAAGAACGTACTACGGTCATCTTTGTTCCACTAAACAAACAGAACGAGGGAGAAAGCACAATGGGCATAAGCGAGCTACCCGCAAACCAGACAGCAGAACTGCAACGCGTGAAACGTGAAGCTGTTCTAGGGTACATACTACATTCCGAACAGAGACCCGACGGCTATAGTGCGCTATCCAAAAAGGTGATTTACGCCTCAGCACGCTGTGTTATTCTCGACTGTGAAAACGAGGCACTTCTAGCTCGTGCCCGTGAGTCGTTAGAGTGGTTGATGACATTAGGGGTTCTAGATCTCCATGATGAGATGCCCTGTTCGAGCGTCGTCGAACCGAAATCCCCTGAGACGCTAGAACCACTAGGCAAGGAAATTTTCGAGCAATGCGATATCTGCGACGCTGGTATTGCGTGCAACTCGGTACAAGAGTCTCAGTGTGCAAATGGCCATGTTTTCGGTATGTCATCTTTTCCTCTCCTCCGCTCTCTCTACTTGCTTGTGTGCAATGGACTAATCGCGCACACAGCTCGATGCAAATTGACATTCCTATCCATCCAGGAACCAGGAGTCTCGAAGTTCTGCTCTGATTGCGGGCTCGAATATCTAGATGGCGATCTCCTTAATTCCCACTATTATGAGGATGTTCGCTCGACGTGCCAAATGCTCTGTGATGCATTCGATGTCTGTATTTACTGCGGTGGGAAATTTAGGCCATAGCGTGTTTTGCGTTAGTGATACCACGATTGAATATGGTTTGACTACATGCGGGAAATGTTTTTCTCTGTAGATCATAATAAACCCAGGAATTTCCCAGCTATAGGGTCCCACTCATCATCCCAACGACGCTCACTTTCCTGAAGAGAGCCAGTACGAAGCTTCTCTAGCTTCTTCGAATCCCCAAAGAGATCCACAAGCTGTTCTACAAGCTCGTCCACGCTCCCAAACCCCCTCCCATTGACACCCTCAGTCACCAGCTCCGGCCAGGCTTCGAAGCGGTTCCAGCCCACAACTGGTAACCCAGCACCGAACATGTCGACGACTTTCATTGGCAGGTCGACGCCGCTGCTGCTTCTATGTAGACTAACCCCCAATGAAGCAGATGCGAGGAGCTTGGCGTAGTTTTCTGTGCTTAGCCAGGCGGTGCGAATGCTGACTTTCTGGAGGTGTTCGGCTTTTTCGAGATTGGATATCTTCTTCAGGTACATTTCCTTCTGGGGGCCTTTGCCGGTGATGATGGCGAGGATTGGTGGTAGCGATGGTTTAGAAGTAGTCGCAAACTTGGAGTATTTGCAGAGTGCGTCGATGAGGAGTGAGAAGTCTTCGTCTGGAGTCCAGGATGTTGAACTGACCAAAACCCGGAAATCTTCGGTTCCTAAAGCAGACTTCGCAGAGGCTGTCTCCGGTAGAGAATTGATGAATTCCCGCCGCATTTGCGTATCGGGAATGGGCTGTAGATGACTGGCCGGCCGATCGTGTAGAGGAAATATAGGAGCTTCCAGGGCGAAATCCTTTTTCAAGACAGATTGCATAGCTTCCGTGACGCAGAGATGTGCCCAGGCATATCTGCCAAAAACCCTCTCAAACCATTCCGAAAACCGAACCACCGGATGGGAATCCCCTAGCTTCAGCGCGAGTATCGAGTATCCAAAGTTATGCCAGTCCACGACCAGGTGCGTGTGACGGAGGAAACAAACAAGGGAGACAATTGCGAGTGTAGGAATCGACGGGGGGTTCTGGACAAGGAGCCATTTGGCTGGCTCGGTTTGGTATGCGAGACATCTCCATAAGCTGAGAATTTGGAATATGATTTTCAACGGCGCAAAGAGGAGGAAGAGGAGCTTGTTGCTAGTTTGTAGGAATGCGGGGTGCGGAGGAATTGGAACTATGGTTATTTGTGCGCTGGAAGATATGTCGGGGTGAAGTTCTGACTCTACATCTAATAATTAGCATGCTAATAGATTTAGATTATGGAGCATAGGTCCAGAGCTCACCATGATACCCAATGATATCGACTTGACCACCGTGTTTGGCAACGCTTAGCGCATGGTACTGCATACGCGGGCTGCGGCCAATATCCCCCAATACCAGGATTTGGATCCTTGTTTTGGAATCGGATGATGCATTCTGCTTCGAATCTGAGGCTCGTCTGGGTTCGTATTGCGATGGGAGTAGGAGGATCAGGAACGTGATCGCCGTGGACGCATAGAACGCGAGACTAATAAGGACCTCAATCATGTTGGATGCAATTTTAAATCCAGCTTCACCACTCTGGGCTCTCGATAATGACTGAAATGCCAAAACTAACCCTTTTTTTCCATAGGGGCGTCGATTATTTTTATCGTATCGGAGTTTGTATCTGTCTGCAGATCCCACGGTCCTCGACCTGTCGATCACGTGCCCCGCCCCCTGTGTTATCTCTTGACATGACCTCGAAACGCTCGTCCACGAGCACTGTGACCTGTGTTTTCCGCCACCAGTCTCAATCCGCAGTGTCCTTTTGGAGGTCGGTGCGGTCGTCTAGCAATTGCGACTCTTATCCTAAGCGTGTTCGCTTTAACGCTATGCCGTGTCTTTGGTCGCAATCATCTGGTCGGTCGTCTGCATTGACCTGCTGAAGCTCCCCGACTATCCCCCGGTCTTGGCTGAACGCCCCCAGTCGACTTCATTGACCACGTCGCCTCCTTTACTTTCACCAAATTGACGCTCCGGATTGATTTGACATTGGTGCTAAGGCGCCGATTTTACGACTAAGGGACAATGTCAACGGGGACACCCGTGTCCAATACGGATGCCAATCCCCCCGCCTCCAGGGCAGGACATGGACACAATCGCAGCCGTGGCCATTCACGATCAGCACGCTACTCGCAAGTCCCTAACCCTATTGCTGTGCCCTCGCCATTGCCCCCAGTTCAACCGCTTTCTCCGCAATCCGTGGTTGGTACCGCATACTCCAACGGCCATGCTTCACATCCGTCGTGGCATGGCCACCATCATTCCCATTCACAGGGATCTGTGCATTACGACCAGTGGACGCCTTCCCCGGTGACTACTGTATTTGAAGATCATCAAATGGAACCAAATCATGAGCCGGACACTCCAGCTCTGTTAGTAGAGCTCGAAACGAGCAGGGGGTAAGTCAAACGTTTCGCTGAGCTAATTTTAGAGGATAAAGGTTGTCTAACTTCATTTGCAGTAATGAGTTTTTGACAGGTTTTCTTACTGCCCTTCCTTGGATCGCCTTATCCTGGTTCTCTACGCAATATGCACAGTCAACGACACTCGAGTCACCAATAGACGATGTTGATGAAATAACGGCCAGCGCATACCTGGAGGGAATTGGAAGCAAGGCCTGTGCTTTAACAGCTGGTACATTAGTGGTATTGGGGTGCGGTGAAGTAGTTCGGAAGGGTCAGGAATTGTCAATCGCCACATTTCCCACGCTCAGTGGCAGCACTGTCAGCAGCGCATTCATACGAGCATGCTCTATTGGCCTACCAGTCTACGCAGGATTGGGAATTGGCGGATTCCTTATCGCATTCGCGCTATCCCTCGCATTCGCATCCGGTCTCCCAACGGTCACTTCGAACAGCGTGCAAGAGCGGTTTGGACAGAAGAAGCTTACTGTCGGTCTACTGGCAATTGTAGTCCTCTTCAACTTGTTTGGAACGGGCTCGGATTTGGGTGAGCAACCATTCATGGGCTATGTAGCTTTGCTTGTCGCTGTTTTCGTCATTCGCCCGCCATTTGCTGCCGATCTCCCGGGATCTACTTCCGAAATCACCCCCGATCCACTATCCTCAAGAAAGTCTTCTGAAGCGGGTTCTCCATCGGACACTCCCTTAGACAATGCCCTGGTAAACCTGCTTTCCGGGGTACTACTGGCGCTGGCAACAGTAATCGTCTCCGGCATACCGTCTCCAGGAGGGATAGATCTGATTTACTTCGGACTTACCACAGGCGCGTTCGCTGTATCTTTCCTATACTCATCGTCCTCTGGCATTCGGTCTCCGCAGAAGCTTGGGCATGCCGTTGGAGCAGGTGCCGCATCATGTCTCTGCTCGCCATCTTTCCAAAATGACCTCTTTACCGTCTACGTTTCGCGTTGTGTCATAGCTGCAGTGTCTGTTCTTGCAGCTCGATTCGATGATAGACACTTACGACTTGAGGCGCATTCGCACAATCATACCCACCATAACCACCACCATGGACACTCGCATACCCACAAGGAGCCTTCGAGGGTGACTAAGACGATTCTACATTTTTGCGAGCCGTATCCTCTTTTGTACAGCATCCTCAAAGAACGCGACTCTCGTCGAATTTTCTACTTTATGACGTACGTGATACACTCCCTGGCTGAATGCTAAGTGCTAATATGGATCCAGTTTGAATTTCGGTTTCATGATGGTTCAGCTGTCTTACGGCTTTTTGACTGGGTCTCTGGGGCTTCTGAGTGATAGCATCCACATGTTCTTCGATTGTCTTGCCCTTGTCGTTGGTCTCTGTGCTGCCGTCATGAGTAAATGGCCACCGAACTCAAGGTTTCCTTATGGATACGGCAAAGTGGACACTCTGTCCGGCTTTGCAAATGGTATCTTTCTCATGTAGGTTCTTCAGTGTGGCATTTCCTGTCACAGTGCTAACAGTGTCGCAGGATCATCAGCATTGAGATCATCTACGAAGCAGTAGAACGATTGTCCTCTGGTAGTCAGATGCACCGAATCGGTGAACTTCTAGTGGTCAGTTTTGCTGGCCTTCTCGTCAACTTGGTCGGTATCATGGCGTTTGAGCACGGACACGCACATCATGGACATGACCACGGCCATGGACATTCTCACGGGAACGAGAACATGCATGGTATCTTCCTCCATATTCTCGCTGATACCCTTGGTTCAGTGGCCGTGGTGATATCGACCATTCTCGTTCATTACTCCGGCTGGGCAGGATATGATCCCATCGCGTCTTGCCTGATTGCCATTTTGATTTTTGCGTCGGCAGTCCCTCTGGTCACTAGTACTGCCAAATCGCTACTCCTTACCCTTCCGGCGGACGTGGAATACAACCTTCGTGATACCCTAGGTGGCGTTAGTGATATACGGGGTGTCGTGGGATACACCGTGCCCAAATTCTGGCTTGACGATACCAATGCTTCTGGTGATGAACACGGCCACCATCACCATGGCCATGGACACAACCACAATCACAGTCACAGCGATAGCCATGATCATAGCCATAGCCATTGCCGTAACCATAACCATAGCCACCATAGCCATTGTGCCGATCACGACCACCACGACCACGATCATGACCATGACAACCACAACCCGCGCGTCCTAGGTGTGATCCATGTCATTGCATCACGAGGAGCAGATCTTGAAGATGTGCGGCAACGGACCATCGGCTTTCTACGAGAAAAGAATATGCATATCACGGTTCAGGTCGAGCGGGAAGGAGATGGGCGTTGTTGGTGCGGAGGAGGTAACAAGAGTCCTTAGCGAGCTCTCTTAGTAATCTGTCTTGTTTTCCATGGATTATTCGAGATGTACGATGTATATCTTTATAAGAAATGATGCGTACGTACATAATGTTGACAACTTCACGCCGGCCAGTATAAATATCACCGGAATCTACAATGCCGCTCTACCGGCGTATGCCCTGATTCTTGTTTTGTGGTCACGTTTACACATGTAATAAGTATCCTGTGTTCGATGATACGAGTACAATAAAAAAAAAAAAAAGGAGGGATCCTTTACCTGCTTGAGGCCGAGATACATGGTAACTACTATTGGTATATACCATCACGCTAAGCCTATTCTAGAATGTGGAATGACCTAACTTGTTCTGAACGCTGACCAGCCCTATCCTGCAGATTAGCTCTCATCGATCTCACGGTCTATTTTTCTTCCCATCTACTCTGCATTCCTACTCTTCACGTTTCCATGTCATTCGCCCTAGCCGATCAAACGAGAAAATGGACCTCATCGACATAGGTTCTTTCGCGATACTTCTATTCGTCACCATCAGAAGACGCATCAAGTCCCCTCTGGTGCCTCGTATCCTTTCTTCGCCAATTGGAATTCTGGAGCTTAGTAAATCCCATACGAGCAATCAACAGATTGTTCACATCCAAGAAAACCAGGCGGAGAGAAAAAGAGCAGATCCGAGCGTGGAGGCTAGTGGTATAGAAGTATGAGGAGATCTTGCAGCTTGGGCTAGCCCTGTTTGATGAGAAGGAAGAATTGAAAGAAAAGGGGGAGCTTCCTGGTGGCTTGAATTCGAATCAGGGAGCAGCACTGGAGAAGATCAATAAGGATTATGGGAAATCAGACCTAAGCTCTGGAAAAATGGGTAATAGTTTGTTGATTTACAGTCACAATGGGTGGAGGGAAGCTGGCTGCTTGAGAGAAAAGAAATACAATTTTGTCAGAACTTTTTTAAAGAAAAAGATCTCTGATCTTGGTTTTGGTTGCTGCGCGCGAAGCTGTGGGTGTTGCAAGAAACCTCGTGAGACACACCATGGTCGGCGGAGTGATGTTCTTAAATATAGACCCACTCACTGTACTATTGAGTATGGATGCTGTATTCTATGGCGTGGATTTCACTATCTCAGGACTCTACAGTAAGGACTGGATCGGAACTTCAGTTAGGGATCAGAGTTATAGCAAGGCTATCAGCACATGTATTTGGCAAATTTGATATAGGTAGCTGAATACTGAGCAAAACAAGAAGAAGGGAAATAAGAAAGGAAAAAGAGTATCTTCGGTACTCCTTCTCTGTGTAGTCTTTTCACTGGTAGTCTACCATTAAAGACAGTGACATGTGCTTTGCCCGGGAAATCGTCGTTGTTTCCCCGTCCATCCTTCTTCCACCACTCCCCCTCCTTCACAGGATTTATCATATAATAATCTCATTCGATCACTGCGTATGACCATACCCTCTAAGCTGCCAATCCTCCTTTGAGCATCACCAAATCCATCTTCAACGCTACTACCGATAAATCGCAACACTATTTCGGACAACATCATGTTTAGATTCATAGAAGCTACTCACGACTGGTCCCTCCTCAGCCCATATCAGAAAACCTACGTAATCAACTCAAACTCAAAAGACAGAACTGGGAGATGCTTGCGGTGACGGGGACAGAGTAGACAGTGCAATTCGCAAGATTATCTACCAACCCCCAATCCGTACCCATACATCTATAATATTCGAAGCGTCCCGATCCTCACTTGAGTCCACAACCAGATACCACCCGTACATTGCCCCAGTTACACATGCATGGTTTGGATAAATCCGTACAGACTGCCCGATATCCAACGGTATCTCACTGTTTCTGCCATCTTCCCATGCGAGGATTGCATGCTCCTGGCTGATTCGTTCAACGATCAATCTCGAGTACCCCGGCTTCCGTCTCCAGTCACTCACGACTCCCCATCCTGGGTATGCTTTGCATGGCTCTCGTCCTAGAGCCAATGATCCCGCTGCGACAAGAGCCTCTGGTTTAGATCGCTCTCCATCGTTGTATAGACTGCATACTTCAGCTAACACAGAGATTGCGACTTCCTCTTCCAGTTTACCGGCAAATTGTCTGGCATTAGTGCTAAACTGTTGCATGTCGAGAACTGGATAAACTCCGGCGTGGAGTTCAATTTTGACAGGAATGCTAGACTCGGATGGATTGTGCAGCAGATTCTTCAACTTTTTTGTAACTGGACTAGACGAGCTTCCCAAAAGATTATTCGAAGAAACAACCTGCGGTGTAGCTCCCACGCTAATGACCAATTCTTTACCTGACAAAAGGTGTGAGTTGTGCTTGATAGCCTCTCTGCAGCTGACGATTTCCGCGGCCAGATATTCCATCGCTTCATCTGATGTGCTTCCTCCATAACTCAGACTATTATGTGAGTAGACCCCTAGAATAACAACATAGCCCTCTTTTTCTGCTTCCGCTAGCTTCTTCAGTAATCCGTTCTTGTTCAACATGGCCGGTGGTAACCCCGCTCGGTGGTAACCGCAGTCCACCTTGATAAACACATGAGCCGGAAATTCTGCTTCCAATTGAAAAGCCTTGAGATATTGAATCTGATCCGGATGGTCTATCATAACTGAAACGCTTCTGGGACCCAGTTCGCGAGCAATCTTTGCCAACCAAGTCGTCTGCGACGGTACGAGAGGGATCCCGTAGAGGATGTTAACTCGACGACCTTGTCGCTTAAGATCCTTGAGAAGTGGGGCAAGCCACTCAATCTCCAGCACCGTAGATGCGACAAAATTAGCGTCCTCGTTGCCGTGGCCGACTTGTAGCTGGGCGATTTGTGGTGTCTGTCGAGACAATATAAGTATGATGGTATAAAGACGTCCACCCTAAGTTATATTACCTTATGAGTCTTTACATGTGCCCGAAAACCGACGTCGAGTGCCTTGACGGTCTGTAACATTCGCTCACAGTGCTTCTTGATAATCGCTATGTCGAGCACGACGGCCGGTTTCGGGACATCTCCGATGTTTTTTCCGGCATAAAATCGCTTCAGCTCCTGCTCGGAGGGAAGTGGATGATGGGGAAACGCCATTGAAGCCATTTGAGTGCCCTTTGAATTGTAAGAGAAAGTTGTATGGGTGGTGTTTATATCGTTTCCCCGCGAGGGGTCTATCTTATCGGTATGTGGAGGTTCGGGAGATCTTTCAGCCTATGCACTACTCAGATTCAACCTGTTGCACGGGTTACCAGCACCTTGCTAGTGAATGTGTCTCTAGGTGTTATGCAGAGATTTTATATATCGACAATGTCCAAAAGTCCACAATATATCATGTCATTATCATCAAGGTCTACACGCGATTGATTCACGTGATCATGTCCGGGATAATAATGGCCCGTGTCCTTCAGGGCTTAGGCCGGGGAACTGGTTGTGCTACATTACTCTTATCATAGCCTCAAGTTCCGTGCAGACTACTACCACGCTACATTTGCTTGCTCGTAAGATGTACTATATCTTGGAAATGAGCGCGGCGCAGCAAGAGGCTCAAGGATGCCTGTCGACAAAATAGCATCTATAAATTCAACCGCAGAAGTAATCGTGAGATCAGTTTCTAGCATTCAAACTTGGTATGCCTTAGCAAAGAATACATAGGAGGGTTGTACTGATGAATCGTTGTCTTTTTTCTACATGCCAGCTTGCCAGGTACATGGACTCGTTCCAGTGTCGCTATGGGATATACGGTATATACACCACTACCTGGTTTTTGAAACGGGTTGGTCATTACCATTTCATTCTTCCTCGTGCGTACGGGGCTAGCCTTGTAGGTTTAACTAAATCAATGGACTGAGTAACCGCTAGCATATCTCAGCTGATAAACAGAGCTTAGCTAACGGCCACCAAAGAAAGCTAGCCTCTCCGACTGCGAAGATGACATCGTTACGAGGGAGATAGGTCCTTCAAGAAATAAAACGAGGAATAAAAGAAACAATAACGAAAGAATATCAAATCTGAACAATCGATTTCAAGCAGCGTAGGGGAAAGCCAGGAATGAAGGATATTGAGGGTCAGCAATACTGAGATGAATACCATAGACTTTCACGAAACCAGCTTCCGCCGGAAGGAATCTCAGTAACTACATTTAGTATGGAAATAGAATTAAATCATAGAGATTTTTTACGTACAACAACCCTTATGATAAGTAGCCCATGCATAAGCGTTGTAGCACGAACCGTCCTTTACCTCGGCTGCACATGTAGACCGCTAAAGAAACCCCAGGAAAGTGTCCGGTCCATTTATAATAAGCCGAGACTCGATATCCAACGAACGCTCGAATCAAGCAGTTTCCTCTAAGTAACGAATGCTACGCTATCCCGAGCTGAAGAGGCAAGTGGCATTCTAATAATGATTGTGTCACCACACAGGATGTGCGGCATACTCCGAGGATTGAGCTTGTCAAAGACCGCATAAATGAAACGTGCACCCCAGCTTAAAGTCGAGGTGTGAAAACATTTCGTCTAGCCAACTGCCAAAATCGGAAAATTGATGGCCGTCGGTTTGTTTGATCAACAGGTACAGTCACACCAAAGGAGCACTTGACATTCTGGTCAGTTTCAATCGCTTAGACGACCTAGCACCAACCACCCGACACGATGTCTGCCCCAACAACCCCCTCGCGAGAGGAAGAGGTGATGAAGACAGGTTATGCAAGGTTCTTCGAAAGCCAGACAGTCTTCCTCACGGGCAGCACAGGCTCACTCGGAGGCTGTCTCCTATACAAATTGGCATTGCAGCTCCCAACCCATAAGATCTTCGTCCTAATCCGCACGTCTTCGCTAGTGGCCATTGAAAAATGGAAGAAATTAATGCCACAACAAGCACAGGCCATCCTCAGTTCGGGAAAGGTGCACTTCGTGGTTGGTGATATGAGACAATCGGACTTTGGTATCAAAGAAGCGGATCTCAAACAGCTGCAGCAAGAGGTCACGCTGGTCATCCATGCAGCGGCAAACATCTCGTTTACTATGGATCTTAAAGACGCAGTTAAGCAGAATTGTCTTCCGCCATTGGAGCTGGGGAAGATTGCTTCACGGTTTAGACGCCTCAAGCTGTTCATCCAAATCTCAACGGCATATGGGAATAGTTTCCTCCCGGATGGCTATGTGGGAGAAAAAAGGTACTCGATTGTTGAAGATCCGGAACAAGAGTTGGCGCAAATCATGTCCTCTGGCACTTCGCCCAATGAAGCACGCTTCTCGTCAACGTATGCCCTCGCAAAGCACCTCACGGAGTGGCTATTTCTGAAGAGATATCCGCTTCTACCTTTACTTCTCGTGCGACCAACGATATTTGGTGCTGCCTTGCGTGATCCATATCCACTCTATGGGCCTCCGAATTCAACGCCCATGCGGAAATTTGCCGAGTTCTTGGTAGCAGAACCCGGAACTCAGATCTGGCATGCGACCAATGGGTATAAGAGCGGCATGAACACTCTTGATGAGATTCCCGTGGATTTTGTCGCCAACAGTTGTCTTATGCACGCAGCAGCAAACACACAGGGGATCGTCCATATCGGTTCGCAACTATACCACCAAATGACTTTCAATGACTTCTTGGGCCTCGTGAATAACAATGCACCGCCGGGATTCCCTCTGCCCACTATTGTCTTCACAGAGGATTATAGCGTCCCGCAGCATTTTCTGGCCGAATTGGTAAAGGTTGCAAGTCGCAACTGGACCTTCGACTGTGGCCGATCATATTGGTTGAAACAGATAGGTGGTCCATTGAGTCTGGCTTCATGTAAACACGAGATGGAGAGTCTGAATGTGGCACGAGTAAAGGAAGTTTATGAGAAGCATAAACAAAGGGCAAAGCTCTAGGGGAAATTTCCAAGTCTGGGTTTTGCCTATGTTCAATTAGCTGACTATTGTACTTATCTCGTGACTATGTCATATCATAGTGTAATGTCCCACATGAAAGTTTTGTAGCATAACAAGATTGTCTCATGCGAATGCGTCATTCTAAACTCGAGGGATGGTGCATCACTCAGTCTCAATGCCAATGCCGTGCTGCTTGTCTGTATCGCACAAGTAACTCAACATTAAACTGCGTGTTTGGATAATGAGAGCTATTTTGGACGCGCGGTGCTAGTGATCGTGGTAGCACTTAAAGACCCAATTTCTGTTTCGGCCACAACTGCGCCCCTTCCCACTGAAAAACACCAGGATGCAACGCGATTAGCAACTCCGTAACCAGCGCCTTGCCAGAGTTCCGAGCCCACCACATCTGCCCATCGAGTGTCCCAAGAAGAACTCCCCAATACGTCAAAATCAACAAGGGAAATGGTTTGCGACGTCGTAAGCAATCGACAAAATCCTTGTCAACCGCGGCAAGCCAAGTGAGAACAGAAGCCGCATCCCGCGCATTGGCATGCCTCAAGAAGCACCGATGGAGAAGAGCGATAGCATCGCGGTTCATGCGATGTTGTTCTTGATCGACTGTAGCCATGGTATCGTTGTTTAGTGTGGCTAGCTTGTCTAGAGCAGCTTCCGTCTCGGGGTCCAATTCCGCAACAGACTCTTTCCAGAATTCGCGACGCGAGGTAAAGAGTTTCGTGTGTAGCCATGGCTCGCTAATCCAGACAATATTTTTGACGCCCTGCAGCAGCTCAAACACGACAATAATGTTTTCCGTCATGCTCGAGCTTTCATCCCTGGTCGCTGTGAGTCGTGGCAAAGCTATACCAATTACTGTCGTGATGATTGAATGGGCGAACACAGCATCACAATTAAAAGGAGTAATATGATCCAGCGCCCGTTGGAATGGAGCGAACGCCATATTATGATATTCAAGCGCCATGTCAATATACGACAAAGCCGCTGGGGATTCGATCGATGTAGCCGCATGCAAAGCAGCCACAGCCAGAATACCGCTTAACAGGAAATCATGCTCCAACGCTTTCCGAGGTACGACCATTTGCCAGACGTGAAAGTCGGACGGGTCATTACTAAGGCTCATGAAAGTTTCCGTCGAGAACTTGTGCATCAATTCTAAACTCCGATGACCAGAAGTACTTAACGGCCCGCTTACTTCGTTGATCGCTGGAAGGTGAACAACTGGTGCCAGGCCTACACTGGGAGCCTGGCTACTGGCAGGACTTGCCGATGGCTCACGGGCTCTTGGAATCTTCAAGTAAGTGCATTCCAGCTGTCGCGATGTACAATTTGAGCATGGTGGGCCTTTTTCATCGCACTATGAGGCATCAGACAAGTGAAACTATAAAATATTCCAGATAGCATCTTCATCTTCCAAGTACCCACCTTGACGCGCCTTTTTTTGCACTGATCACAGCCGTTGCGTGACTTGGTATGGGCCTTTCTCGGACGCGTGCTCATATCTTTCTATCTCGAACAGGGACTCTCATAACAGTCTGAAACGAGAACCACGGTGCTGGGCATCTGACTGCCTCGTTGTTTTCGTATAACGTCGGGAAAGCGCAAACTCGGCTACGGCGGACGATACCGCCCGTTGCGTGTGCACAAGTTATGTGCATAAAGGCATTTTTCTGCCAAAACCTAGATCATTTTTGCCTAAGGAATAAATAAGGCATAAAAAATTCGAAATAAACTAGGGCTACACCAAGTCAATTACGTACGGAGGCAGTAAGTACACCATCATCAAAGGCTAAAAAACTTCGCACAATCATTCTTTTTTCTCTGTTTCTCCTTTTTCCCCATAGTCAACCAGCAAGATGACACGACTGGTTGTTCGAAACTTCGCGGCCAGAATCCGTGAACTGCCATCCTCTGTCGAGGAACCGGAGCAGGACAAGAGTACTCCATACCTCGACGTTGGAAGCCGCTGGGAGCCATGCCATCACTTCTACAAGGCAGGGGTTCCGTACAAGGTCTGGACTGAACAGGATGTCTTCCGTTTCCACGGCCTGTGCAAGTATCGTGATTGCTTCCCTGATCCATACGCCTTTCAGACCTCGGATATCGCCATCCTGGTGAATGATTTGGAGGAAGCGGCTGCAATCTTGGAAGGGTCTGGATACTTCCGTACGCCGAAGTCGAGTGAGGAACAGGAGAAGCTTGGTTATTCTGATAGCGGTCAGGGCAATCGGGAGTCTATCCGCTTGCTCAATGTCAGCGCCATGGTGCGACACCATAGTCAGTGGGACTCCTTTGAGGAAGTCACTAATAAGGTTCTCTATGCCGCTGGTCTTTCGGAAAATCCTCATTGGGGCCCAACTCGGGTGGCCGGAAATGGTGTTCTGTTGATACTGGCCAGTGACTGGAATTATACACTCAACTCCAAGGCCGCATCTCCTTATTATCATGACCCGATACCTGAATTGTCGGGCTACTTTGACTCTCACGTCAGTATGTGGATGGATACGCCGATTTCACCTCCGGTCAACTCGATTCGTTCCCCGTCCGATACTGCGAGACTACGCCACTATGCTAGCGTCTTGAAGAAGCTAATCTGTGAGGCTGACGTTACATGGACTGTCAGATTTGAGCAAGATATCAAGAGCCAGAATCGTCAGGCATTGTTCGATCTCCTTGAGATGTGCTACCGATGCATGATGAAGAAAGGAGTCTGCATGTTCACCCGTCTGACGACCGATATCGATTTCCAAAAGTACAGCAAAGACGTCCGTGACCAGATCAAGGCCAGTGTCCACGATCCTGTCCTTATGGCCGAATTCAACCGGTGCCGGATGAAGGGTGTGATCACCATGCCTCTTCCTAGGGGTCACGCCAGCACTTACGACGAAAAGCAATGCAAGAAGGATTTGCCAGGATTGTCATGGCTGGTTCGAGTGCCCCGGGGAGATGGATGGTTTTTGCTGTCCCTGAATGTGGCTCGAATTATGGAAAATAAGAGACGGGATAAGCAGCTGAAGCTCGAAGAGCTTAATCACTTATCATTGAGGCAGCGGCAGCCAAAGAGAACTGAGGACGAGATTAAGACTTTGGAGTATTACCTCCAAGATATTCTGGCTGATACCGACAATTGGGCTTTCCAGAATCAGGAGTTTTGATTTACTGTCATGTCATTGGAGTTAATTTACTTTTTGCTCGGTACTTATAATAATAATGAAGCTTTCTGATTTTTTGCAAGTTCCACTGCTCATTTGCTTTATTTCGTGCCAATCAGCGTCACAGGATCTTCTTCCTATCTTCGTTTTCCATTCGCACCTCAAGTCTTAGTTGCCACATACCTGGCCCGCTTAAGCACTTTCGGCCCTCGCCAGTTTGCATTGTCTTCAATACAAAGCTTCTTGTCTCTTCACGAACCATCTTCTCTGTATTGGGCTAGCAAAACCGCAGATGAGGACATATCCAGCCGTATGGTCAGAATCTATATTGCCTAACCCAAGGGAGGCGGATGTGACGGCTCTCTGGTAAGGCAGTCAGAAATCACTTTATTTTACTACGCCCCGAAATAGCAACTCCCCATCATATAGAGAAATCATAATCGCATCACATGTGCATAAAACAGTAAGACAATACTATTGAGGTATCTTGCTGGTTTAGATCAGACACTTTAGGATATATACCAGAAGAGTCCGTTTCATGACCTTAGATGAAAGGACAACTCAGTTTGGGGAAATATTCTTGGCGGTCCGAGACTACTGTCCGTACAATGGAGAAACCCGGCTGGCCTCCATTGATCCACTATGGAAACACATACAAACTGATGTCAATGTCATGGTAAGACAGGAAGGTTGTTGCGGCCAAAGATATCCACATCTGATTCAGGGAGGGGTGATGCCTGGGTGGCATGGTCTTCAGTGCCAAATCGATAGACAATGCTTCAACGTCGATATTATTCGTTCTAATAACTTTGGTATAGTAAGCAGTTTTGATTCGCTCGATAAACCTGTGCAATTATAGGACATGACTGTCCTCGGGCTAACTTGTCAAATTGAAACGCAGTCAGGGCCAGGTTCCCCATGACCGGGAGGAGCTACAATGGATATAGAGAAATTCGGGCCATATGTGCGAGTTGTCCGGTACTACAGCATTAGACTTTGACAGTCCTCAAGAGGCGCAGGAAACGGGCTAGATATCGATGAAACGCTCAGGCTTTTCGACATGTCGTCTTCAAATTTGTGGATAGGGACTTTTGTCGGCAGTGCTTATCAGTTCCGTTCAACGTGTAAAGACAGTTAACGCCTAATATCCTGATGCGTATTCCGGTGACTATGTTTAGCTGTTGACGTTGCTTTTTTGCTATCACAAAGGATTTCTTCCAGCAACCCATTGCTGTATGCAGATCTTCGATGGGTCTCAATTTCACGAGAAGGGTTATTTTCATGCTATGGCCGAAATGACACCACGTTGCAAGCCCTAGGCAAACACTTTCGATGCATATATTCTAATAAAGGGCATTTGCATGTATCAAGCCTCTTCCTCCCAGGCTCCAACGCAGTAAATGTTAGCGGTTGGTGAGATGCCGGACATCCTGTCAGTAGAAAATCACTTCCCGAAAAATAAGCGAGAACGAGCTGTGGAGAATCTTCTCAAGAGTATCCACGGACCAAATCCCGATCCGCTTCCAGAACGCCAACAGCGTCTTCAGTTCGGAAAATGAGCTCTGTAAGGCTTTCAGCGATCTTGAAAGCAATCTACTCCACGCGATGGTACAGCCGGAGATAACTCCCACCTTAAAACCGCATATCAAACACCGTGCCGTTACGTATGCGAGACCCGACATGACACGGATATCGGAGGCTCGGCAGTGGAGTGCAAGTACGATATACGGGGAATAAGTTAAAAGAACGATGGCGAGAACGAGAGCGAAAGCGAGAGCGGGTCAATCCACCAATAACAGCCATTAAATAAGCGGTTAAAGCCTCCCGGCCCACTGACACTCGGAGGCTTGCTATTCTTGGTAATCGGACGGACAACCGCTCCTGTTCAAATACGCCTAGATTCCCTGCGGCTAAGAAAGGTCTGGAGAAATGTGATTCTTTCGCTCTTTCGTTCATTCACTCTGACTTTCCATATTTAATCGTTTTACGTCCCTCGTTCACGTTCGTTCCGGTCATCGTTGTTCATAATCATCGCCCACTATGTCGGGCTGTACCGAAGTCACACCCTTATGTCCTGTCGAGGCATCAACATATGGCTACTACCCCAACTTAGGCGGCAACATCTTCTTCACTGTCTTCTTCGGCATCTGCGGAATTTTTCAGCTGTTCTTCGGTGTCTACTACCAAGCATGGGGCTTCGCGACAGCCCTGGTCATCGGCGCCTTCCTCGAAGTCGCAGGCTACATCGGCCGGGTCCTAATGCACTATAACCCATGGTCGCCACCAGCGTTCAAGCTGCAGATCGTCTGTCTGATTCTTTCGCCTACGTTTATTGCTGCTGGGATTTACCTTACTATCAAGCATATCATAGCGTACCTGGGCCCTGAGCACTCGAAGCTCAAGCCGAAGCTGTTTACGTGGATATTCATCGGGTCGGATATTGGGTCGCTTCTTCTGCAGGCTGCTGGTGGTGGTGTCGCGGCTTCTGCGGGGAGTACCGATCAGGCATTGCTTAAAACCGGGGATGATATTATGATTGCTGGTATCGCGTTCCAGGTGGCTACGATGTCGGTTTGCGGTTTTCTCACGCTGGACTTCTTCCTCAGATTCAGGAAGAACGGCAGAGGTCTGTCGGTGGAGAAGGAGCAGGATGGATATATCTCGCCCCGGAATATGATGTTGGTTATCGGGGGTGAGGTCTTTGCCTATGTCACCGTTTTGATCCGGTGTATTTACCGGTAGGTTACCACATCACTTCCAACAACAACACCATTAATAACATATTATAGTCTCCCCGAAATGGCAGGCGGCTGGGGCAACCCGTTGATGCAAAAGGAGAACGAGTTCCTCGTTCTTGACGGAATGTACGTATCCTCATCCTGCTATCTCAATATGCAACACTAACTTGGCCAGGATGATTGCACTGGCTGTGCTCTCGTTTACCATCCTCCACCCTGCTTTCTTTCTTAGGTCTATGCGGAAAGGAAGCTGGGGGAAACCGCGTGTGCCGTAACTTACGGCACTACATACACCTCTCTCGTACATATGAAAACTCACCAATAATGATGATACCCGCATGTTTGGACAGCGTTATAACACATAACTAGAGTATACAAAACAGATGATGCAAGTTTCATTCTTTCATATCCAGTCTCTACTCACTGAGTGAATTAAGTAATCTCACGAGGGGGTCTTAAGGCCAAGTTCGATAAAATGCCCGTACTCTAGCAAACTGTTCTGTTGCTTCGTTTTGGAAGTAAAAAAAAAAAAAAAAAAACATGCGCTCTTCAAGTCGACGTTTGCATGGATGGCAGGATGGCAGGATGGCAGGATGGAAATTATTTACAAGATGGAAAGGGAGAAGCCGGCTGGGTATATCGTAATAAGAGATACGATGTCGGTTAAATGCCAACGACATCATCACTTCAGATCAACATCAAAGCCCAGCGAATCGATCCATAAGCCCCGGAACCTCCACTAAAGACTCAAAGCCAAGAAGCTTGGGAAAATACAGAAATCACGTCTCCTTCTGATACCTCCCCACCAACCCCCCCTCACCCCCCTTCCAAGTTCTCCCCATCAAATGCCTCAAACACAACTCCTTCCCATCATCAGGATAATAAAGCCAAGTAGCCCACTTCCCCCATTCCCCATCCTTCATCTGTCCTCTCGCCCTCTGCCCAATCTTATCCTCAATAAACTCGCCCCTGCGCATCGCCAGTCGCGTAGGGAACACTCTTGACAGATAATGCTCCGTAGACGCGAGATGAGGCTTATCAAACCAGAAGAATAGAGGCGTCAGGGGAACTTTTACATTTGGTTGCGATGACGATGAAAAGTCCTCTTTTAGTGTGGCTGTCAGGGATCGGAGGGCGGGGTAGCTGTTGACGCAGTCTGAGACGGCGTAGCGGTGCATGCGGATTGATGGGAAGGAAATGTATCTTATGGGTTTGGGTGTGTTTCCAGTTGTAGAGGAGGTGTCCATTACCTCTAACAATGGTTGGAGAGGGATGTTGGCTACCAGGGCCCAGTCGTGCTGTTGGACCCAGACGTAGGGTGTTTCGACAACACGTAGGGCAGAGCGGATGGCAAGACCGAATCCTAACCGCGCGATGGGTTCAATGAATGTGACATGCTTATCTCCCGTATGGGTTATGGCTAGCTCAACGCTGTTTTTCTCATCATACGGCGAGCCGAACTCTGCCGTAGCCGTGGCTTGTTGGAGATGATGTCCATCATTGCTATCATTCACATACTCGCGGAGAACCAACGACTTCACATTATCCTTGTAGGCGCTATAATTCTCGGCTACTTCCGGCGATGCAGATCCACTCTTAAGACGATTCTGCGCAGCGATCCGGTCAAAAGTGTCAAAGACCACGATCACCCGCGTCGCGACCAATTCAGGACAATGCAACCGAAACGATTCTATTACTGATGAGATTAGGTCAGTGGAGGGACTTGAAGGCGTTGGCGACGTGGTGATTATCACCGTTAAACGGCTGAATATGGATTGCATAGTTGAAGGGGGGAGGTTGAGATGCGAAGAAAATTCGCAGTTGCCTTTTTAGGACTAGTGGGAACTCACTTGTACAGTCTATCTTGACTTTTTTATTTCATTCTCTATATATATATTTGATACGACGTAATCAATCATAGCATTCAGACTCCTTCATACTCCTCCAAACACCACCATACCTCCACTGTACACCCAACCCAATCATCGAGACCAGCTGCACCGCAATACAAATGGTAAACGCCCCTCCAGCCCCAACACCATGCACCATGGGAAGAATAGCGCTGGTCCCAGCAGCCGCAAGACAACACCGCGCAAGATTAAGACTAGCCGCGGTAGCAGCACTACGGTCATGAAATATATCAACGAGATACGTCGTGATGTTCGAATGTACAGACACAGTCGACCACCCCCCGAAGAAAGTCGCGACGATAGGCACGGCGATATGGACCTGGTTTGGGTATTGCACCGTCCACCCAAAGAGCAATATGGACAGGCATTGCACGCTCACGTAGACAGGGACCGGGCTGAGCCGAGCCCTCTCAAGGGGGAAAATCCGTCCATCGGACGCGTCGTTCTCGTATTTCTCCTGCAAGCGGCGGTAATCACGGTTCATGATTTTGCCCGTGATGAGTGTGCCTATTATCGAGCCCATGCCGAGTGCGATGAATGTCAGACCTGTTTGGGTCACCGTGAGACCGTAACGGGCTGTGAAAAGGGCGGACATGGAAGTGACGCACATTTGCCAGACTGTGAAATAAATCGAATAGAAGATGATAATTGGTGCGGCCATTTTGCTGGTGAGAATCTGCAGTGGTGCCAGGACATCGATGCGCTTCGGGGCCGGGTTCTGCTGAGGAACTTTGTCTGCGTCCCATTTCACCGTGGTATAGCGTTGGTAGAGAGTGAGTGGGAATCGCGCCATGCGCTGAGACGGCGCTCGAGCCCCATTGCCAATGACCGAGCGCAAGGTCTCTGGAACCAAGAACACGACCAGCACGAGCAGGAAGGCATTGTACGCTGTCAGAAACCAGAAAATAGACCTCCATCCTAGGGATCCCGCCAGTGCACCCCCGATGATCGGGCCGATTGCAATCGAGATCAATTTGACACCTAGGAAGAAACCCATGTATCCGCCACGATCAGCCCGCGTGGTGATATCCCCAATCACGCCGGAGCCGATGGCGCTAGTACTGGCGCTGCCTGCACTTTGGAGACATCGCAGGATGATGAGCGTGGTGTAATTCTGTGTCTGTGCGAGGCCGATACATGCACCAAGCAATACGATCAACGTGCCGAAATACGCCGTGCGACGGCCTCTAGCATCGGAAATTGGACCCCAGAGACTAGGCGCGAGGCCTTGGAAAATGAGGTATGCGGTGACGGTAAGGTTGACAAGTTCAACGGAGACATTGAGATCTTCGGCAATGGTGGGGATGGCGGGGAAATAGATATTCGATTGTAGCGTGGAGGCTGTGTCCGTAAGTATCTCTACCGATTCCATATACGGAAGGCGACTTACACGACGCAACAATGGTAACCACAAAAGCAACCAGTTTCTTCTGCGTACGGTCAAAAATGGTATGCAGCTCAGGTTCAGGCTCAGACGCAACAGTCACATCGACCGGTGGTTTCTCACAATTCGTTGAAGACATCTTGATTGTCCAGTGCTTGTCTCCACTGCCAATGAATCGAGGAATCCTCGTTTTAAAGAAGAAAACCAAATGAAGAAATGGATTCGGAACCCACCGCAAGGCGATAACAGATGATGCAGGTTCACATGAGCCTATCCCTTGTTCGAGTCCGAGATAGTTTTAGATATTGATACAGAGTAGAGTGCATACAGCCATAAAGCCAGGGGTATGTTAAGATAGAGGATTGGATACTCCATAGAGGTGGTATAAACTGTTTACATTCTTGGAAGGCGTATACATCGGATTCCTCGACTAGAAACATGCAGAAACTTTAATTGTACATACGCAGACGTAGATCATGCTAACATTGTAAAGATGTATTTTCGGGTTATCTGGGCTTTTTCTTATGCAAAGGTCACAAGACATCTTTCCTGAAGCAGTTACTTTAACATATGCAGTTTACCATGAAACAGTAGATACATCAGATAATCTCCTATCTGTTGCATTGTATTGCGCCAGCCGCAGCCCTGAATCGAATTACCTTCTTTTTATATCAAGATGAGCACCTGCATATCCTCCCTTGCACAATATTTGTAAGATTAATCCCAATGACGTCGTTAAGTACACCACGGAATACCTAGCTTAGAATCAGCGCTCGTGGTCACTTTCCAATTTTACTTGCACTATATTTACCTTCACGGTAGGTAGGTACGCGATACTGTGCAAGAGACGACGCACGACCAGTGGCTGGGATAAGCCGGTTGACTATGCCAGCCTCCCGGATCCGGTGGGGAAGCATGACCCCTTTCCTACGGTTAACATTCCCGATAGATAGTAGCCTAGTAAGGCGTTGACTAAAGCGCCGCGATGGCTGGCGAGTGATCTCAGGGCTGGGTATGAAGCGTTGCACATGGTGAGTTACCTCCCCTCCCTATCCTCATGGTAGTAACTGACAGTGGTTCAGCCCATGAACGTCGAAACGAAATGAGCACACTTCCAAGCTCTGCTAAACCTAGGCTATAAAGAAATCAAAGTACCAAGCCCATCATCCCCACAGGCCGAATATGACTTCACCAGACGGCTCATCGAGACCGGCGCGATTCCCGAGATGCTTGGCTGCAGGCACTGCTGCCGTGTCAGAGGACAACGCTTTCTAGGACGACAGAGGCTGTTAAGGGTGCGAACAGAGGTGATTCTGAATTTCCATCTTCCTACGCCGCATTACCATCATCCCGCTGTGGATGTGCCGCAGCTGAGCAGGAAGATAGTTGATTTCGTAGTCGGAACACATCTAATCCGCACGCTCACGAAGGACTTCCAGAATCCAGACGTCAACAAAACAGAGTGGACCTTGGAGATCACAATCGAGAACATCCAAGACAAAGACCCATCCTTCACAATCACAATCGCCATCTGCGAAGCCGTCAAAGCAACATGGTGGCCCTCTTCGAACGAAATGATCGTCAACCTCCCCTCAACAGTCGAAAGTACAATGCCAAGCACCTTTGCAGATCCAATCAAGCTGTTCTGCTGATATATCATGGAGCACGAGAAAGCCTGTGTCTCCGTATACACGCACAACGGCAAGGGCAGTGCCGTTGCAGCGACAGGAATGGCCCAGTCAGCTGGTGCAGTTTACGTTGATGAATGTCCGTTTGGGAATGGGGATCGCGCGCGGAGTATGCATTAGCTGACTCTTGCGCTAAATTGGTATAGCCAGGTTCAGCCTGGTGTCAACTTGAGTGATCTCGATGATGTGGTTTTGCAGGTTGATAAATTGGCACTGATCCCTGTTCATCGTCGGGCTTCGTATGTCAGTAGGTATGCTTTCAATGCTTATGAGGATCAGATGAGGTTATGTGCAAAGGATACCACGCCAAATCCCAGCGCAAGGACCAGAGCCAAACGAAACGGAAAATCCCCTACATCCCTTTTGACCAGCGACATAGGCCGAGACAATGAACACAATATCCGCATCAACCAGCACAGCAGCACGAGCGGCACAATCCACCACATCAAACAAACCCTACACATTGACGTGCTCCTTTGAATCCCCCACAAATTCGCATCAATGATCAAAGACCACTTCTTGAAGAGGGACTTCGAAGTCCCACCAGATTCTATCCGAAGCCTCTTCCAGAAGAAGTATATACACGACAGTTTTACCATCCTACATGATTTGGGCTTTAAGCACGGTTTTCCTGGGGATGGGGCTGAAGTGTTCGAGAAGATATTGGTGGTTATAGAGTAGAAGCATGGTGTTGATTATGATTTTGGGTCGCTTGAGTATGAGATGCAGGTGGTTAAGGATACTAGGTGGGCTGATTAGAGACCGATTGCGTGCTTGATTGAGGAAACTTCATAAAGGAGGGAGAAGATTGCGTGGGGGAATTGAGGAACATCCTGCGGAGGCTGTATTGCAGGCTGTGAGTTTGCCCTTTCCTTGTTGTTAACGTGTTGATAGGTGCTAAGTGTTTGGTATAGGTTGGATCCTATCTTTCGCTATCCTTCTCCGGCCCGTAGTGGTTGATAAGGTCTTGAGATGTATGGGTGCGTTTATCCAATCCAAGTCTGCTCTAAATATTTGTGCTGCAAGCTAGGCTATACCATGCGCTACTCTATGTACTGTACTGCTAATGCATGCCACCAAAAAAAAGAAAAGAAAAACTTGATTAACTCCATACCGAAAACAACTCAAACTCCAATCGTATCAACAGACATAATGCATAATAACACGCGAATAGCAACCCATCTATCACCTACAACTTCTACCCCAGCGTCCCCTCACCCAAACCTCACCACTCACCACTCAACCCAAACCCAGAATTGAACAAAGCTATTCCTCCCCCAAACTCTCCCTAACACACCTCCTAACCCTCCTCTTAAACTCTTTCGGATCCTCCCTCCACAACCGCGCGGCCTCCACATTCGCCGGACTCTCGTCGTTTGGAGACGACAGCATCGAAATCACAGACAACAGGATGGTTTCGGGCGTTTGCACGGGGGACCAGCGCTCGGCGGCAGACTCGTAGCCGTATTTGTCTTCTTCGGGGGGGTGTAGGATGGAGATGCAGACTTCGCCGGTTGGATAGACTGGTCTTATTAGTATTGAAATCAGGGGTGAGTATAGTGAGAGGAGGGGAGAGCGCGTACTGTTAGGGTGGAAAAGAGGCGACTCGAATTTCATCTTCGGGGGCATGTGTGGGTATTCATGGGGGAAGGAGAGGAGTGCACGGAAGAAGCCCCCTATCGTTAAATATCATCGTTAGCGCTTCAGTCCAAAAACTCGTACGCCAACGCAGTCTGGATACAGGGGCAGGGATGCTTACCACCATACCACTGCACATCATCCGAGATCATCAACATAACCTCCCACTCAAACACGTTATTATCCACCAGACCACAGCTTATCCCCGGGATATCTTTGCTGGACTGCATCTGCTGCAGTTGGCGCGAGAGCATGCGCCCTGCTGGTGTGGTGGCCATATTCTTTCGTTGGTTTTCTGGATGTAGGTGAAATGCAGGAACAAGAGAGCAAGACAAGTTAACCCAGGTTGCAAAGTAGAGAAGGTACAAGTACAAGTACTTGTAGGTTGGAGAAGCGCTGTGGCCCAGGCGGTGTGCGGAATGGCGTGCAGAGAGTGGGGAGTGGCGGGGTTAAGTTAAGGATGAGAAAGACCTTGCGGATGAAGTGGAACTGACAGCCCTACAGCAACGAAGGACAAGTCTGACTAGAGACGGTCGGCATTCAAACTTCTACGGTACTCTGTACAGAGGATAGAATAAGCGCCGAGTTATACCCGCTATTCCGGCAGTTGCCACTTGCCACAGTAAGCATCACTACAGTGTCAGGCTTAGTGTGATTGATAAACTCCGTATTATTCAAACAAGAACAAATCGGCCAGCAGTATCATATCCTAGATCATAATAGTAGAGAAGAGTTACGCACTCCGAGAGTGGGCCATCATCTTCTGCATCGTCTCAACCCCCATCAGCGAAAACTGCGCCAACAGCGCCAAAGTAAACGTAACCAATAAAGCACCCTCCATCAAAAGCACCTTGCCAATAACCTTCAGATACCGAACCCGCGCTGGTCGGTCAAACGTCCTCCAAGCATCCATGATGCTCAACCGTCCACTACCACCAAGGATAGCAGGGACAACCTTGCCGCCGAACGAGCGGTCAAACGGCACAATAGCTTCGTCTTCCTCAGGAAGCATCGACGCCGCGACGCGGACGAAGACGGCCTGGGCGGGGATTGAGACCAGGTACGACAGGATGGACGGGATCATGGTAATCGCCCACATCTTGCAGAAAGCCTTGGTAGGCGGCGCGGTCGAGGACGCATCCTCCATAGCTGAATTCCAGCCGCCAAAAGCTTTAGCCATCAACAGCGGCAGGAAGAACGCAAGGCCCACCACGATATTCTCAAACGCAGCAACGGGCGCGATCTGCACCCAGCTCTTGAACCCGGGGATGCGCTGGTAAAACCGCTTGTTCGAAGGCTTCGAGACGACAATGTGCACCCACGCCATCTGCATGTTGGCCAGCAGCACGGCAAGAACCATCTGGATAGCAAACTGTCCAAAAAGCTGGTCCGACCCAACCGGCAGGATCATGAACAGGAACCCCCGCGCGATACCGTATGCCAAGTACATGGCGAAACCGCGGAATCGGGACCAGCGACCGGCGCGGGCGCGGAGGTGGGAGATGGTTGTACGCAGCTTGCTGGTGATAGGCTTGGGGGCACCATCGACATCCCTTGCAATGGGGTCAACGTTGTCGGGCTTGGACGGGTCGTAGTCGGCATCGAGACGGACGTAGAGGTCAGGGTTGGTATCTTCGACGGCAGCGAGAGTCGCAACGACGGATCCATAGGAGTATTCGACCTGCCTTGTCAATATTATACACAATACCCGAGGAAATGCTTCAGAGCACATACCGACCACATCACCAGCACGAAGGCCAGCGAAGTCAAAGCACACAAGGCCAACAGCCACGGCGAGACCTGGATATCCGGCTGGTCGGGGCTCTTGGAGAAATGGTCCGAGGCCATCTCCACGCCCCGACGAACGAGGGAGTGAGCGACCATTATGCAGTATTAGATGTCAGTAGCAAACAAAGGTGACAAATATTGAAGATTGATGAAGATTGATGAAAGGGAGCAAATGGAAAGATGACGGGTAGAAGTACTACTCCAAAGAGGGGGCGGTGTTTATTAAAGGAAACGCCTAACTCCGGATACGGGTAGCTGGCGCCTAGGACTAGCGGCTCTGTTCACATTAAGGGTCTTCTTTTACTCTTTTGGTCTTGTTGTTATGAGGCTTAGTGACGTGGTCACATGACATCATTGCTTTTACTTTTTATTCAACTCATCGTTGAGTACAGAAAGTCTGCCAGTGTCCAGTGCAGGATATCTGTTTACCGTATTATGTACTCTGTACTGTAGCTGGAGTGTGAGATGACTCAAGGCGCTTCGTGTAGATCTTCCCGATCACTGAAACACGGGTCTTCACCTTTCCGAGTTCCGAATGCTGCGAGGCTGCGAGGCCACAACGGGCTTAGTACGTACGCAATACGGAGAACTCGGCCCAGTAGCACATAAGGACATATTCCTAATATATACAGCAGGCACAAGTCTAGCATGAACCTTGGGATATCCAGCTTGGCATAATCAATGCTCGCAAAGAAAAAAGAAAAACAGGTGTATATGCTGACAAAATCACAAACGCCGCGGAAACAGAAAGAAAAGACGGCGGTTCAAATCATCTCGCTTTTATCGCTTCGCGTTTACTCGTCAAACATCTTCTTCATAAACTTGTGTGCAAGCTCGACACCGGCGCTGTAAACCATTAGCAGGTTGGTCAAGAAAGAAAAAGAGGGGAAGCATACAAAGTTGCGGCGTTGGCGGGCACGGCTCTAGCCAAAGCAGGTCCAAAGCCAGGGAAGAAAGCCTTCAATCCACCGTTACCGTACACAGAGCGGACGATGCCTCCAATGGTCGGACGGCCCTCAGCACTCTGCATCCGCGACTTGATAGTATCAACAGGGAACACGGGAATCCACATGGCGATACCGGCGGCACCACCGGCAGCCAACACAGCCGGCATGGACAGTTCTCCTGTGACATTACCCCGCTCATCCTTCGGGGTCAAGCTGCGCTTGATGTATTCGTAAGCGGCAAAGTACGCGGCGGATCCGGGACCGTCACGCGCCAGGGTCATGGCGCTACCACGGAAGACACTGCGCATACCACCCTCCTTGTACAATTGTTTGACAACGTCCAATCCGCCCGAGTATTTGGGCTTCTGGCCAGGCGGGGGAGGGTTCTGGCCCTGGATCTGGAGGAGAACCTTGACACGCTCAAAGGGGGCGGTGATCAGGGTCATGGGGATGGCGGAGAAGAAACCGGCGGCGGAGATCTGGCTGATGGTGTATTGGGGAGTGCTGTTTTCGACGCGCACCTCCGAAAGGCTGCTAACGATCGTTTTACCCAAGTCGTAACCCCAAAAGCTAACAGCGACTGCGCCAGCACCACATTAGCCAGGTTCGCATCCACAACCGGAGACAGACTTACACATAGGAGTGACACCAACAAGCGGTGCCGAAACACCAGCATACAATCCCTAGATCTTGTCAACCATCGCTGCCCTCATGCTCTCCTAGCCAATTGACATACCCTAACGAGACCCTCTCTCGCAACCGTCTTCCTAACAACATCCATCGCGCTCGCATACACACCACTCTGTGCCGTCTGCAACCGCACCTTCACCAAGTCGAACGGGTGACCGACAACGACCGCGCAGACACCACCGGCACCACCGGCAGCAAAAGACCGGAGCTGAGCAATGGTCTTGTTGACAGGCTTGGCTTCGGCGGCCTGCACATCTTCCTGGATTTTGTTTGTCGGGGTAGTCGAGGTGGAAGTCATTTTGGTGGTCGGAAGTGGGGAGGAGGGGTCGGGAGAGTTGTATAGTGAGGAGAGTGAAGAAGAGGAGGAGGAGAAGGAGGAGGAGAGAAGAGGAATTGAAGCAGAAGAGTTGAAATAAAAGGAGAAGAGAGAATTCACCAGGTGAAAAAGACGCTAGGTATATTAAAACAGCCCACCAGGACGCAACAGACACACCAGAGAAATAGCTTAATTGCTCGGAGATGCAACAACGGACCTCGGCTCGGTACAGACGGAGATAGTAATGTTCCGCCGGGTATTTTCAGTGCCAATTTCCAGTTAAAAGAGGATATCATACAAAAAAAGAAATGGTACTAGTATTCAGGCTATGTAGGTATCCTGTACTTGTAGTGTGACCACCATCCATCCCATGGTCAAGTGCCGGATGAACGGGGATGACTGACCCCTCCCCCGACCTACCACTGTTCCGGGGATCTCCAAACTACCAGGACTCCAGAATAAGGCGGGATCTCCGGGCGAGAGGAGCGGAGGATTGGAAATTATTGCGTCTTTCTTATCTGTCTGTCCCTCCATCGTCACTGCCAAAACACGCGGAGGACTGGAGTTGATATCACGTGCCCCTCTTTTTCACATGTTAGTGTGTATCTGGTCAGATGAGTCGGTGGGGTGGACTAGTGTATATAGTGGACTGCAAGGTGTACTTGTACTTCGAGATTCAAGTCATTATTTTCGGTTCAACTCCGGTGACAAATGGGGCGTCTTGAAGGTGCCCATCGCGATGCAGCTAGTTTCCCTACTACCATATCCCATCCAAGATACAGGCTCGACTGTCCAGTTCTGATTGTATTCAGTTCCTGAACAAAGCGTTTCCGAGATGGTTATACCCACAAATATGTTATGATGCATGATGCCCTCTAGGAGGGCGGACGACGTGTGCAAATGAGTTGATCACAAGACCATCTTCCATCACAACCTTGTGCTTCCATCCGCTCCCCGTGCTGCTGGCCTGGAATCTATGTTTTGTCGCGCCGATTCTAAAAACAAATCGGCTGCGGCCCGTTCCTCAAATCTTCAAGGTCGACCTGTTGTCTGCCAGTGTCCTGCAATCTTTCGCCGAGGCCGAGGTAAGGGCTTGCCAGATTGATGATCCCACCGGGGTTCAATCATAGTTTCTGGTGCAAGTTCATTGAATGACGATCTAGCCTGCATGTTATACAGGTTAAGTTAAGAGGATTGATTTATGGGGTGGTTTCGAGTCGACCTAGGATCACCTGGATTTGAGCAGTTGTCAGGCATAGATTGAGATACATGGGCAAGGTAACGGGCGGAACCACAGCGCTGTGGGTGGTAACCGGGCCAAGCACATTAGCCAGCCTTCAAACTTTTCGGTGTCATGTCAAAGCAGGCTGCAGAATTTGGCTCTTAGTATGTGGGCCAAGGTTTGGCCTTGGGACGACCGGAAATTCTGGCTTAGCTGAGAAATTGGTACTGCGAATTCACACAACATTCTGCCGGGCTTGCTGCTCATTACATCAGTCATTAAAGAGGGGACTTCTGCATGTCTGCACACACATTCAATGATTCTTTTCATCGCGATGTATAGTCCTCTATCAATCGCCCTAGTGTGGGATGGACTATATTCGTCAAACGCATGGTTGTCAAAATCACAAAGGATGAACGCTGTAGTGAATCAACCTTGGATCTGTTAGAGGTGTAACATCTTTCCGGGCCTATCTCATTCTTATTGTAGACAAGTGGAATTATCGCTTTTAGTAAGTTCTCATTTGATCTTAAAACGAGGCAGGTATATAGAGCGGATATAGCCTCGGACCACGTTGGCTTCATTGACTAACAGACAAGTCTTCTCTGGCCAAAATCTGGAGAGTCGTAGTCACGAAATACCGCGTTGTTCTCAGCTTGCGGTTCACTTTGTTGGATGGAGACTCTTGCTGTTCTCTAATTTCTTCTACAACCTTTATAGTGGTGTTTTGCTTTCGGTTGGTTATTCTGGCCTGTTGTCATTGTATCTACTGTGAAGTAGCATTGTACTCCATTCAAGTGATCATAGTCTAGCCCAATGGGCTTGCAGATTGCAATTCGTCGCAGCTTTGTTGTCCCCTGGGTTGAATGGTGAAGCGTACGTAAATTAAATCCTACCAGGCTTATGCTTTTCAGTAGGTCTCCAAATGCCCTTGAACTCTTCGGTTTAACCCTGGCGATGATCGGTGCCACCATATCCGTTGATGTGCTGGGTATATCATATCATAATTCACCAAGATATAGGCAGCGATCGTGACGCAGCAGTCAGAGAGGTCCGAATATCGCGGGGTCTTAAAGTTTATTGCCGGCTGGATCTATTTGCAGTATTGATCCAGTGAAGTAAAGAATGCGTACCATCACCTCTCCAGGTGTCAGCATCATGTCCCTGTGATTGTAAAGCCTTGTATTTTCAGGTCTCCTCTCAGGGAGAGTGTACAACCTTTCTCCAGCTTTCCGGAAATCTAGAATTGTCTTGATGAAACAATCATGTCCCTTTTCATCTTCACATCGATGTCTGTAAAACTGAATTCTCGAGGATCAGTAATTCTTCAACTGCGGGTTTGATGCTGAACGTTTCTTTATTTGTCGCTTCCCATAGGTGGCTTTGTACGTAGTCGAAGAGTGTAGCCACGTCACTTCGAGTCCGTCTGATGTGGCTCTTGAGGGAGTTGAGGACCTGTGAAGCAATCCCGTACCTCTGTAGCTCATGTTGTATAGAGATAAATGCGAGCGCTGCTTGCAAGGTAGCGAAGAAGTATCTGCTGGCTTGCAGGACCTGATCCGGGGATTCAGCCCGCGACATCGGATCGTGGAACCCACTGAGACATAATGGCTTTTCTTCATCAGTGTATATTAGCAGGCAGCCTTGTCCATATAATCTCGATCTCATGAGACTGATGGACTGCTAAGGAAAGGTCGGGCGGCATGTAATTGGTTGTTATTCGACACAGCGTCGAACCTTGTCAGCATCAGGGCTCGGTTTGATTGCTCTAGCCAAGGTTGCATGATATTTCTGTGGCTGTTTTCATCACCCAGCGTTGTATCATTTTTTTTCTGTCTCATCGGACATGACGAGGTTATGTGATAATATTCTTGCATCTTCGGCCAAGTAGCTTGGACGACTTCCATAGGTATGTCATTCCTGTAGCCATAGACTCGTGCGAGAGCAGTTGGCTCGTACTACAACAAACAACAGTATCCTCTAGGGACCTAGAGACCAAACGGCCAAGGAGTACTCTCTGAAGACGGCGCGATACGGTTATTATTGTATCTCTCCCCCTTAGTTTCCGGGGAAACCAACAGCAGGTATTTCAGCCAGGAGTCCTTTACTGGCGCTTCCTTCAGCCAGCTGTGTGACTCTGTGCACGAGCAAACTGCGTTGTTGCATCAAGTCTCACGAAAAGCTGTCTGGCTAGCAGACCTTCGACTATTGGGTACATCTCCCAAATTTCAGGAGGTGCTGATAACAGGAACTGGCTTATCTTGTATGTCGCGGATATTTGCCATATTGCAAGCTAGGGAGGAGATTGTGACATGGAAGAGGTCTAAAACTCTCGAAAGGAATCAAAATCCCTTAAATATCGTGGGGAATAAAAAAGGCGAAAACCCCGCCACGATCGATACTCTAGAAAGCTTTCGTTGCCCTTCGAAAGGTGAATGGCTAAGCAGCCACATCTACATCTGCATTACCCCTGTCATCTTAATGTAGCGTGCATTCACCAGCCACTACGTGCTCCTACACTGCATAAGCTGCATGGCTCAGCCGTTGATGTACTTGGACACGAACTCGTACTCGGGGTACGTACGCACCAACGCATCCAAGTATATCGTGCATATCATAATAATAGAATAGTACGAACCTGACGCAATTGCATCAGAGCAAGCCAGTCTATGTATGTACGGAGGATAACAGGCAGGATACTGGAAGATAAAACGAACGAGTATTATTTACTAGTAATAAGTCATAACCAATGACCGTGCGTATCCAGACGGTCAAGTAAATGTACAATTCACACCCAGCGACGTACAGACATCGTAACCCGTGAATATTGGAACATTAAGAAAAGTTTTTACCAAACGCAAAGATCGGTTTGGTGAGTGTTGCTAACCGCAATTCGCTTAGAGAGCGAAGAGGGCGGCGAGACCGGCAACACCCATGGCGCCGGAGCCGAGGACCATGCGGGGAGCAGCGTTCTCGGTGTTCTCAGCACCGTCAGCGGACGAGCTGGAAGATGCGGCGTCAGAGTCAGAGCCGGAGCCGGAGCCAGAGCCGGAGTCAGAGTCAGAGCCGGAGTCAGAGTCAGAGTTGGAGTCCGAGTCGGAAGAGCCGGTCTCAGAGGAAGAGGCACCGGCACCAGTGCTGGTGGCAGTGCTCAGGGTAGAAGAAGCGTTGGAGCCGGAAGCAGAAGACTGTAGCCGTCAGTAAGAATTCACGGGCGCATATGTGTGGAATAAACATACCGACTCAGCACCGGAGGAGGTAGCAGAAGCAGAGTTGCTGGCAGCAGAGCCGGTAGCAGAGGCAGAAGCAGAGTCGGAACCGGTGGCAGAGGCATCGTTGCCAGAGGCGGTCTTGGACGAGTCGCCAGAGGCGCCAGTGGAAGCAGCACCAGCACCAGCACCGCCGTCAGTAGCGGTACCAGTCGAGTCGCTGTCGGAGCCAGAGGCGGTGGCAGAGCCGGAGCCGGAGCCGGAGCCAGCGCTGGAGCTGGAGCTGGAGTCGGAGTCGGAGTCGGAGCCACCGTTGGCCTTCTGACCGGAAGTAGCTAGAGAAGGTTAGCTTTGTATAACAGGTCAATGGCAGAAGATGAACGACATACTGTCAGACGGGCAGGTGGAGAGAGCGATCTGGACAACCTTGGCCGAGTCGTCCTCAGGGCAGGCCTGAGCAGTGCAGTCACGGACACCGAAAGAGTAGTTCTCGGCGTCGCACAGGCAGCGCTGGTCACCCGACTTGCAGCCCAAGTCCTCGGCCTTCTTGTTCATGTTGTCGATACACATGCGAGCGCAGCTGGACTCGGACACGGCGCCGACGAGGCCGGCGGAGGCCATGATAGCGAGGGTAAGAGAGAACTTCATTGTGACAGTAGTGTAGTAGAGGCGTAGGAAGGTGAATTAGAGATTAACTGGAGTCCAGGTATAGAGTATAGTAAGGAATAAAGACAATGGCTGGGGATGGATGAGAGAAAGAGAAAGAGAAAAGAAAAAAGACGGGGAGGACATTTAAAAAGCAGTTCCTGGGCGGGCCACCTCATTTCCCGTGGTGACGGTCGGCCGAGCTGGATCGATCGGCGCGATTGGCCACTAGTTTGTTTACTGTGTTACTCCATACACTGCTCCAATATGTGCGTGTAGTAATGATGTTGTTATGATACAGTCTATGCAGGAGTACTGGTAGACTCGTAGTCCTGTAGACCCGTAGTCCTTGTATAATTATCTTCACCTTGGGTACTTGTACATAGTACTTGGATACGAGAGTGCCATGTACTACAGGGTGCTATGTACGAATAACTCCTCTGCTCAGATTTTGCCCTGTGGAGTCGCCCGTGCGATCAGCCCCTTTGCACCGTATCGGGAATGGCGCCGTCACCGCATATGTGGCTGCCTCCAAACGGGCCAATAAGAAATAGGGCACCAGCCACATCGGAGGGAAGCTTCACCCGAAGTGGGGAAAACCTGCACTCGCCACCGCCCAGACCGCCGCTATTGGGCCGAGATCCATGGATGAGATCATCTTCCTTTTTGCCCTGTCGGATATTTGATAAGTACAAACAGGTTATGGCTTGATACAGGATTGTAGTGAAAAACAAGCGGATCCCATACAGATGTACGAGGCGCGTACCGCAACAGGCACCATGTGCTGTGTACAGGTACCGAACAAGTACCGGTACTTGTTCTGCACCTGTACTACTGCCCAAACTCAGACCTGAACTCAATGAACTCAATATGGAAGTCTACGCGATTCTGTGGCTGCGCACCGCCACACCCCGGCACGGGTCCGAGGAGATATCCTCCGCCCGCACAACCAATGACCTGCGTCCAAATCAAGCTCGCACTATTTGGAATCGATAGTATGGTTTGTGATAGCACCATCACACTCTGTTTACTGCTTGGCTGTGACTGCAGCCTGGTCTCGCATGATAACTGTAGTACATTGAAATCAGGCCTGCTACAGAGTACTATATCCAGGGGTATTCCGTTCTCTGTACGGAGCTGTACCTTACTCCGGTGCACACAGTCCCCTGCCCACGGTTATTCCCAGGACCAGCCCAGATAAATTAATTCCACGGTTGACTCGCTTGGCGATCGGGGTTAGGTTCTAAACTCGGAGAGAAGGATCGCCTGCTGTCCCGCCCTCTATGGGGTCTCCGATGCTAATTTCACGAAGCCAATAATCTCATAAAGGACGTGCAGCGCGATTTTCAGTCGTCCACTACATAGTGTCCGGTCCAGAACTCTGTGAGCCAGGAATCGGACGCGGCGCTCTAACACGTGAATGATCCTGGCACAGTCGATAGCCCAAGAGTCTCACTGTTGGAAGTGTCACTTCCTTATTTGTATTCACAGCTTGTGTGGACGCTATTGGCATTATTAAAATCACCACGGAACTGTCTCGAGAGTGCTGGTTTACTTGCTCAATTATCAAGATGGACTAGTTGGTTACTTCAAATGTATTTGTGAGCTGCGCATTCTGACATATATCCAGCCTTACAGCTGGCATACCGCCACCGTAGTCGATGTTCACTCCTGTCCGATATATATATTTCTAAGCAACAGAATATTTGTTTTAACTACCGAGATCAGACATTCTAGTTGGTCGTCGGCAGATGGCCACGGAGCATGAGCACTTGCTCGCTCACATGACATGCTCTGACTCCTTTACGCTGATTCCTGTGTTCTGTTTTAGGAGACCGCCTCACACGTTAGATAGTCCAGCGCTGGCGGGCCCAGCGTTCTTTGGCTTTTTTTCTTCTCCTTCATGCTAGTAGCTCGCAGATAGTCTGTCAATAGGTCCATATTGCATGAGACTATTACACAGATATCAGTTCCCTTGGTACATCTAGGACGTCTTATAGGTCGGATATCTGCATCGGTAGCTTATCCTCAATGTCAGATGTGTTCGGTCTGATCAACTGCATGTAAGATGTAAGATAGCTCCACGGCCCCGAGCTCATCCTGTCCCACACTTGACACAAGGTGGCTCGCCCATACCGTTGGTGTACAGGACAGATGAACAGCCGTTTTGAGAGCAGGTCAAAACGGAACTATGGGTCCGCTTCGGCCGCGGTAGACCCGATCGAACCAGATCGATGCTAGACTATGTATTTGTATACTACAGCTACTATTGACAGTAGTAGGCAGAGGGAACAAGGTATCCAAGCACCTTTGCTCCGGCTACTATGTGACAAACAGGGATCAGCTGACTGCTTTGTCCAAAGTACGGGACCAGATTTGAATGGTACCGACACATATATCCAGATCCCTGACTATAATCGTCAGCATGAGTAAAAGAAAAGAGTTCATCTGGCGGATCGCAGTCTTTAGCACACCCACTACAGCTCCCGCATTCCGATCTGATACGGCATCAGAGCTTCCCGCCGGTCCACCGCGACCTTTCAACTGGAATCGGTCACGAACCATCGAGCTCATAGCCAGTGGAGTTCGTTTCAGCCTACAGGTACGAGGATACGGCCCTCTGCGAGGTACTTTTTCTTGCATATTCACTTAAAGCTGGATTCCGGCCTTCTTTGTCCCTTGCTTCCTTATATTCCACCTGCTCCAGAGTACTCCTACTCGAGTTCCCCTTACCTCGTTCTCGATATATTCACTTCTCAGACCAGCTCCTAGCGAATTCACTTCAGAATGTCTGGCACCATGATCCTGAATTTGCAGGCGTGCGATCCCAAACAGGACGCTGCTCCCAGCCACGGAGGCCAGCCTCTGACCTCCTCCTTGCAATCCTCGATGCGTCGGTTGCGAAACCTGCTGAAGGATCGGAATGCTGTCACTCTCGATGGAGAGTCGTTAGACCTAAGCTCGACTGTTGCTGTGGCACGGTATGCTTCCTTCCACCCTCCTTTGAGCTATGTTGACTGTCCAGGTTTGGTTGCAATGCATCCTTCTCGGGCAATGGCTACGCCGCTCAGCGCATGAGCACGAGCGTCGACCAGTTGGATCAGAAGCTGAAGAACAATGAGATGGTCTACGGTGTTACAACTGGCTACGGAGGAAGCGCAGACACCCGTACCGACAGCTATGTGGATTTGCAAAGAGCCCTCATTCAGCATCAAAGCGCGGCCATCCTGCTGCCCAGTGACAGAGGCCTTCTCCAGTCATCGTCTTTCGTGGACAGCTTGAAAAGCCATGCCATTCCCGTGCCCATTGTCCGGGCTGCCATGTTGACACGCTGCAATTCCCTCCTCCGAGGCCACTCCGCTGTCCGGCCCGACGTGGTACGGCACCTTCTGACCCTCCTGGAGAAAGAGATGACGCCTGTCGTTCCACTGCGTGGCAGTATCTCAGCATGTGGTGACTTGATGCCACTGTCGTACGTGGCCGGTGCACTGGAAGGGAACCCAGATATTTCAGTCAATTGCGGCAAGGATCAGGGCTATCGCGTTCTTCCGGCCGATCAAGCGCTGGCACTGGCCGGCCTGAAGCCCCTCGAGCTGCAGGCCAAGGAGGGTCTGGGGATTCTGAACGGAACGGCCTTTAGCGCTGGTGCTGCCAGCTTGGTTCTTTTCGAGGCCAACCAACTCATCCTGCTCTCCCAAGTCCTGACCGCGATGGGCACGGAGGCCTTGCTTGGCAAGCGCGGAAACTACGACCCATTCATCGCCATCGCACGTCCCCATCCGGGGCAGAAAGAAGTGGCCGCCAACATCTTCAACTTCCTCTCCGACTCCAAGCTCGTGTCGGAGGCAGACCCTGGCAAGATTGGCACAGCGCAGGATTCCCACGTTTTAGCGCAAGACCGTTATGCGCTGCGCACATCGTCGCAGTGGATCGGTCCTCAGCTCGAGGACCTGGCCCTGGCATTGAAGCAAGTGGAGGTTGAGCTTAACTCGACCACTGATAATCCGCTGGTCGACCCTGACAGCGCAGAGGTGCATCACGGTGGCAACTTCCAAGCCGCGTCGGTGACTTCCGCGATGGAGAAGACGATGGGCGCGCTGCAGATGATCGGAAAGATGGTGTTCTCGCAGTGCACGGAGATGATCAACCCCGCATTGAACAAGGGGTTGACGCCTAACCTCTGCGTGGATGATCCGAGTCTGTCGTATACCATGAAGGGCGTGGACATCAACATGGCGGGGTACATGTCGGAGCTGGCCTACCTTGCGCACCCGGTGAGCAACTACGTCCAGTCGGCGGAGATGCACAACCAGGGCTTGAACTCGCTGGCCTTGATCGCTGCGCGATACACAGGTGACGCAGTGGAAGTGCTCTCCATCATGTCCGCTGCGTATTTGTACGTGCTGTGCCAAGCGCTGGACCTCCGCGCCCTACACCTCGAATTCGTCAAGCAGGCTCACCAGGAAATCAAACGGGTTACCAAAGACCTCTGCGGACCGACGGTCAGCCAGATCGTCGACGGATCGCTCTGGGAGGAGATCATGGGACACTGGGGCCGCACTAGCTCCCGGAACCTCGCAGATCGGGCCGACGTGGCCGCCACGACGTCGATGGGCTTGCTGTTGTCGCTTATCAGCCAGCACGGGACTGCCGATGTTCACCCTGAGTATGCCGATCTGAATGACGTGGCCAAGGCGCTGAAGTGGAAGGAGTTGATTGTCGCGGTTTTGACAGAGACATACAGTGGGGTTCGCGAGTCTTTCCTCCGCGAGCGGACCACTGAGCAATACCTCTGCCATGCGTCGAAGTCTATGTACAGCGTCGTTCGGGAGACGCTGAACGTCCCGATCCACCGGGGTATCGTCGACCATGCTACCAAGGAATCTGGAGACGGGCGCAGTCGCACAGACAAACCACTGATCGGATCACACATCAGCAAGATTTACACAGCGCTGCGAGCAGGCGAACTCCAAGATGCTCTCTTGAATTGTTTCGAGTAATTACCACAATTCATAGACTTAGACTGCCATTGTTACTTTTTGCCATAGTCTAGATAGACCGAGTAATGATATCCAATCAACCATTCTTCTTAATCTTGTACCGCGACACCCGCGATCCATCGCTCAACCCGACCTCTATCAATTCCAGTCTGTACCCGAATACCCAGGGGAACACCACAAATCGGAGAGCATAGTACACCACGCCCAGCGCGAGGATACTCAACGCAACGACTGGCGATAGCCAATACGGGAGACTCGTGCTCCCCTTGCCACCATCCGGTGGGACAAACGGCATGACCAGAACAAACTGCACCGCGTTAGCATCCCATACTCACCATATCAATTCTATCAGAACAATCAAACAAAGAAAACTCACAAGATTCCCAACAAGATAAAACCCCAACACAGCCCACGGAACCCTAAACCCGCCCTCCTCATTCCACTTTTCCTTCTTATCAAACCTCAACTTAATAAGTCCGATCCCGACAAGCGTCAAAAGGAAAATACCGGGGTACGTCGTAAGATTGACCACGAAATCAAATGCATCGCCCGCGGGAGGCGCACAGATGAACAGCACTGTTATGCCGAAGTGGATGAGGAGGCCCCAGATGGGGGTCTTGAAGGGCCGGTTTTGCATGAAGAGCGTTGGGAAGGGGGTTATGCCGTCTTTGGCGAGTTCTTGGATTACCCTCGCTACCGCCCCCGTTAGTACCATGGTAGGTTTTTGGAAGGGGAGGTATTCGGGGAAGGGAACGTACGGACTGTAAACGCTATACCAAGTAAATGACCAATAGCTGAGATGGCGATTAGTGCAGGAAGAGCCTTTGTTCCTGCGGATTCACCATAGACGTTTTGGAACAGTGAGGCGGCAATGGTGAGGTCTGAGGAGAGGAATCCTTCTCTTGAAACGCCGGCGAACTGTCCTCATTAGCATTAGTATTTAGGACTGTATTATAGGAAGAAGTGAGAGGGACGTACGTAGGCGATATTAGCCAGCAGATAGAGAACGGTGATACTGCCCATGGCAGTGGGTAGAGCGATGCGCAGAGAACGGTTTGGGTTTTTGACTTCTGACAGTACCTGTCACCGTCAACCAGCAATTAGTACTTCTGCCATGCGCAATCTGTATACATGGACAGGAGGGAACGAACCATATTCAAATTATCATACCCCCCAAACGAAAAAAAAGCATTCAACAACGCAGTCCCGATATTATACCCACTTCTCGACGTCCCCTTAAACGAAGTGCTTATGTCCAAATTCCCCGTCCTAGGAATCCGCAAATGCCCTCCAAGTGCTGCAAAGCCAGTGCACACGATAAAGGCCAAGATGAACAGTTTCACCGCGCTGAGGAGGTCTTGTAACCACCGTCCGACGCGTGGTGTAACGGTGTGGATGCCCACTGCGAAGGCTGTGGCTGCGATAGCTAAGCCGCGGAGATTCCAAGTCGTTGTTTCTGTGCCTGCGGCCTGGAGGAGGTAACTTGCTGATGTTATGGCGTTGCTTGCGGAGACCTCTTCTCGCCATTAACCCTGCTCTACTACATCCGGAAATGGGGGAAGGAGACCCACGAAGAAAAACACAGTAGAAGAGATAAACACAAGTCCAAAGCAGCGTTGGCGAAAACGACCGTTCCAGATATATCTTAATCCCACCGGAGCGCGGAATACCAGAGCCAAATTCTAGCATCACCATTGAGCCACATGTTGCTATGGCGCCGGCGATGACCCAGAGGACAAGGGCCATTCCAGGGCTGCCGGCTAGTTTGAAAATTGAGGAGGGTGTTGAGAAGATACTGTCCATGTTAGTTTGGACGTGCGATGGGTATAAAGGGATAGGTGGGGGGAGGGTTACCCAGCACCGACGATTTTATTGACGATCAACGAAATCGCTCCAAAAACACCAATCTGTCTGTCTTGGAGAATATATCGCTCCGAGACCTGCGAGGTCGAGCTAGTTTCCGCGTTCGACTCATTCTCCTCCGAACCGCTATACGGTGCTAGTCGTGGTCAGCTATGACCAAAAATAGGGTTCTACCCAGGGGTAGAAAATCTCACTAATAATCGGTTCCTGAGATTTCGCCATGGTGAATTATTTCTTCCATCGGAGGAGTGAGATATATATAAATAGTAGAGCATGTTGTTATCTGCTAGGCTAAATCGCAATTGTGTGCCGCCGATGGTGTGATAGATTCGTGCATGCAGGGATTGTGTTAAACATTCAGCTGGACTTGTCATCCACAGATAAAGCAAGTCGTGCTTTGCGGGGTTTATGTGGCAATGCAATTAATATGTTTGGTTGGGTTGTGGGTATTTAAGCTGCTTTTTGACATCCCGATCAATGTTTACTGTCTTGCTTTGTAAATCAATTTATTTTGAGTACCAAGTTTACTGCACAAACATGTCCGCTACAGAAACCATTACTCGGCCTGTCCAGCCGGACATCCAGTATCATCCCGAGTATGAAAAGTATAAGGCGCGTTCTCTTCGTCGCAAGGAAACCGAAACCCTACCAACTACTCTGCCGGATGGGTTTCCACTGGAATTGAAATCCCCGCTTGTCTGGGAGGGAAAGGATATCGAGAAACAGGATGACTGGCTTTACCATTTGAGTAATGCTGAGTTGGATGAGATTGAAGCTGCGCTGCAGCACTTCAAATGTATGTTCCTGATTCTACATGACTGAATGGCGGTTGCTAACAGTACAGCCCTCAATCTTCCTCTCGGCCACATCAACACATCCACCTTCCCCCTCCCAACCCTCCACCCCACCCTCCGAGCCCTATCCAAAGACATCCACGCCAGCCGCGGCTTCATCGTCCTCCGAGGCCTACGCATAGACGCCCACACCCGCGAAGACAATATAATAACCTACACCGGCGTGTCCTCGCACATTGGGAGCATCCGCGGCCGCCAGCAAGACACACGCCTGGCCAACGGGACGTCCCCCGTGATCTCACACATCAAAGATCTCACCACCACCGCTGAGAAAGGCAAGATTGGGGCTCCGTCGAACACGCCTGATAAGCAGGTGTTTCATACAGATGCGGGGGATATCATCTCGCTTTTGTGTCTGCAGACTGCTGCCGAAGGGGGTGAGAGTTATTTGGCCAGTAGTTGGCTGGTGTATAATATTTTGGCCAGGGAGCGGCCGGATTTGGTGAGGACGTTGGCGGAGGAGTGGCCGCTTGATGGGTATGTCCGTGAAAAGACAGTGGCGATTTCAGGAAGCTAACGTGTCTAGGTTTGGAAATCCGGACAGACCGTATACGCTTCGACCGCTGTTGTACCACCAGCCGCCTACGGACACGACTCCGGAGCGTGTGCTGATTCAGTACGCCCGACGGTACTTTACCGGTTTCCTAGCGCAGCCTCGATCAAAGGATATTCCGCCAATCAGCGAAGCGCAGGCCGAAGCACTCGATGCGCTGCACTTCCTAGCAGAGGAGCATAGCGCCTCGCTTGGATTCCAGAAAGGCGACATCCAATACGTCAATAACCTGAGTATTTTCCATGCGCGAAATGGGTTCACGGACGGACCGGGACAGGAGTACGTCACTTCCCAAGTTTTAATTTAGGAAATTGCTAATCAGATACTGAAGACGACACCTATTACGACTCTGGCTGCGCGACCCCGAAAACGCATGGGAAACACCAAAAGAGCTAGAGCCCCGGTGGAATACAGTCTTCGGGGATGTGACCGTGGAAGAGCAGGCGTTTCCTCTGGAACCGGCTTTGCGGAGGAATGTCGGCTCTTAGCTCTTAGGTGCTTTTCTCGGAGGATTGCGATAAGCACGTAGTACAGAATATAAATTGCTGCCGATTGTTTAGCGTATGAGCTCCGCAAGAATTGGTTGAGGTCTTACTATACTCCGTTGGGTAGAAGCCGAGGTTGAACTAAAGGGGAATCCCCGATTTACTCCTTATCTTATCAATTGTGCAATAATCGTCTATCCTCATACAAATTTACACCCCTTTACTTTGTACTCGTACTCTTGGGTGACACTGAATTACTAGAAGCGGTATAGTGTGCCTATTTAGGTTTAGCGTCCCATTGTCGCTTGGCATCGCTGTGCGTGCTCTATAAAGTCGCCCTCCATCGCTGCTTCAACTTCAACCAAATTTGTGCTGCTTTCCCATTCAATTTTCGCCCGTGCCGCCTCTGATTTTGGTAAGGCATTTTTGCTATTGATCCTCTGCGTAGGCCCCCTCATTGCGCCACCACCTTTTCGCAGAATGCAGTCATAATCGTTGCATCCACGCCAGTATGGCCCCCGACTCATGTTGAAAAACTCTGCTAACAGAGAAGGATGTCTGAGATACAATGATGCCCTGCAAATTGGATGGTCAACCATGATTCTCATCACGTCATCCTCAGACCCTTCAGCTTCCACTGGCTGGGCGTCCCCTGGTGGATAAGTTTTCTATGAACATCACCGTGCCATGTCCGTGCCTACGTACAATACTACGATTGGTTGCCTTGTTCGAAGAACGACTGGTTAATTATTGTGTTCTAATGTTAGCGCAGCGGCATCGGCCATCTCCGCTTTGATTCTATTCTTGACTCTTTCATCAGAGTTCTGGATGCACAGACAACTCAGCCTTCCCTGATCCGCAGGTGAGAAAGAACTGGTTGGCGTAGAAGGATTGGTTGAGCTGCTGATGTATTACACTTATGACTGGCATTCGTTGTGTATTGGGGATAGTCGGCAGGAATAATTATCCGGCTTTGGTGGCTGTTCCCCAAGGGCAGAACTCCTTGCGACTGCAAAGGCCAAAGGCATTGAGAGCCAAATGGCACTGCTGACCTCAGTCGAACTGGATGAGCGCCGGGTTGGATTCCCCCGTTTCTGGACAGAGCCAAATGTACCTGGTCAACGATTGCGCATGGACACTGCACTGACTTCCCTAGAAGTCGCGGCGCAGTGTGGCTGTGAAGATTTATTTGACATTCTGCACACTGCAGATGCTGAAGATTCTTCATGGCGAGCACCCACAGAGACCCAAGAAGAGGACAGCCTGCTGGAAGTTCCCAGTGAAGCACCGTTGTCAAAGTTGTCAGTCTCATCACCAGTACACCAAGCAATTGCCTTTGGCCACCGATCAATGCTCAATAAGCTTTTCAAAACCTACAACTACTGCCCTAACTACCGTCCCTTGGTGGCGCCTACAATGGCTCTTCCGCCGCTTTCATTCGCTATTGCCCAGTGCGATCTGACCAAGCCAGGTGTGCGTGAATGCATCAGTGACCTATTTGCACATCCACATCTTGCCCCCCACCTGCGCACGCCTGTATTTGGAATACATCCGCTGCATTTTGCCACAGCGAGACACGATCCTGAATTCCTGGTTTGGATTGCAGCCTCCATCCCAGGTGGCCATGCCAGAGCCGGACGCACAGCCCTGGGCCATACACTGCTCCACGTGACAGCGCTTCCTTTGACCGGCGACCACACAGCGAAGATCAGACCAGCTGTGGAGCGCAGCATCCTCTGTGCCCGCACGTTGGATTCCAAATGGCTCCAGCACTCTCTACCCAGTCCGCGGCACCTCAAATATCCTAAGGGCAAGCTTCCTCGGGCAATAGCGGCGGCCAATCCCCTTATAGAAAAGCCCATGACAGAGGCCGAGCAGGCTGCTCAGTTGGCTATCATCAAGCTGCTCCTGGAGTGGGGCGGGTTCGATGTCCGAACGCAGGATATTGATGGAAATACCGCATTACATTACTTGGCGGCGACTTTGAATGTTAGTTCTGAGACCGTAAAAGTATTGCGAGCAATGGATGGTGGCGAGGAAGTCTGGCAGAGCTCGAGAAACCGGTGTGGCCTGACGCCAAAGCAGTTGATGGAGGAATGATAGGTGCGTACAACAGCTCAGTAGCAGGGATGATCATATGCTCAAGTTCTTTGGTGTGACATTGGAAGGTTTGCTATTGTTAGAGCTCGTTTAACAGCCTCCCACTCCCTCATATCATGATTTTTTAGGGGAACAAGGGGCTTTCAGAGCACCCAGTGCTCTGTGAGTCAACTAAGGCGCGATACTCGTATCAGGAAGCTGGAGAGGGGATAGAAGTTCATTACAGTTACAGTCTTTATCAACTTGTGTTCCAAAGCGCTAGTCATCGTAAAGAAAAAATAATGAATTCCATGTTAAGAAACTCCGGTTCACAACACCCCAGGAACAGATCTTCTCAAACAAATGCTTCAATAATGTACAGTTATCACTTAGCAAATAGTATGATGTCGTTTCGGCTGACGTGCCTCTGCCCTGCACGAAAGCAGCCGCTTTCTCTTCGGTCGACGGTCCAATCTAGCCCAATGAAAATCAATAATCAGGGCCCGTCGCAACTCAGCGTTCCATAGAATATTATCCGGTCGAAGGTCCTCATGCAAAACTCCGAGAGAGCGGATCTTCTTCACAGATCTTGAGATTTCATGATTCAACTCTTCCTCAGTGAATTCTGCACAAGAAGGCGCATTCTCGATACTGCCGATAGAATTCCCACCCCACCCCATAAGTAGCATATACCGGATTTTTCCAGCCCCATGGGGGGGGGGTAAAATATTGCCAGATCAATTTCCCCAAGGAAAACAGGAACTGCAGAACCCTGAGCTTGCTGCAGGATACGATATACTTCGGCTTCGCATTGGAGCTCCGGCCACCGCAAGGTGGTCGTGCCTTTTCCAACAACAGTATACCCATATTTAGCATAGGTGACTTTGAATGGCGCTCCTGATGCTCCACAGCCTCCCATTGGCGTACAGTTGCGCTTGATGTTTCTATCCGGCTGTTTCTTCACGCCCTGCAAGAAAGTTGTGGAATTAATCGCGTGCCACTACCGTCTCCGCCCTGTTTATGGAGCATTACATTCGGGCAGTCATCATCGAGCAGACCACCCTGCTGCAGGCCATTTAGACACCGCTGTGTACAAAAGCGTGCGTTATGCTGCCCATGTCGGCCATCTGAAATCTGCGATGAAGTCGCCTGGCGCACCACTCGTTGAACCGGCGGAGATGAACCAACCTCATTAAAACCGCGTTTTCGTTGACCTGAAGCTTGAAAATCCGAATCTGAATCTGAAGATTCATCATGGTGTGCTGCGGTAAAAGGTGAGCAGCCAGGCCGAGACTGGGTTGGCGCTCGGCGTCCCTCAGCGGTAGGGGATTCCGCTGAGGATGACGATGGCGGCAGAAACTCGGATGTGGTGGATTTGGGGCTAGGATAAGTGTGCTTTGAATTCGGGGTACTTTGTGGTGATTCAAATTCGGAAACTGGAGACCAAGTACCATCTAAGCTACCAAAGCTAGACTTCCAGATTGGGAGTTGCGCGTCTGTTTCGTTTCACCACTGCTGGCTACGAAGACGTGAGCGAAAACTCATCAGACAGAGACACAATACCCGAGCGATAGCCGTTGCTGGCTGCAGAAAACCCTGATCATCTTCTGGGTTCACTTCTAACTTCGGTTCGCAGAGATGGTAATACAGAGTGCCTGGGTCGCCATAGGGGTCCCGCAGAAGGATCAATGCAAGTCCATTAGTCACATATGAATATTCGAGTCCTTCCTGGATCATCACATGGTACTCTTGGGCGATCACCAACCCAATGATCCTTTCAGCTTTCTGTCCTCGGTATTAGGTACACCGTGAGCCTTGACCATTTGTTCCCAGAAGTCCATGGATTTAAGACCTCTGTGAAGGCTCTCAACAGGTAGCTTGTGTGGAGGCTTGTACTCGACTGTGGTAAGAAGTGCGCTAGTGCCGTCGCCAATGCGGTGTATGCAATACTGATCAGGCCTGGAAGACCGGATCTTGATGGTTGGTTTGTCTGTAAATCAAGGCTATTGGTGTGGCTGTCAAACTGGACTCCATCACCCAAACGGAATTCATCTCGAGCGGTAGGTATCTTGCAAAGCTCTGCGATTATGTTCCGTACATGATTCTCAACAGCAGATCGTTCATAGCTCAAGGCCCCGTTCGCTGCTTATCGGTCTCTCTTTGACATTTTGTCCCTCATAATCCAGCGCAACGAGGGGTGGAAAATTCCGACGTGCTGTATCCCCTGTTGATCCAAGATGTGTACGAACAGAGCGATAGATTTCTTCCTGCTGGTATTGACATTCTGTCCACAGGCGCAGTTTTACTGGGCACTTTTTTCCGATCGGTGCTGAGATTTTCCCTGAAGTGCAGCGAGATTGGTTTGCAACGCTCAATGATCTAGCGACGATGTTGTGGCCATATCGAATGAGCTCGCCAAAGGTCGTTGGTCGATTTTGTTCCTCTGCTTGTTTCTGTCGCTCCTCTGCTTGTCTCTGCCGCTCTTCTGCTTGCTTCCGTTCCTTCTCCGCCTCTAGAAAGAGCGTTTTGTAATCTAAAAGGTCGTTGTTGGCCACGAAAATGTACCTCAAAGGCCACGACGTTTCGTGGCAATTCCAGCGTCACCCTGAGCTACTCCGTACTCCGTACACTTAGGCGACGGCGGATTACTAGAAACGGTATAGCATTCCTGTTTAAGTTTAGCGTCACATTGCCGCTTGGCACCGCTGTGCGTGCATATCTGACATACTATATGTAGTAATAGAACAGTAGGATGGAGACTGGCCTCGAACAATATAAATTGATTGGTAGACTCTATTAAAATACTAACATGGAGAAGGAAAGAAAGAACCCGGACCTGCCAGCGCTGCGCTATCTAGTGTGTGAAGGGGGTTCCTGCCCTATATTCAAACAGACCAGAGTATACAAACGTCTTGTGTTGTTGGTGAATGCCTGTACTCCGTGACGGACTACATACAAGAAAACAGGTATATGGCGTATTTACTGCTATCTGTTATTCCTTGTCGGCATTCAACAAGTGTGCTCATGACTTATTGTCAACTACTTATCTTGGAAGGATGCCATGGGCACCATTTAGAACGAAAGAGGAAGAGCTCTGATTCTCCATATCTATCTATTTTACGGCCTTTTTATACACGATCTGGCGGCCGTCAAACAAGCGCAAAAGGGAAGGTCGTTGAGAAAGAAGTTCAAAGAGACAAATGGAGCACAAAGCACATAACACATGTATGCGGTGGTCATTGTCAAAGGATGCTGGCTGCATAGCCGTAATCCCCGGTCCTACCATCAAAGTTGTATCCGTTCATGCATATGCTTGGACAGCCATAAGTCGTACGTCATATATGGAAGTCAAAACTTGTAGCTAGCTGCAACCCGCCTGAGGGCTTTGAAAGCACAATACAGTCGGCCAGTAGCCAGTTCCCAGGCCGAATAGAAGTTCTACCAGGTCCAGATTCCCTAGCAGCTGCACAATCTCTCTCTCCTGGACTGATAATCTGGTCAGATGGCTCAAGATTGGAAAACGGCATGTGTGGAGCAGGAATTGCGTGACAAGAACCAGAAGGAGCCTGGAAGACCCAGGGGATCCCATTAGGCAAGGGATATGAAATCTTTGATGCAGAGCTTCGTGGAGTCATTCAAGCACTCCAGGTAGCATAGAAAGTGGAATATTAGGGACCAGTCGCTATCTTGCTGGATTCCTAAGCCGCCATGACGAGATTGCGACATATCCAGCCAGATCCAGGCCAAGCATTAGCGATCCAAATATATGCTATAGCCAAGAGATTACACTCCCAACGTCATCAGCTCACCATCCAATGGGTTCTGGGACACGCAGGGTTAGAAGGAAACGATGAGAAAATTGACCAGGTAGTAAAGCAGGCAGCCAGTAAGCCTTCTGTAACGGCTCAGCCCAGCGCCTACATCAACAAACATCATCAACACGGCAAACAATGCCATGGAAGCAACCAAGGCAAACAAGCTGCTTAGCGAGACCACACACAACCATATAGGACTTCTTCGTGTAAATAGATTTGCCTCTTCTCTTTTCTTCTCCAGATTCGATATTCTCGTCGATGGCTACAATAGTTTAGATAGGAATATCAGTTCGTCAGTATCTACTATTCCGAGCCCGTGACACCTTCAGGAAGAGGCCCAAAAGAGATCTCTCTGGCCTTTGCCTGTAGAGCTCGAACAGAAGCTGCTACAGCACAGAAGCAGAGATGGCTCACTAAAGAGCTCAGCTAGCGATCCCAACAACGGAATATACAGGCCGCTAAAGAACTGGCAGCTTGATCCTACAGCTGCAGTAGCCCCCAACACTTGGCAGGCTGCTACTTTCAACTGAAGTCAGGACATGCAGCCATTGGAGCACACCTACATCGGATCCAGGCCCAAGAAGATGCAACCTGTAAAGGCTGTGGCTTATCAAGAGGGACAACTCACCATCTTCTCTTTGGACGCCGGAAATGGCGACACCAACGAAATAAGCTCTAGCGATCTGGAGATGGATGGGGTTATGAGATGCACTGTCGCAGAGAAGCACCCACAAGGACGACTTTTAGGAATACCTAAAGCTACCAGGGCGCTGCCACAATTCCTAGCCAGTACCAGTGTAGCTCTACCGCGAGCACACTCACAGCAAACGGCGGAAAGGGCCCAAAGTGTAAGGGGCTAGACTCCGAAAGCTATCATTTAGCTATATACAGGAAGCATTCGATAGAGAAAGAAAGAAGAACGCCAGTCGAGATCAAAGACTAATATATAAGGGTCCGCGTAAAGGTATGCCCGATGTGGGTTGGGCATCTAACCAAGCTGACGTGCTTACGAGGACCTTCTCCGAGCACTGACCTAGGCGTAGCCTAGGTCACCGACTAACATCAAGCACATAGGAAAGGCAGTGAATAAAGTAACATTGGCAAATTGCAGCAAAACAAGCAAATGCCGCTTTGGAACATATCCCCTCCCGGCCTTTTGAGACACAACCCAGTCAATTCCCAGAGAGAATAGGATTATGCACCACAGTGAGAAAAAAGCCCCAGGAATTGTTTGATTTGCTCGATGTAGGATGTTTTCCATAAAGGAACCTGTTAAAACCACAGCTACCGGTGCGAAGCATCCCAAGAAAACTTCAAAGATAAAAATAGATATCGTGCCAGCTTTCATAGAACTTGAAATATGATAGTAGTCCTGATCTGGATTAAACACCAGCATACTATTGTCCTCATCGTGTCGTTCTTCCGGCCAAGGTAGCAATGATGAGGATGAGATATCTCTTGTTGCTTCTGTATGCAAATCGCGAACGGGGGCTTCATCCGGATATAAATTCTCGACTATGGTAATAAATGGTATTGCCAATAGTATGACTGGCATAATTTGTCCAAAACTCCAGCTGTAGGCCTCTGAATCAGGATCCTTGGGCGATGCTATGGTGACATCCGAGATTAAGGTAATCACACCCAATAAAAAGCTGGTTAAAAGCCAAAACATCTAAAAATGTTAGAAAATAATATCAAGCTCAGTCTTGAAGACCAGGATTACAAATACCTCAAAAAACATAGAAGACCAATGATCCAGGATAACACGCAGGGTGAGAAGCAAGGCAAGTGCAGGAAAGTAAAATATCCTTCCAGGTATCCTTCGCAGCAGCAATGCTGAATCTTCTCTCCAGTTGTATATAATCCATAGGAGCCTCCGGGTGACATTGCTGAGCCTCTGCCTTGGCCTTCCAACTAAAGAAACTGACGACAGTTCATGAAGCTTGATCACACGAATAGCAAAACCGAGGCTGATTAACGATACCAAGGCAATCATTGACAGATTTGCTGGTGAATTCCTTGGCGATTTTTCTGAAAAGGAGCAAATGGCATAGTCATTTGGCTCAGGATTGTAAGAAGAACGCCTCCAATCGTAGTTGCCAGTGGGCACCATCGCCGTAACAAGCATGACAATCAAAATAAACATGAATAGCAGTCTCCAATGGCGTTCGGAAGGATGATTATGGAGATATTTCCTCAATAAAGTCAGGCAAGAAAGATGTGTCAAACTGGAAAACCAGGCCAAGCGCCCTACAATTTTCCATTGATAGCAGGTGATACCACAGTGAAGCTGAGAGTATCCACTAATCAGGATTGCAATCCTAGTTGCCAGCTGCACATCACTCATAGAAAGCACACACTTTTCAAGGGCTTGTTAGAAAGTCCAAATGCAGTCCCCCATGCAAATTCCATACCTTAATCACTGATGGCTCAAGACGAGACAAACGCTGATTGTTCCACCAGTTTTTCTGTACACGCCTTAAACGACCAAGAATCATTTTATCAACTGGATTTGGCCGGAACGGCACTTCCTGGTTCGGTTCAGTTGTGCCATTTGGACTGCGAAATGGGTCGAGATCTGGTTGGTATACAAGGAAATAATGAACAGTCACTATAATGACAACTATACCAGCTGTGGCTACATAGCCAATAAGGACCTTTTTTAATTGTCTTCAGTATAAAGAATCCTTATGCGGTCGAATTTGAAGGTAGCAACTCACACCAGCTCCTGTGATGTCTGGCTCGGGCTCAGTCTTTGGCTGCGGATCATTACAGTCATAGCTACAATTAGGCATCACGGGTGTCACTTAAATGGAGTCAAAGGATGGATACAAATAAAGCAAACTGTATAGTTTATTCGGACTGAAGAGCATTGAAAAGAGAAAAGAAAAAGGGGAAGAAAGCTCGTATTTGAAGCAATATTTATAAGGTAATCCACTACCGAGCTGCGCACAACGCCGAGTTGCGCACCTATGTATTCTATACTGAATAGCCCTTTCAAGCAGACAAGGCTGAGACATGCTGACAAAGCACCTGCAGATTAAGGCTACTTGTAGATAATTTATCCTACACTTGGGTTGTCTGTGCGTGGTAGCATTAAACATGGATCTTCCCCATGGAGAGCATGTGAAACTAGGCTGCGGAAAAGCCATGACTAGCCGTGGTTAGCCAACGCCAAAGCCATGATTTGCGGGTTTGGTTAGCACTCCCCTAAAGCCGCTCGCAGTGCGGGCTAACCACATGAGAGCCATGGTTAACCATTGGAGCTGCAAACATTATAAAAATGCCGAGACTCGTTAACTGCCGGGGAGTACATATATTGTGCATCTTTGATAGTATTTTTGATGTTTTAAAATGTAATAATTTACACCTCTCTTTAAAAGTTTAAGCCTTCAGATTTGCACTTCTTTGCCTGAATCATGACCAAATTTCTCTGTTCTAAATCTTTATATTGCAGCTTTAGAATGTCATTCTCATCCCGCAGTGGGAAAGGGAATAATTGGGAATTCTCGCAGTTCCCGTTTACTCCCATAGGGATGGGTCGGGTTGGGAAATGTGGGGAATGGGAGTGGTTCATATTCCCGAATTTCCCATTACATACTATTACAATACTCAATCCAACCATGATTAGAATACCATTGTCTTTTGACGTGTCTGCTGCTTGAGTATGTCTCGAGCCTTAGTGTGCTGTGCTGCATCATCATGGCTTTCAAGCAGTTGTCTTGTGTATAGCATCAGGTGCCATGTCAGAATGATTCTTTCGGTTTCTCGCACAAGTTCTTATCAATGATTCGATGTGGATTACTCCTGTCGATGCATCAGATGTCTACTGCAAAACTGCCAAGGAAGGCATTTGAGTTTTCTTTGTGAATGCAGTCGTCTTAAGATTATCAGCTATTCAAGAGTTGAGCTCAAAATTCAATCATTACTCTTAATCTAACCATGGTTATATCATGCCCTTTGGTGGATCTTTTCGGCCATGTCTATAAATTGTGTAGTAATGCAATCCAAATATATATATTGTATTGCAATGGAGTCGTAATTTCTTGTATTAACTAATTTGGATTTTTCTCTATAGAATATGCCACTGGAAAAAAAAAAAAAAAAAAAAAATTATATAAAATATTAAAAAACAGAGAGGAATTTACTTTATTATATATATATTTTTCAGATTAAAAAAGATTGTTAGTTATAGATATAATGCGTGGTAAACTTGCATCGAAAATACAAGGCTACAATAAGGCAGTCGGATTGGAAATAATGGGAACGGGAATTCCCATTCCCATCCCGGTTCTAACTGTAGTTAGTTTAGTGCGTCCATAAATGGTTACGCTGTCAATCTTTGGGAAATGGGAACGGGAAAAAAATTCTCTTCCCAACCCGGATGCAACTCTAGGTGAACTCCTCTAAACTGCCCGGCAGGAATGGTGGACGCGGGGCCGCAGACATCTTCACAGGCATCAACTCCTAAGGGTAGGAGCTGCGTAATGTCAGGGTGCAGGGTCAGGTACAGATATATTAGGAGGGAGAGATATGATAAGGATTGATCGGATAAATGGTTGGCCCGAGTAGCGAGGCCAGGAGATTCTAATAGTCGACGTGTGCACACATATTGTAGATTAAGCATTCAATTAGCTGTGTACGCGCATGTACGTTCGTTAGGCAATATACATCTTTCGTCAAGTTAGTCCTCTCCATATAGACCTCGTTAGTCCGGAATAATCGACTCCCGATTTCCCTTTTGAGCTACGATCCGAGAGACCGCCGCTTCAATATGAAATGGGTTCCGTCGGAGGTTCAGGGGAAACCGGAGGAGTCGATCATCCGACTGCACGAGGCCTATATGTAGAAGACTCGATTAAAACGAGCGGTTGATATACTCTATCTAACGTAGCCTAGAGTACATGAATGCTTGAGTGCTTTTTTATCTATAGGAGGCGAACGCTGGCCATATATTGGAGGTTCGCTAGTCGGACTAACATTATCCCTTTGATCTGACCTATCAGATCTCATCACAATATTCTCGTGATCAGGTGACCTGCGGTCACCTGACTTCGGCGAGCTTTTTGTGAATGATTTCAATCGAGAACCATTTATGGTTCGAGGTGCCTTTCGGGCCTAGCCCGTCACATTTACTTATCCAATAGAGTTGTCATACAGAACATAGTGGCTAGGCTTCTAGTTGCGGCGATTTTAAAACTCGGGCCCGAATGACCGAAACGTCAAGAGACGATGCGCGGAGATGGCTACCGGAAGGCCGATCCGTCGGCTCTCTGGCGGTGTTAATAGGCAGCCTGTGGAACTAGGGCCCGCGGAAATCGTGCAACAACCCTAGCTCCTGGTGCCAGCGGAAACCGTCTCACGCCAGGAGAATCGGAGTTCAAGTCTTGGTTCAAGCACTAAGCCACCACTCCCGCGTAAGCCGCTCTAAGGAGAGCGACGGACCGCAGGAGAGGGAACAGCTACACGCGATGACTCTAGCGTCGCCAGCATTGAGGCTCGCACACGCGGAGACAGCGAACGCATTGCCCAGCTGCTCAGCGTTACCACACTCATATTCGGGTCTTCCGTCATAGAAAATCAATATGTTTAGACAGGAAGAAGCTTGATTTCTGAGTCGGAAATAAATTAGCCACTTAATAGTATTTAATATTTAATCCTATATTCGTGATAACACTGTGCACCTATTTAGCTTTCCTCAGAGCCAGAACAAGCGATTGTCGAAGCAAACAACAGTCAATTCTTTGTTAAGATTGCTGGACCGAAGGCTCCGGAAACTTCGCTTGACGAATCGCCAAGAGGACTATATCATTGGGCGCGCACGCTTGGTCATTGCAGAGCCTTGAGAGCTGTTCGTTCCTTCCTTTCCGAGGCGCTCTTCTGACACGACCCAGGCATCAGGGAACCAGTCCGGCCATGTCTGGTTGTCACCATTCTCCTCACTCTGGAGTATGACTTCACTCAAGGCTTTGGCACTCAACCACGCTGTAGGCATGCCGTTTCCCGAGTAGCCCGTGCAAATCCACTCCGAACCATTGCTGACCTGCCGTCCAGTTGCGGACGCAGGTAGAGCGCCCACGATGGGATACTCGTCCCATGACATGCTATCGACTCCTGTCCAGATACGCTTCGTTCGGCCTTGGTATACATCTTTCTGCGGTGGACCAGCTGGCCTCTCCGCGCCCCAGTTATCATACCCAAAAAAGGTGGTCATGAATCCGTTGAGGTAAGAAGCAAGAATAGGTTCCAGAGGTGAGTGGTCATCCCACGGAGGATACATCTCCTGGCCTTGGATCCCACCACCGCCTATGAACAGGCCAGTTTTGGGCTGCTGGAGCATGGTGCCGTAGTAATCCCGCCACAACCCCATTCCGCGGCCACCGGGCTGGCTGCCATTCGGATAAAGCGACGGCCACTGCCCAGCTTCTGGAATCTTGTCTCCGACCGCCTGAGCAATCATGGGCCAACGTGCTTGACTGAGCTTGCCGTCAAGGTTGGGAAGGAGATGTGGGATCCATGCTCCTCCAGTGTGAACGACGTGGCGCGTTCGGATGATGCCTCTCGGTGTCCTAACCTCAAAATTGGCCCTTCCAGGACCGACGTACTGGGTGATGTTCAGGGCGGGAGTATGCGTGTCTAGCGAGAAGGTGGGATATTTCTTGAGCAGTGCGGCCTGTAAATGGGTCACAAAGCGATACGGCCACATGGCTCCGCCCATATTCCCCGGCGTTCCAGCGAATATGCCAACTACATCTGGCATAAGTGTTTTCTGGCGAATATTAGTATAACTACTCTTTTTCTTGAAACCATTATTCTGGTTTACGTTCGTACCTCTCTTGCTTCGTCTCCGGAGAAAACTGTCCACTCATTTCCGATATCTGGCATCTCTCGCTTTAAAATCTGCAGCTCCTCGACCGCGCTGTTGAACGATTTGTCGGTAAACCACGCGTCGATACTATCGATAGCGCGCACCTCGGCAGCATCTATCCCCGCAGCGTCCAAATCCTCATTCACGGCCTTGACGTACTCCTCGTAATGCCTCGCTCTGAGCCTCACAATCTTCGCTGCCTCGTCTGCGCCGATGTTTGCTTTGTCTTTGACATAGTCCCAGGGCGTCGGTCTAATGTGGCCAGCATTACGGCCTGTGCCTCCCGAGCAGGACTGCCGGGCCTCGATCATGGCAATCCGAAGCGGTTGTGACTGCAGGCCATCACGCAAAAGCCACCGGGCGACCGCGGTTCCCGTAATCCCGGAGCCAATGATCACCACATCAACGTCATTCGGCAGATTGGGGCTTTGTCGGTCTGATACATCAGGATTGGGAGGGAGCTGCCAATAGGATATGAGCGGATCCTTCATAGGGAGGCCCGGGTCGACAGCAAATGCACATTGAGACAATGAAAAAAGCACAAGAGGAAGTTGGAACCGCATCTTAGGGACTTTGGCTTTGGAGTTGACTAAAGAGAGACGATTTCGACGACGATTATGGGAGGAAAGGAAAGATTGTAACGACAGGTCCTACCTCTTCTTATATGTCCTCTCTGTGCCGAGAATCTAGCACACGGCTTAGCTCACATTCCGCCGCATTGTCTGTCCCCTGGTATCCCCTTAGGCATATCCCATGCCTTCGGCCCAATGAACTATACAAAGACCGACCTCGGTTCGGCCTCCGGTCTCCGCGAAGCTGCGACACTCCGAGAAAAGAGCTGCATGTCCCAGCGGGGAAGGTGAATAACAAACCTTGCAATCACTAGTACAAAGAACAAGGAAACACTTGAAGATCACTTTGAACAAGATATGGCTAATTGCTTCTCAGCAACTGAAGTGCTACTGCCAAGCTGGACTCCCTCCTCCAACTTCCCGGGACAATAATATTTGTAGTCACCGACACCTCTGCCTAAGGGATATAATTGATTGTTACTACACCTACAACACTTGACAATCTATCGTCCCTTACCCTGCTATTGTTTGTTCATTACTCTACTGTTGCCTTTCCCTTACACCAGAAAATGCTGCCTTTGGCCGTACTATTCTTCACGGCTGCGACAGTCTATGCTGGCACGCTAAACCAGGCCTCCAACTTCCCAGTCTCTCCGGAAGTTGCCGCTCAGTATGATTGCGGAAGAACCTGCCAAAGATACCTGAATCAAACCAACGCTATGGACTTGGAAGATTTCGATATTCCCTTTGACTTCGATTTCTATGCAACGGCCAATAATTTCTCCGGCTCCAAGCCCGGCGACGTTCTGAAGCTTTTCCCAGTCGGACCCAAGCTCATGCAAGTCCCCGGCGGTATCGCTACATACAAGTTTCAGTACACATCGGTCGACCTGGACAACTCTATTGTCCCGGCTACAGCGTTCATTGCCTTTCCATTTGTTCGCCAAAGCGACCCATTCAAACTTGTCGCGTTCGCACACGGAACGTCTGGCGTGTTCCGAGGCTGCGCTCCATCGACCTCTTCAAATCTTTATGATTATCATACCTGGATCCCTTTACTATTTGCAGGATATGCCGTTGTTGGGACCGACTACGCTGGCTTGGGAAACAATTACACGAGCCATAAATATATATCCGCCAGTGCCAATGCAAACGATTTATACTGGTCAGCAATTGCAGCCAAGAAAGCCTTTCCCCACGATCTGTCTGAGAACTGGGTGTCCATCGGTCACTCTCAAGGCGGCGGTGCCTCCTGGAAGTTGTCGGAACACGAACTGGTGCAGACCGATGAGAGTGGATACCTGGGAGGGGTCGCGATTGCCCCTAATACACACATCTATGAAGCTCTTCTTGAAGCATTCAAACTGCTACAGGGTCCTGCTGGTGAAGAGCTTCAAGACTACGGTTCCGCCTCGTACCTGCCCTCACTTTACTTCGCTCTGAGGGCCGTTTACCCCAGATACACGGCACCATTTTTGTCTGATATCGCCAAAAAACGTATTGAATTAGGAGAGGTCGCTAAGCTCTGCGCCACTGCTTTACCTGCTGTCTTGCACGACCTTAATTCGTCGCAGCTCTTTTCCAATCTCGACCTCACTGGCATTTCTACCGTCAAGCAATTCCAAAAACTGAACGCCCCTGCGCAGGGGGAGAAGACTTCAAGGCCTCTTCTTGTTATCTTGGGGGCAAATGACACCACTGTATTCCCATCCATAACCACGAAAGCCTACAAACAGAGCTGCAAGGCAGGAAATGCTGTCCACCTAAGCACCTATCCCGGGCTAGAACACTCGCCAGTGTTTGGAGCTTCTGCACCAGAATGGCTCAAGTTTATTGACAAATTATTCCATGGCCGCGGTTTGTACAATTGCAGTATGAAAACTGCGAGTCCTTTTGATGCGCATCACGCCAGCAACCCCGTAGAAATTGGTTGATTGTGGGGGCGCGGCTTGACCTAGTTTATTGCCAATTTTGCAAGAAGTTCCAATCATAATCAAATTCGCGTTCGCTCTTGCATATTGTTACAGACGCTTTCAGATTGACTGCCATCCTCTCCAAACGCATTGTAGCCAACTTATAACTGGGCATTAGTTGAATGCCAATCACAGGGCTCATTTTACATGCGCAACTGGGGTCCATTTTATTCTTTTAGATAATATTGCGCTCCCTCCCACCGCAAGAAGCCACGTAAAGGTCAAAGAACTGAGGTCGATGCTTTTCAAGGCTATCTCATTCAACATTCGTCTTGCGCTGCGAGCCCTGGTCAAAGTCCGACCTCGTAGTTGCAGTTAATTACTATTTCTATTTATTCGAACTTATAGATCCGGCCAGGTCCCGTATACGAAGAAGATGCTAGTACTACCGGCGATGTCGTCCAGCAATAGAAACAAGATTTGTGCATACTGCGTGTAGGGGCTAGGGCAAGGACGGAATTTCTGTTAGCGAGGATCAAACTTATGCAGCTCAATGCAGCATCATGAGCGGACTCTCGGTGGTTCAAACCCGACCAAAGTGTTAACGTGCTGATCCTGCCTTCTCCAAAAAAAAGCTTATGCACTCAGTATTGGCTCGGGGTTTGCCAAGGACCGCTTTCCCCGTCCTTGGCAGGCTATGGCGCCTTGGTTCATCGCATTTCGGTCGCTTTCAGCCGGCGTCCGCGTGGAGCGAGACTGACAGTGCAGGGACCAATTGGCAGTTCCTGAGTTTAGGCATGTCCGAACGACCGAGTTTTAGGTGCCCGAAATGTACATCATTTCCAACCCCGGACCAGTAAGTCCGTTTAACCCCGCTCAAATAAATGCTGGACATCCTCATGACAGTCAATTTGATGGCAGTTTCGGACATTCGCTCATTCCCAACTGCGAACCCATGGCGGACCCTCTCAAGTTGAGTCAGATTTCGGTATGTGCACTGAAGCCGAGAAGCTTGCAAACAATGCCAGATAGCTAATTTATTCGCAGTGTTCTAAATGCAAGGAAAGAAAGGCAAGCACCAACCGCCCTTAGGTATCGGTCAACTGCACCTAACAGGTGGGAAATGCCAGGTCAAATGTGATCGTATCGTACCCAAATGTAGCCGTTGTGACGTACGCGGCGTTGAATGTGTCTACCCACATCGCAATAAACGAAGGCCAGTCGGGCGACCAGGCAACGATAGCTCGTAAGTGGGATATTATTGGATGCCATTCATCGGCTCATCACATTGACACTGGGTGGCTGAAGCATATACAGTACGGGCAATACGCTGGCCACAATATTGGAAAGATTGCAACGTGTCGAGAACAAATGCGTGACTCTTCCCCAGTGGCAACCACCGGGGGATTCAAGTGATGTCAGCTCCGCCAAACAGACGATCTCTATAGAATCCCTTGTCCGGCCAAGCACCGCGACTGCTTTAACATCTGAGGCAGTCAGCAATCCATTGGGCTCAATCTTCCCATGGTCACTTGATACGCCTCCCTTTCAAGATGATTTCGACGCTGTCTCAACCTTACAGTCCGCAATTGATGAGGTTGAGAAGCGGGTCCATCGCCAGGCGGCAAAGTCAGTAGTCAGGGATGCTATTCATATACCCAAAGAGCTAGCTAGGACCTGGGTTGAGTGTGAGTTGACTCTGCTTACTAGTTCCTGATGGGTCCGGACTAACATCAAACTCTGTATGCCAAGCATTCTTCCGTCACATGCATTCTGACATGTTCGTTAATCTGATTGATAGGAAGTTGATTGAACTCATTCCTGAACTGGTTGAAATGAACCACGTACATCTTGATGGTTCAATAACGTTCGTTTACTATACTGTGTTGTATTTCGGTTGCAGCATTACAGCATCTACGCCGAACTCTGCTGACATCCAGTACTGCAAGGCTGCATACATTTGCTGCTTGCGCGCGCTGCCTGAGTGGCAGAGAGAGGCGACGGGATCGACGACCGATCTAATAGCGGCGTTGTCTATGGTAAATTTCCCCACAAAATGAAGACTCTGGATTGCCGGTGCCATTGACAAATTTTGATTGCTGCAGGTCATGATTTGTGCAGAGTCATTCAATTTCGAACTTGGCTGGCAGATGTACAATTTGGCTTGCGAGTATGCGCAGAGCCTCAATCTACAGAGCCTAGACGTGTATGGTTCTTCTTCGATAGCATCAGAGGGGACAAGCGATGGTGACCGCAAATCCTTTTGGGAGCTGATTCAGATCGATTTATTCATACAACTCGTCTTTGACAAGCCACCGCGCATTACCGCCACGACTTGGAAAGTCAACATGCCGTGGTTGAATCCGGACTCACAACCCAAGGAAAAAGTCGAGGCTACGTTGTTTTTATGTGGTTCCCGTATTACTCTCATTTTGATGAGATTCTTTTCCATGTTGGAAATGGCAAGTGATGACAGCCGGGGAGAACTGATGCAAGAGACGGAGGCTTTGTGTCAAGAAATCCAGGAGCTGTATACTCAAGGGCGGTTGGTAAGTCTTGCTTTATGATCCTCTTGCCGGTATGTCTCTTTTAAAGACACTGCTAACATTTGTCTAAGGGCAAGTCGCTGGTAGGATCGGCCCAGAGTGAGGCCGATATATGGAAGGCAATCGACGCCAATTTGATTGGCTACACTTGCATTATCTTCATGCTGCGCAAAGCAAGAATGCATGCTCTCAACTCGCCAATTCCTTCACCGGTGGACAGTGACCTAATGGACTCCCTGATAGCTCTGGATGCAGCACGGAACATCATTAAGACCTCAGAATCACTTTTAATCAGGTACCCTTGGCCGACTTCTGTCGCGGCATTATTTGGTGCATTTAAAATTCAAATAGCTTATACCATTCTCTTCAATGCCGTCCGTCGGGGCCCCGACAGGAACGCTTACGCAACAGACATCAGGATGCTCCAGTCACTTGGTGAATCCATCATCAAGATTTCCAGCGCCGAGAAGGAGTTCGCGCCTTTGGTGCACGCTGTGCAAGCCCTTAATACCGATTTAAAACAGAGATATGATTGGAATAAGTTCTCTCATTTAAGAGCAGGTTAACAATGAAAATGTCGATCTCAATACAATTTGGCCTTCCTTTGTACCTGTTCCTGTTTGTAAAAAATATTAGCATGGAGCTCACATTGATATTGTCCTTGTCGTGTGGTAGGTCGTGGGGTTTGAGATCTCGTCTACTGCCAGGGATCATGGTCGCAATATCACGTTTGACATAATCATGAACTCAGGTCTCCTTGGATACCCAGATACTGCGATTACGTATGAAATTGGGTATCAGAGATATACCATTGATCAAATCTCTCTTCCTGTGCTACGACCACCTACTCCACGCACTTTCCAGCAGAAGATTAATCACCCAGAATACTGTCATCCGCCGAATTAGATCGTGCAGATGCAACAATGGCCTGCTGTCCAGGTTTCTACGACAACTGCGCCCAACGAAGTCCATTCCGGTCTATTCAAATTGGAATACGCTCAATAAGCTTGTCGGCAACTTGTTTTGCCTGAGAGCGTAAGATTCCGTGTCTCGAACCCTCCGCCAGTGAGAACACCAGGTAGACAATAATGGATATCTGTCAGTGAACCACCAAAGCCGTTGAGAGATTTCTCGCTATCATATAACTATGGCTGTCTAATTACTGATATTGGTCTTGCCTTATTTGCCTGCTATTGAAGATGCATGCTACTTTGTACAACATTATTGCTAGTTTCCCATGAAAATCGGTTCCCATTATTCCCATATAGCTACAGAGTCTTCATGACAGCTTTTAAACATTAATTGGATCCTCATCAGTCCTTGAGGTGTTCAATAACAATATCTCGATACTCGGTCAGATCGCCGATAGCGAGTTGGAGGAGAAGAGGGTTGTCGAGAATCTCAACAATAAAAGGCCATGGAAGGAGATAGTTGTTGCTGTTGTTGATGTAGGTTCTTGTGATTTCAATGGATGAATAATGGGGATTAATAATCTCAACAGAGGTGCTGCATCCTATTTACTTGCATTGTCTGCAGTGATAGCAAGAATTTGTGACTCAATATTGTACTCATAAAGCTTTTTTTTTTTTTAACAACAGCAGGAAGGGCACCTCCAGTATGCGCTCCAGACAGAGGCTCAAAACCCAGCAGGATTTCCTTTCGCTCCCACCGAGAAGTGATAAACGACCCAACAATCCCCAGAAATGCAAGGTTATTGGGATATTTCCATGTATCAAGGGTGATAGATATTGCTGTATGCCTTGGTTTTCCAGCCAGGAGCTTCTGCTTCACTGTCTCAAACCCAGTGCTGAGGAAACTTCGAAGTTTTGTCCGGCGTGGGAAGGAAATATTGGGGCCAAGAAGCCGAAGAAGATCAATCATTGCTGGGTTATCAATTACTTAGAAGGAAAGGTTGAGAGAGATGATAGCCTTGAGAATATACTCTGTAATATTTCCATCGGTCTTTGGGGTTAGGATATCATTCGAGATGGCAGAATATGGTCATTTGGAACTGGTTTTCCGTGATTCCCACTGGAACTGTCATTGAAATGCTGTTGCTGAATACAATTCGAGGTCATACCTGAAGGACTAGTTGCTTAGAATCTATCGATTGTAAGCTTTTGCAATCCTTGGTGTTTAAGTGCTTATTCATCCCTGAAGCACCATTCTTTGTGAAAATACCATGCTGGATGAGTTTACCACAGGCCCGGCATTGGAGAACTGGCTTTCCTGTATGCATTTCAGCAAGCTGGATAAAATGTTTCCAAAGATCTTCACGACATCTGCTCCAACAGGGATGTTGAAACTTCTCATCAATTGTTCCACTTATGCATTTTCGAGAAATTGGGGTGTAATTCCACCAGTCAAGAAGCAAGTTACAGTGGATTGATTGAAAGTGAACATATTCCACACCATAAATTGTCTCTATGTGAGCATTTTCTGGGGGTTGGTGAGATGTGGAAGGAGAGTCATTCAAGACGCTGGCAGGGGAGAATGAGGACAAACTATCCTCAGATTGACCCGTGAAGATGAAGCCATACTCAAAGTATTGGCAGATGGTAACAGTGAGAAACTGAGAAGGAGTCAAGGACAGCCTGGACAGGGTTTTCAGCTTCAAAAGATAGGATAGAACTTGGAAGATTTTCTGCTAGGTTAGAATTGAAAATAAGGGTATACCATTGCCAAAATTTATGGAGAGTAGTAGATGTGGCCAACTGACCATGTCACCATGGGTTCACTTTTTCATCCCACTTGTAAAGCGATTTGCGATAGATCAGCAAGAGGCATCCCGACATGTTGAAATAACATTGTTTTACCAGGACACAACACGCTATTTCAGATGTAGATATGTGTAAATATATGTATTTGATATGAAATCCCAACATATGTCCTAGGAAGGTCGTGGTAAACACGAGGGAAAGAGGCATTTCTTAGGTAGGTTCTGCATCAATATCACTATCCTGCATTGCTAGAGAACCGCTTGTGAATATATATATACTCTTACTGCATGATTCAGTTTAGCCTGGGGAAAAGTTCTATACTGCCAATAAAGCCTTGAACCTGCTTTATTTTATTAGAAGTAAACATCCCAGGCCATAATACATATGAATGGATTTCCCGCTGATTTTTACCATTTTTTTGAACAGGGATTTTGCGCTTTCGTAATGAAAATTGCCCTCGGGGGTTCAAATTCATGAAAAGCCGAAAATCGTGCTTAATCGATCATCTTGTATTGTAGTTTAACTAGTCATCCTCACTTTTGTTTCTTGCCAATGAGTTATAGATAAGGCGCTTTGCTTAGAGGGGATCATTGGCTTTCCCTAAAGATTGAAACGAATTGCATGGCAAACGAATAATTATTTACCAAATAACTTCTCGGGATTCTCATAAAGATTATATCTTCGTCCCCATCCCGTTTCATTTAAAGGATGGGAAGTTCCCATTCCCATTTTTTCTGAAAAGGTCATCCCGATGTCGACGGGATGGGAATCCCATCCCATTCCCATCGGGATTATCCCATCCCAACGGTCAGCCTAATCATGATTTGCATAATGTATGATACGACACTCGACATTTCCCTCACCTAACATTTCCGCCCAGCCACCTAGACCAAACAATGTACATGGCATGTGTAGCCAGCTTGGGTCGATTCTTTTCTCTGTTTTTGGTTCGAAATTCTTCACTATCTCGCTTCCTTCAGCCGGTGCGGATGAAAGCCGTTTATAGTCACCATGCCCAGCCCAGATCACAAATAGGGGCATTGGAGTTGCACTGCCAGGGTCTTGATTGGATGGAACCAACATCATGTCTTCAAAACCCCTCCATAGCGTGGTGTATATTTGTGAAATCCCCCAGATCCATCTTCTGCAACTGCACACACAGACTGCTTAAGATATTGGATAGCACAGCATGTGCTTTGTGCATACCACACACAGCCTGTGACAGCCTGGTCACATTGGCTGGGTATCATGTGAGGTGCAGTTGTTTGCTTTGTTGCTTTGTTGATAAATACAGTGTTACCTCCTTTCTTCCTTCCTCATGTCAATCATTCTCGTCTATAGCTACCTAGGTAGAGCCATGAGGAAGTTCTGTTATCCAAGTCGAGCTCCGTGACAACTTGCATGAATTTCAGCTCCAATTTTGGGGAATCTGCAAAGTCTCTTTCTATGTTTTTTTGGGGGAGTCCCCGTACGAGCTGATTCCAGAAATATGGTGGCCTTCTAGTCTGGGACTTGGTACCATGTTTGGTGCGGTTTCTAGTTTTGTTCAGTCATTTTGGTTGATCAAGATTGAAAAAAAAATTTAAGGAGAAAGTATGGATACTCTGTTTAGAGAAGATAAAACATGCAATTGGATTCAGTACTTGGGAGTTTATATAATTCCTCACTGGGAAACCCCACGGTAGAAGCGCTCTCTGATATAAGAGCACAGGAAACATTGGATGTAAACGCTGGGTAATTAGGCTTAGCCTATTTTGGAAATTGGCCGAGGCCGCTTTAAAGCGGCAACGCTGCGACGAAAATGCCACGAAAATGAGCATCGAAGGCCACGAAGTTTTGTGGCCCTTCCCCCGTCACCCAGAGTTACTCCGTACTCTGCATTCTGTACACCACACTGCCCTGTTAGAGCAAAATGGCCGATTACACCAAAGAATCGCTCCATGCCCTGGGTGCTCCCGACCCAGAACTCTCCGAGGTACGGCACCCGCATCCATGGTAGCCAATGTAGCTAACCCCTGGCTGGGATAGTTCCTTAAAACAGCCCCCACGCCGAACCCCGACTTAACTCTCGCCCAGCGCCGCGAGGAAGTACGCTCGCGAGAAAATTACCGCTACAAGAATAGCCCGACATTCGACACGATAGAGTCCGTGGTGAATATTCAAATGCGCGATGGGCATTCTAGCGAAACGCGTGTTTTCAAGCCCGCAGAAGCAGCGACAGGAACGCCATTGGTGGCATTGATATTTGGTGGAGGATTTATCAACGGCTCGAATATCCAGCTTGTCGCTATCGCGCGTGCAGTTGCGAAGCTGTACGGCGCGACGACGGTGACGCTTTCGTATCGTCTTGCGCCGGAATACAAGTTCCCGACTGCACCTCATGATATCTGGGATAGTGTATCGTGGCTAGCAGAGAATGCATCAAGCCAAATCGGAAACGTGGATATGGCAAAAGGTTTTGTGATCGGTGGTGTATCCGCCGGCGGAAACCTCGCCATTGTTACCGCGCACAAGGCTCTAAAGCAGAAGCTTGCCGCACCGATCACTGGCGTCTGGGCTTGTATCCCAGCTGGGCTCAGTGATTCGACTATTCCAGAGCAATATAAGGATATCTGGGCATCGCGCGTGCAGAATGTAAACGCGCCTTTTCTGAATACGCAAGCCATCGAGATCATCAGCCAATTGTACCAACCTATCGAGACCTCGGAGGACTACACACCCTTCCCGGATCCAGCAGATCTCTCTTGCCTCTCGGGTATCCCCCGCACTCACGTCCAAGTTGCCGGACTCGACCCCCTCCGCGACGACGGATTGATTTACGAAAAGGCGCTACGTGATCACGGTGTCGAGACGAAACTCGATGTGTATCCTGGTGTTCCTCATGCGCATTTCTCGGCATTGCCGGGGTTGAAGGCGTCGTCTCAGAGTAGGAAGGATACATTGGTTGGGCTTGGGTGGCTGTTGAGACGGGAGGTGGATGTTAATGCTGTGGAGGGTGTTGAGGAGGCGTGGAAGCAGGCACTGCTTGGGACTGTTAAATAAACTGAACGGGGTACATAGATTGGCTAATGTGAAGCCATAGTTATCTTTAGAAAACCCTTATTACCCTGGTACTCCTATCTAATCTGATACCCATACTAGGAAAATGACGTTGGTTCCGCCGCATCGGGAAGTGGAACCGCAAAATTTCCAAGTCCCAATTATCATTCTCCCAACGAACAAAAAGAAGTAAAAAGGAATGACCGACGCAGGGGTCGAACCTGCAATCTCTTGATTCGTAGTCAAGCGCCTTACCATTGGGCCAGCCGGCCTTATTGGCATTTTTCAGCCCCTACTGTTTATATATTCCAGTTTATTTTGGGTTCAGGTTTAAAAAGAAATGATAAAGAATGGCACTACTCATACATCTCTAAAAGTCTCTGCTTCTCCGAAACAAAGCCCTCCTCTACATCCGCTGCCGAAGCAGAACCAGTCTGTTTCTTACCCCGTACATGGAAATAAATCGAGGCTCCGATCCGCCCAACCAGGAATCCAATCACGCATGCCACAAAACCAGCCATAATGCCCAGCAACGCCGGCATGATAATCGGCCGGACAAGGCGCAGGAAATGACGATTGGAACTGTTGTGCTGTGAGGGGTAATAAGTGAATTGGTAAAGCGAGAGGATCTGGAAATGCGAGTCGTCGTCTGACGGGATTTTTGGTGTGGAGTCGAGACCCTGCTCTGACTCTGTTGAGTGACGGTGTCCGTCGATGATGAGTAGCTTGTCTGAGGATTTTGGCTCCCCGTGCAGCCGGTTCTTGACTGCTTCTTTCACGGTGACCATGTATCCCCCAACCTGCGTCTTCCAATACTTCAGCTTCCAGTGCTGGGCGTGGTGCACTGCTGGCTCCACCCTGATACTTGACAGCACGAGTCGCTCCTCTGCATTGCGGACAAGCGTAAGACTGACTAGATCCGTGGTAGCGGGTCGACCCTGGCTATCGAGTAGATTTATTGTAAAACGGTATAACTTCCCCTGCGCGCGCGGCGGAACTCGCTGTGTATGCAGGGCGTAGGTTAAATGAACCTCTTCAGTTTCTTTGCTTGTTCTCGAGGACCAATGGCGGGTAGCCGGGAGCTGCATATCCATGGAGGTAGATGGGAAGATAGGGATGTCGTTGGCGGCAAGTGTGCCGTTTGTCATTGTGAAGTCGACGGTCTGTCGCCTTACATTAGTTTCTATCCTGATGGCTAGTATCTGGGGCAGAGAGGTACCAAGTATGCATTTGGCTTTCTATCCTGCGAACAGGTAGTATCTGCGAACGCGCATGGCGCGCATGGTAGACGGATTTGATTGACGTCTGACCGATGCACAAGAGTATCATTCCGAGGTTGTGTGGCTAGTGCGGTGCATGCACCGAGATAGAGGACTGATAGGAAGCGTAGTAACATGATATATATCAACGAAGGACTGTCAAAAGAGTGACTGGTGGTGAGAAATAGTAAGGAGAGAGAATAGGAATGGTAATGAGGAATGAGGGAATGGGAGGAGAGGAGGTCTTGCAACAGTGGAGGAAGTTGACGCGTTGGAGCGGCTCTCTGAATGGATGGCTATGTCGATCCTGTATACATGCTTGTACTCCGAATGCGCCTGATTGTTTCTTTGTACCATCCCCCCCATTGGTCCTCTACACTTATATTCCTCCCTCTCCTTCCTGCTTGTCTATGTTTAAACCCATATCTTTCCTCTATCCATGCTATCCTCTGTGTATGGTATACTCTGAACTGACGTTGAAACGTGCCGCCTTGGAATCTTGATGCCTGCACACCAAGCCCCATAATTATTCAATCCGAGTCTAGAGCGGTTTCAGTACTTTCCTGCATCTTGCCCCCCTCATGTCGCTTTTATTCTATCTACATATCTTTTCTCGCTGGAAACATCCTGGATATTTCCCGCGATGAGAAATGCCGAGCCCATATGGCGTCATCGAGGGTCTCTACCTAAAGGGGAAATATCGGAGATATCTGACATTGTACGTATGCATGTTAAAAAAGCTTGGCTAACCGCACGGATAGAAACGACTATATCAGACCGTATATGGAGTGTGGAGTGCAACTCGCGGCTATGTAAAATGCATACCCCCGTCCACCACACTGGTCTGCCCCGTCGTATAATCCGAATCCGGACTGGCCAAATACCCACCAACCACTCCAGCTACGTCCTCCGGCGTCCCACTGCGCCCCAGCGCAACCATCTGTTCTGTATAGTTTCGCTTCATATCCCCCTTCTTCTGCCCACTCATTCGGGTTAGGCTCTCATCGATCCCGTCAAGCATCAATGTATCGATTAATCCCGGCGCATACGCATTAACTGTGATCTTATGCGGCGCGCACTCCTGCGCAAAGGCCTGCGTTAGCCCCCTGACCGCGAATTTACTGGCGCTATAGGCGCCTAGGGGAGCGGAAGCTCTGAGTCCAGCTATGGACGCTGCCCCGAGGATCTTGTACACGCGGACGCCAGCGACGGTCTCCGGGTCACCCTGTGCAATCATCTGTTGCACGGCGCGGGTGTAGCAATTAAACACGCCCTTGACATTGACTGAAAACACATCATCAACATCCTCCTCGGTGACAGAGAACAGCGGTTTTGTCTGGGCGATGCCCGCGTTGGCGACCATTAGTGTCAGAGGACCGAGTTTGCCGACTGTCTCGCGGATCATGGCTTCTACGGATGCGCCGGAGGTCACGTCCGCTGGGACGCCGATTACTTTGGGGCGAACATTGGATGACGGAATGGTGTTGAGTTCGGTGACAAGGGCTTCGATTTCCGCTGCCTTGTTGGGAATGTCGTTGATGCAGACGGAATAGCGGTCTCGGACTAGGCGAGTTGCTATAGCTCTTCCACTGGGGAGGTTAGTTTGTTCACGAGTACTGCGCAGACTAGATGGTGTACCGAGAAATGGTACCTACATCCCGTTTACAGATCCGGTGACAATCGCTGTTCGGCGCATGGTGACGAGCAGTTCTCGATCTCGAGCTCAAGATATCGAGATCGGACCAGGGGTTATTGCCCCTTATATAGGACAATTATGACCCGGCATTCTTTGCATGAACACGTAATGTATCTTACACAAGCTAGTGACGCATATAAGCAAATGGCGCACCCAACGCGAAACCGTCAATTGATTGGACCCTCCCACTTCAAGAAATCACTGCTGGTTAGGTTCGTCCTGCATTGTTTGCTTTGTCCGATCTCAATCTGGATTAGCGGGGCTCCTATATCTGCATATCTGTGAGTTCACGACAACCTGCATGATCCTGCCAAGCCATTCTACCTGAATGATTGCTGATCCATGTAGTGCTTGTTGATATTTGGAATGGTTGATTAGTAAAGCTCGTAAATAGTAGTTACATCCCGCTTTCGTTGTTTATGGTAGGATGGAATCCCTGACGTCAATCTGACAAAGTGCCTCTACAATCATGAACTCAGTATACCCATTCTACAAAGCTCTACAAAGAAACTACTACACACGCCAAAATGGTCAAAGACAAAGACACCGTAATCCAGTACGCCTCCACACCAACCCCAAAACACCTCCTAACAAGCATAGCGAATTCCACGACCTAGTCAACATGTCCCCCACCGAACTCTGGTCCTGGCTCCAAAAAGAGCAGTCCCAATCCTCCGGCTGGCAAAGCCAATCCGGAGAAACCATCGGCCACGAGAGGTACTTCCCCGTTTCTCAATTCTCCGCACGTCCGGTTTCTGAAGAAAACGAACCCAGCGGCCGGCGTATTGTCGATATCCTCGCGCATAATCCTGATCGGGACCCAGGGGGGTACACGGAGAATGATATTGGGCATATGAGGAAGGTGGTGGCGTATTGTAAGAGGCATTTGGCGCAGGAGGAGAAGGCCAAGAGTGATACGGGGAGTAGGAGTTATCGGTCGTTGAAGAATTGGGGGCATGATGCTTTGAAGGAGTAGTTGTAATTGTGTGTTAGGAGAGAAAAGGCTCTGCTATGCTGAATGCCAATTAGAAGCCTTCAAAAAGTATCCATGAACCAAGTGCCATCTTGAGGAATCCCTTCATTCATTGCCACGAACTTGGATGAGACACATGAGCGACTGCTGTCTAAAATTTATGATTATCACATTAATGATACCCACCGTATCCTAGAATTACTCTGTTTTTCGCCACGGCTGCTGTCGGTGGAAGAACTTGCAGATGCATATGAAGTTGATCTCAGAAACTTGTGCTTAGATCTTGACCGTCTAATGCTAGATGTTGAAAGTATCAGAAAACTTTGCCCTGGGCTAGTTCAGGTTATGCCTGTTGCGGACAGTGCAAGCGAAGGAAAGGTCAAGACAATTGTCTACATTACCCGTTCATCTCTTCCGAAATATCTTGTTCGAGAGCAAACAAGGCAGTCAAACCCAGAATGCGTATTTTATTTTATTTTATTTTTTCAAGATAAAATTGCCCAGGCAGAAATGGCTCAAGCATGCCTTGTTTAATTACTGGAGCCAGAACTGCGTACTGGTGAGCTAGAGGAGAGAAACTCAAAGCACTTTCACTAGCATATTATGCTTCCAAATATTGGTTTCATTGTTTCCAGCTGGCGGTGTCAAACACTCAGGTTGAAAACTTGGCTTTGCAGCTATTCAAGTACCGGAGAGGTGCCTTTGATAGATGGGTCAAATTGTATGAGATTGACTGGCTGTAGGAAAGCTTTTAAAGCGCTGATCCAACATTAGATTGACTGCTAGCCCTATGTTTTTTGCTTCCTGCCTTGGCCTTGGATGGGTCTTGCAGGATCTCCTTGACGGAATGGGTGAATATGAGGATGGAAGTAGTCGGGCAGAGCGTGGTCCCGCAACCGCACTGCAAATCGCATCATGAAGGAGCCATCAATACATCATACAGATACTTCTCGACAGCGGTGCCGATGTTAATGCATCCGGCAAATGGTGCGGGACTGCTCTCCAGGCCGCATCCCGCAATGGGCACCAAAAAATGGTACAGATGTTCCTAGACCTCGGAGCCGATTTCAATGCACCAGGACCCGAATATGAGACTGCACTTTACGTTGAAGCAGCTATTGGCCATGCACCTGTGGTGCAGATACTATTAGATTGGGGGGTGGGGGTGGATAATTGACCATCACCGCTCAACCGGCCGCGCCCTCCAGGTAGCAGCATCTAGGTGCCATATAAACGTGGTACATATCCTCTTAGACAGAGAAGCGGATGTAAGTCATAAACGTGGTGGACAGTATGGCAACGCACTCGAGGTTGCGTCTAGACAGGGCAGCGAAGAAGTCGTCCGGCTGCTGCTGGCCAACGGTGCCGACGTGAACGCATATGGCGGACTGTATGGAAACCCACTCTGCAACACCGTACTCAGCGGAAATCCCTAGGTAGTCCAGATGCTACTAGATAATGGCACCGATATCAATGCGGGCTCATTCTTTATCCTCGGAACCTCACTCATGTGGGCGACAAACTAGGGAGACAACGGAAGGGTCGTCGGGCTCTTCTTACAACAGGGCGTCCGTGTCAATGACCAAGGCGGTACTAGGGACAACGCTCTGCAAGATGCATGTGTCAGGGGGGATGCGCGTATGGTTCAGCTTCTCCTGGACTGGGGAGCCTATGTGAATGCCCGTTCTGGGCACCAGGGCACGGCGCTTCAGGTTGCAGCGCGACATGGGACTACGGATGCTTTGAGAATGTTATTGGATAAGGGAGCCGATGCAAATGCTCCACCGGGCCATATGGCACTGCCCTTGAAGCAGCCCTGTATATTGAGGATGAGGATATTGTTCGCATGCTACGTGATGCGGGGCCAAACCGTCGAAATACTGTAAATTATAGTTAGGGTTGCATGCATAAATGCTAATAAAGTGGTACTTCACAGGGATAGTCTGTGCACCAGTATTGTCTTGAACGAGATCTTGTGTAAGATACACCACCCACATGGAAGACATAGGAAGTCCATTATTCGAAAGGTCGATAAGGTCTTGACCGGCTCTTCCGATGTTGGTAAGTGATAATAACCTTACGAAAAGCCATAATACCATAGGATGCTTACTGACAGCCCCACGGGAAATGTCAGCTATGCCGTCCCTACGCTCCACTCCATAATTGCAATCCAACTTCCGAAGGCTGCTTCCCCCACCATCCTTCTTTTACTGCCTGCGCTGGCACCGACAAAGCACACGAGGAGGCTATTACTGTTGGGAAAGGCTTGGCCCTTCTGGGATGGGATATGTTGACTGATGATAAGCTCTTCGTTGCAGTCAAGGCTCAATAGGGGGGCCAAGTGCCGAGTAAATGAGATAAATGATGTATTTCAAATGGTTTCCATTCTTGACCCCTGTAGTGGTGTATAGGCATAGGAGTTGGCGTGCCAAAAATATCCACCATGGTTAAGGAAAGCTCATTTGAATATCGGTTCCTTCATCTCGCCAAGAGAAATTTCGAAATTCAGCTTGGCAGCATAGTAGGTGGTTGCAGGAAGATGTCGTGTTTCGCGCTAGCTGCACAGCTTGCTTGGGAAATATATTACCTTGCCCTTCTATAACTGTATCGCTCATGCCAATTCCTCCTTTTGAGGTTCATCGGTGTTCTCCTCGTGATAAGTGTTCTCCTCGTGATAAGAAGTCCCCTTGATATCATAGCGGAACTGCTCCTCTTCCTCCTTGAGCTGCTCCTTGAGTATCTTGTTTGCTCTCCAAACAGGCTTGCATTTGAACAGACAATCGACCTTCTCCAGCGGGATACCACTAGTTTCGGGGATGAGAAAGAAGGCGAAGAAGAAGGCGAGCACTGACAAGGCTGCGAAGAAGAAGTACACGCCGTAGTGCATCTTCTCGAACATTTGTTCGGTGAATCGCGAGATGAGGAAGTTGAAGAGCCAGTTGCTGGCGGTGGTAGCGGCCTGGGCCAGGGAACGGAAGTTGGGGTCGAAGAATTCCTATTGGTTTGTTAAAACACGAGTAATCCTAATGGCAGGGATCAATGACTCACAGAGTTGATAACCCATGGTGTACCGTTCCAGGTAGGCGTGTAGACGGCGGTCCAAAGGTAGAAGAAGAAGATCGCTGCGATACCTCCACCGTTGAGGCTGCTGCTTGGGTTGTCTTCGGGTTTAACGACACAAATGTAGGCACCAATGATCCACATGCAGATCGATCCGGTTATGGCACCGCCAAGCAACAAGTTCCGTCTTCCGACTTGATCGACTAGAAACAAGAGCCACACGAAGGTCGTAACAGCCTTGATCACACCGAAAATACCGGTCATTACGTTCACAGTGTCGGAGTCGACACCAATCTATAAGAGCAGTCAGCATCAGAAAAGAGGTCAGGACGGGAAATCCAATGCAGTATTGCGGGCCCAGGGGATTGCCATCATACCGAAGTGAAAATGGTAGGAGAATAATAGTTGATGGCATTGATACCGGAGCCATTCTGCCAGAAAAAGAGCATACAGCCCAGGAACAGACGCCACATAACGTTCTTGCGGGTGCTGAGGGCCTGGAAAGGCTTCCAGAATCCAAAACCGATGGTGGTCTTCTGATACTCAAGAGCCTGGTCGATGGCTGCTACCTCTTCTGTGATGTAAATGTCGTCGGCATTCAATTGGCGAATCCAGCAGAGGTTCTCCATAGCTTCGCAGCGACGATCCTTAAGGAAAAGCCAGCGAGGGGATTCCTTGATCCACAGTGCACCAGCGAAAAGCATACCAGCCGGGGCGATCTGAATGGCAAAGGGGATGGTCCATTGCTCATGGTCTTGAGGCATGTGTTGTTCAACGCCGTACTATCAACTTTAGGTTAGCTTGGCTGCAAAGACGGCATGAAGAAAGATCGTAGAGAGGCCGGAAGACCCACGTTAATCCAGAAGCCAACCATACCGCCGACCTGCCAGCCAAGTTCATACAGACCGACGAGACGTCCTCGGATGGCAGGTGGTGCCAGTTCGGAAAGGTAAATGGGAATGATGTTTGAAGCCACACCGGTGCCTAAACCGGATAACACACGGCCAGCGTATAGGATGCCCAGTCCTCGGGCGCTGTTGGCACCGAGTTGCAAACCAGCGCCGGTAATGAAAATGGCAGCAGCAACAGCCAAACACCATTTTCGGCCAGTAAAATGGCTCAGTCCATAAGTCAAAAGGGCACCGAAGAAGGCACCAGCGATGAAAAGAGAGACAATATTCTCGCTAATCAAATCTCTTTCCGCAGAAGACAACTCGTTGAGACCAAACTCATTCTTGAAGGATGTGAGTGTGATGGTTGTACCGATGAAGGCACTGGTATAACCGATCATATTGGAACCGCATGATGCAATGGCGGCGAGTGCATAGACGCGCCAGTTGTAGACGGATTTGGGAGTCGGCCGGTCTTCAGCAAGTTTGAGGATGCCCATGGCTGATTGAGGTACCAGCCCGGGAAACGTGAGGTAATTGAGAGATGAACGAATTTGATCGGGGAAGATGGGAGAAGGAAAATGGGTCAAGACATGCTGGGATTCGGGTCCTAAGTAATATCCCCCATCCCAATGGATCTTGGGTGTGGAAATTCCCCATCTCCACAACACACGTCGCCTACAGCCCCATAGCCTGGGGCAATATGGGGATGGACGTGAGTATGATACAGCAACAATTACAGATGCATGAAGATGTGAGAACGTTGGCCGGGGTAGCTCTTTCCCGGAGAAAACATTCAGCCGCAGCTAACAAAAAAAAGCTTAGTGTATATCTAAAATGGAACCCTAATTGAAGGTGCATGAGAATAATTCACCGCTCACGGGGTAAACGCTTAACCACGCGGTGCGGAATCGAGAATTTGCCGAGCACACAGACAGAAGAAAAGAAGGACAAAAAAGGATAAAAGTCTGAACGCGCGCGTTGTTGAACCCCAGCCGGAAACGGGTCAAATGGGGTCACGTGGATCCCATATACTTTGAATATGAACTGGTATGTAGTTGATTGGGTGGTCGGTCGACTAGACCAGCCAGCTACCTACCTATTTGGCCTAACGAGGGTGGTAAGGAAGCACTGATCACCGAGTGTCAATTGAAACGGATAAACCAATAAGGCGGTTAACTCCGAGTCGGGGAAGTCGGGGAGTCGATTATCCGGACTGCATGAGGCTATATATGAAGAGGAAATTTAGATTACACGGAGGGTGACATTGATATCTATAGACACCATAGGTGGTAGAATGAGTGCTTGGCTATCTAAACGAGTGTGTGTGTCCGTATATGAGGAATCTGTCGGCCTCGGTAATCGGACTATCTATCAATCCGATTAGTGAGCTCCGGAGAGGTTTTATACCACGTACAATCTCTACTGCGCGATACTGTCACTGTAGTTCTTGGCTGTTATATAGGCCTCGTACGGTTATCCAGAGAATCGGCACCGCTTCCCCGAAGCTTCCCTATTTCAAAGTGTCCACGCCTCTTGATAGGCCGCACCAAAACATCAGAGTGAAAACTGATCTATACAGACTATACTTAGGACCTACGACCGGTGCCTGTCTGTTTTCAAAGAACAATGCATGCTTTGTGCACCAATAGAAATGCTTTTTTTCCCTTGTCTTTCTTTCTTTTTATATAGCCTCACTCTTTTTAGCGTGTGCGGCCTGTGCTGTTCTTCTAAGCACCAGCCATGCCCAGCTTCCTCCAACAACATGTTATTAGAAAAGGCCGCCTAATATATTCAAATTCCTTGGGATGTTTTGATGACAACAAAAACAACAACAGAGATCTGGTTCCAGGTATACTTGTTTTTCTTCTTTTTCTTTGATTTATTATTGCAGCGCATGACTGATTCTTCAAAAATGAGCAAACATAATATATCTCCGCCTTCATCTCCATTTCAATTAGCTAAATGTTTGAAAATGACGAGTCTCCTAACAATACCTTGCAAGACAACTATACAGTTAGATGGATCTGTGCTCTGCAAGAAGAGTATGAATGTGCATGTCGAATGCTTGATGAGGAATTTGATGGCCTGCAGTTCGATCAAATTGCTGATGGCAACATATATGCGTATGGTCGCATCGCAATACACCATGTTCTGGTCGACTGTCTGCCTGCCGGCCGGCATGGCGCTAATTCAGTGGCTCGTGCTGCCAGAGACATGGTGCGGACCTTTCCTAATCTACGGTTTGCACTGATGGTTGGGACTGGCGGTGGTATTCCATCCCAATGGCATGATATCCGACTGGGGGATGTTGTTGTGAGTCAGCCGCATGGTCAATGTGGAGATGTGGTATAATATGATTTAGGAAATACGCTGCAAGATGGAACCTTTCAAAGGACTGGCCAATTAAATGCCCCTTCCTAGAAATTGTTAGGGGTTTTCCCAAAAGTGAAAAGGCTTTACAATGACAAAGAAAACCTGACATGATAGCAGAGCATCTTCAACGAATGGATGATATGGAAGACCATCGGCGACCTATAATCGACCGATTGTACAAGACAGAATACGAGCACCCTAAGGGAAATGACTGCGAACAATATGATCCAAATCAACTGGTTGAGCGGCCAGAGAGAAGACTTCACCATATTGTGGCTGTGCACTATGGAACTATTGCATCTGGAAACTCTGTGATGAAGGATGCCATCACCCGAGACATGTGCAGTTGATCCTGAGCTCAACATTCTATGTTTTGAGATGGAAGCTGCAGGTTTGGTGAACAACATTCCGTGCCTTGTTATTCGCGGAATCTGCGATTATTGTGACTCTCATAAGAATAATGACTGGCATAAATATGCTGCACTGACTGCTGCTGCATATGCGAGAGAGTTGTTGCTTGCCTTAAAGCCGCAGCGTGTTGGGATGATGCCATTTTGGGCTGGCCAGGTAGCAGATAAACTTCAACAAGGTTAGAAACTGACTATTTCATTTGGTTCTTGTCATGGAGTACGGACATTCACCAACAACGCAAGATGTTTGTATACTTTGGCCTGTTTGAATTTAGGGCAGGAACCCCCTTCGCACACTAGATAGCGCAGCGCTAGCAGGCCCAGCTTCTTTCTTTCCTTCTCCATGTTAGTATTTCGACAGAGAGTCTACCAATGAATTTATACTGTTCGAAACTGTCACACCAAGAAAGCTAAAGCGGGAGGGGTAGGCTCACTTCGAAGCTCTTAGGCGAGGCCTATGCCATTTTCGTCTAAGCTGGGCTTGGGCTTGCTAGACAACACCGAAATGGCTGCCAGTGCGTGCTTATTGATAAGCACCGATACGCATGGCATGTCGACGCCGTCAAGGTGAGTTTTCTTCCCGACGCCTTGCGGAAGCACGTCGACAGCCAGCTTCAGTCAACAGAGCAGCTGTGTCTTCCCAATCCGGAACCATCGCCACTGTATCAGGCATATGTACTGCCTGAGTCAGGGGTCGATTACGAACCCAAAATTCCAAGCAAGGTCGGGTACATTCGTTCCTTATCCATTGGGACCAACGGGGCCATGGCATCGGCTCTGGCCTGTGGAGAGTTCCCATACCGATCCCAGGTGTGAGATGGATTTAGGGTTTCTTTTGTTCGCCTTCCTGTAGGTGTACTCTTTTTCCCACTGAAGATTCATTCCAAGGAGTTTTCTCTGGGCGGGTTTTAACGAGGCATCTTGTTCTGTGTTTCCTTCGTCTTATACGGAGTTTGGATATGGAGTACGGGTTAATCCCTGATTTTACTGTGTGTATGAACATCAATCAAACCGTTCACTTTCATTATCTTCCTACTATAGTCTATAGATTCTACTTTCTTATATTGCTAATTTGCGTCTTTTGCACTTTCAGTACTACAACTAGGTAGCATTCTCATACGTCATGCTAGCATAAGGGACTTATGGCAGCAATAAGACATTAAACAGGACAGCATATACATTCTCGTAGCCATACAATTCTAAACTAAGTTAAACTACTCATACCAAATCCCAAAAACATCCGTCTTGATCGTCTCATAATCTTCCTCATTATCCGGATCCCCAAAAATCTTCAACGCACTCACTAAAAATGTATAATTACCGGCTGGCGCATAAGTACCATCACTTAGTTTACCATGCCATGCACCCGCAACATTTTGACCTGGTACATAGCGTACCGGAAAACCGTCGATGGAACCGAGGATTTCCTGTCCAAGGACCTTTTCTGTGCTGTATTTAAACACACGCGTGACTCTAGTTCTGGGAATATGAGTTTGATTCGGCGGAAACACATCAACAGGCTGTACATCAACACGAAGCAGCGCCGTCCCCATCTTCAACTCCGCAAAAACAGCCGGTGCAAGAAGCCCCGGATACTTCGCCCGCGTACTATTCGGCGGCGGAATATTAAACTGGTAATGACTCGCCCACGGGACCCCAGGTCTAGATGTCGATGTTAAAAAGACGTGTTGTTTGTTGAGAACTGGCGCTTCCTTTAGCACCGAGCCAACGCCCAAATACGGTAGTGAGAAAGACTCGTCATTCTCGCTGTTTGCCGCGTTGATAGATATATATCCGCTGTACACTGGTATGCGTTCTATGGTCATGTTGAAGGGGAGGATTGGGGAGACGTGGATGAAAGCTTGTTCACCGGGTTGAATTGTTACTTCTGTGGTGCTAAATGAGAGGCCTGCGCCACGGGTGATCATTTCTGGTGGGTGGCCTTTGGTGAAGTGGGATTTTGATCCTTGGGTTGTGAAGGTGTAGAATGTTGCGCTAGGGGTGTGGGCGATTTCGTAGGTCACTGCTGCTGGGTTGGTGTTCTTTATGGTGAATCCGCCGTTTTTGAGGAGATTGGCTGTGTCGTTGAAAGATAGGGAGGGTGCAGAGAGGAGTGTTGTTGCGTGGACGGCGTTGTAGATGTTTATTAGGCCGGCACCTTGTTGCGGGACTGGTGCGAGGAAGGGATATTCGGATATGCCGTCGTGGAAGGACTCTGGTGTTGCTGTTGTGGAGAGGAGATTATTAATGGTCGCGGGGTCAAGTTTCCCGCGTGCTTCAAGGAGTAGGGCTATCGCGCCTGCTGCGTAGGGGCAGGACATAGATGTCCCCGAGAGAACGGCATATCCGCCCATGGCCAAGGGATATGTTGAAGCGATGACGCCTCCTGGGGCGGAGATCTGGGGTTTTGTTTGGACTTCGTATGACGGACCCCAGCTGGAGAATGTACTCATATACCCGCCTGTAGTGTAGTTTGGTTCTTCCATGATAGTCAGGCCTGCGCGTTCGGGGGAGCGGATGGTAAGGTGGACTTTGTATCCTGCTTCGAGGAGAGCGATCCATCTATGACCCTGAGTTTCCGGGACCATTCCCGCGAATTCGATTCCTGGGGCGTAGACGTATGCTTGGTTCGTTCCTGGCTGGGTATTGTAGAAGAGAATATGTTTCGCGCCGCGGGCAGCCGCATTTCCTGCCTTTTGGCTGAACGAGCAACCACCACGACGTATTAGGATGATATATTCTGATAGATCTGACGGTTCTTCAGGGAGGTCGTGGCAAGCGTCGTCTGCGGAGGAGGTGTTGTATGTTAGTGCGTAGAGCTGGTAAATGCCCTCGGAGATATTGGAGAGGATCCCTGGTGCCCAGCCAAATTCAGAATCGATGCCACCAGCAATGTATGTTCCCGGAATGAGGAGCATGGGATATGCTTTGTTGTCGACGGAGCCAACGGATGTTGCGCCAATGCCGCCTGCTGGTGTTGACGAGTGAAACGGTCCCATTGTTCCGCTGTTGCCGGCAGAGACGGTGCATGGGATGCCTGCTTTTACTATGTTTGAGACCACGACGTCGAGGGGTTCTGTATTTGTTAGTTATGAATGGTAAGTAAAAGGGGGTGTGAAGGTACCTTCACTCCAACCACCGCTCCCTCCAAGCGAGGACGTAATGACATCCGCGCCAGACTCGTACGCCATAGCGAATGCCCTTATAAGCACATCATTTGATACGGCTCCATTGCATCCCATTACACGGTACGCGCCCAATGTCACATTCGGAGCAACACCAGTGAAGTAATCCTGCTGGTTAGACGATGCGGCAATGATACCAGCAACATGTGTCCCATGCCCCCCGCAGTTATCATACGGGTCAGGATCTGGGACGGGCTCATTCTCACCAGTATAGGAATCGCCGACGAGGTCATATCCGAAGCCAACTTTGCAACCAGGGCCGAAACACCCGCCCAGATCAGGATGGTTGTAGTCAATGCCAGTGTCAATAATGGCGACGCGGACTCCAGAGCCTGTGAATCCTTCCTCGCGCAGCTTATCAACCCCGGTCATTGCGTGTAGTGAATAGAAATTGTCATCCCCCATGGTACGTTGTTCGATCTTCTTGGGTGAAAAATGAACCTGGTACTCATTCGCTGTGCTAATCCTCTCGTACGGTAGCGAGTACTTGCGCATTGGAAAGACCTTCTTGACAGATTTCGAAGAGGCAATCTGTTTGATTTTTCTTTGTTCATCTTGTTCGTCGTGTATGTCGCCTAGATGAAATGATGCGCCTTTGAATACGGAAGAGGAGAGACTGAGGCGAAGTCTCGCGGGGATTTCGGCGGTGGACAGTTCCGAGAAAAAGGCATCTTCGTACTTCGCCTATTAGCATATGCATGGAGAAGGAAGTCAGATTAACATACATTGTCCAAATGATCAGCGAATTCCACTATATATGCACCAGGAATAGCTTCCGCTTCGAAATTAGCAGCTGCAGCAATAACCAAACTGCTCAGCAATAGCAATTGCACGAGGAGTAACCCCCGTGCTAGAAACCAAGTCATATTTTCTGATACCTCTGACTTGCCAATCCCAATCCGAAATCAACCGTTTAGATTCAACAACGGCGCCACGAGCCCGGAAATTTTCCAATCTTATACCCCTCATAGCTACTCCCAATCTCGACGTAACAACAGCACCCGGAACTCTGCTTTTCCCTGTACAACAGCCACCAGCCCGGATTGTAATCCCCAAGATATGCCCCCAATGCCGTGTGACAGTTTTCCTCCAACTTTCTGTCCCTCAGGCAAGCAGCGCATGCCAAGAACACAATCGACCTGATCTAGGGCAAGTTGCCAAGGGCTCACGAGGCTGAGATGGTGGTATCGTTTGAGTAGCATCTTAGGTTTCTTGTCATCCATTGGCGAGGGCCAGAACGACGTGAGTTACGAGTGGGTGACGCGAAAGGGATGGATGTGTTATTGGTTAGGTTTAGGGATTAATCGTGGTAAACTGGAGATAAAGTTATTATGTGGCGTTCTTCAGGATTGGTGGCACGAGTTGTCGTTGAAACGGAGAACTTAGGCCAAGCGGCGTCGTCCTTCAGTTTGGGGCACGTGGTTTCACGAGCTGCACGAATCCGCTTGATATATCTAATACCCGTTAGAATGGATTCAGGGGCTAGTACGTAGATTTGTTTATTGTGAGCTATCTAATTATGAAAATTATGGACATGGTATTAGATATCTACATTATGGAAGCCTTATCAGCCATATCTCCATGGATCAAGCAATCAGGAGTGCTGATAATACGGCGCATTCTGCCAAAACAGACAACGCGGATTAGCAGTTGGATCATGAATTGTTGTAATATTCGAAACACCCAAGTTCAGAATCTGCTGCTCCTTGCCATGCTTCTCAAACGCAGGACCAACACTCGACCTAGGCGCACCCGTCTCCGCAAAGCTAGTGATGTAGTCCTGTAATGCAAGCGCCACATTCTTGCTCGTAACGGTCGAGTTAGCTGCAGGGTTGTAGAAAGTGTATTGTAGATCCGATCCATGCAGGCCAGGAGGCACGCTGAACAGGTATGCGTAGGTCTGGTTGTGGAAAGCGCGGTTGAGGTAGTCGGTGTTGCATTGGAAAACAATGTCTGCGATGGTCGTTGCGAATCGCAATATGGGGTTTGTGTATCCGTATGTGCCGTTGTAGACAGGTGGGTACAGAACGTTGGAAATGTAGTTGGTTACATTCTGCTGGATATCGGGCAAGTCAGCCTCGAGGAGGCTCGCGTAGCTGTTGCTGTTGATGCTGGTGGGTGGTGTGAAGAGCAGGCCCTCGTTGGAATTGTGCCCAACCATAAGGCTCAGGTTCTTGTGGAAATTGCCTTCGAGTAGCAGCTCCCCAGGCATCTTGGGCACAAACGTACCGTCGACAGCTGGTCCGTAGGTATAAGTTCCATATGGAGATCTGTATACCTGTTTCGCGTTGGCGGCAACCAACTTCGCAGTAGGAAGCTTACGGGCCTCCTCCACCGTGCTAACATTGAGGAGGCCCAGAAATTGTTGAAGGGAGGCCTCATGCTGCTCATCGGTAGGGAGGGGATACCACCCAGGGCTTTGGAGAATAGCCTGCTGGAACGGCAGTTGTCCACCCTTGCCTCCATAAGAAGTAATCTGGTGGAGGATAGATCCTCCTCCTGCAGACTCCCCGATTACAGTGACACGCTCCGAATCACCCCCAAAAAGGTGAATGTTCTCCTTCACCCACTCCAAAGCTAGCCTTTGGTCGTGCAGTGCAGCATTTGCCGTGCCATTAGCTGTGAGGGTATCACCAGCTAACCAACCAAAGGCACCAAGCTAAGGTCGTTAGCAATGCAAGTCCTCGGTACTCTTCAGACTGCCACTTACTCGGTAGTTTAAAGCTACATAGATAACACCTTCTCCGTTTTTCTGACTTCGTTGAATCAGACCCCTGGGGTCGTATGAAGTCTTCTCTCCAACCGTATATCCACCACCATAGATCCAAACCAACACGGGAGCCAAGGACCCCTTAGGAACCAAGGTCTTGTTTTGCGCGCGGTCAAAGATCTTCTTCGGAGCGATCACATCCAAGAACAGACAGTCCTCCGTAGTCCGAGGGTCTTGTGGTTGCGCCACATAGGGGTAGGACGAGATATTAGTGGACTGGTTGAACTGCGTTCCCGTCAAGGCACTGACAAGGAAGGCTGGAGCAATTTCCTCACTCCAGACAGGCTGCGCCTGGGGACAGACACGACCTTGCGTTCCGGTTTGCACTTCACTGCGGTTCTTTGCTGGGGAGACTGGTGCGCGGAATCGAAGATCACCGACCGGGGGAGCGGCATAGCGGATGTTACTGAAGTTGTAGATACCATAGGATTCCTGCGTATATTATTAGTTTTGCTTTTCCGCCTCTATAGTTGGGATTCCAGGACAAACACTAAGAGAAAGAGCTTGGTGCAGCTCGTATCCAAGGTCAACCACCGGAAGCTTAGATGCAAAGCAAACTGGCGCAATGGCCAGGAGCAACGATGCCGCTGAGAAGTGCATCCTGCTAGTTTGTCCGACAGGAGATTGCAGGCAGCTCTAGTCACGAGAGACGACAATCCGTGGGGAGGGCAGGGTTTAAATAGACTCCACATGGGCCCGTGACGAGTCAGTTAAAAACGTTGGTTGCGAGCTTACGATGATGCCTGAGGGATGTATAGATTAACTGCCCAATCAGACTGCTCATCGCTGATGTTATCTGGTGACCCACTGATCCGGCTCGATCCGGGCATACTGTGTAATAATAAGGAGTCATCATGAGTGAGAATGATTTACTACGGAAAAGCTGATATTGCATCCGAAGAAGGGCGTACTTGAACTACACAAAAAAGAGAAACACGTATCGTATCTAGGCCGTTGTGCGGCAGAATCCTGATCCTGGGTATTGGCAGGATTCAAGAACTCATAGCACTCCGTAGTTATGCATTTTATGCCGGGTGAAGCGAACCGCGGTTTCCCCGCAGTTATTCCGAGACCGATTTGCCGATCTTCTGCAGGAAATCGGAGTCCGATATCTCCGGAGTATAGAGTACGAGCCCGATACATTACAGAGATTATGCAAAGTGGACAATAGGAAAGACCAGATGATGGCTAACTACGTAAAGCACATTCACTCATTATCAACCTCACGTACCCTGTACTCAAACATCTGATTCGATGGAACAGAATGCTCATCCTTCAACTTGGTCGCAGATTCTACCCCAGCGGCCGGGACACGATACTCGAATCTCTTTCCCGAAGCTGGCTGCCTTCCGTCAGGAAGAGCATAAGGGAAGGGGAGGTACTCTGGTAACAACCCCAATTGGACGAGAATTGTCGCCTGGTCCCAGGCAATATGCTCATGATACAACCGGTCCCCCCGAATGTTCACAACCGAAGTCATCGGGATCCGTAGTGGCCTTCCGGTGGGCGGGATGCCGGGAATACTAGTTCCAATCAGTAACGTGTTGAAGGCCAGGTGCCGCAGAACACTCACAGCCAGTCAACCACTTTATCATGAGTAAAGCAGAAGATGAATTCATCAACAACCCGGTCAATGCCAATTGTGCGGCTGATGAGTTCCAAGTCCGTGTCATCAGGGTTGTTGAAAATGAAATGATTCAGGTAGAACTTGCTCAAACGAGCACGGCCAATTCCTCCTGTGAGCTACATTCGTTCAGCAAAAACTCTCATAAGCAGGCAGGTCGGCTCACCGTCGGGATGTGGTTCACATAGGGTTCCTGCACCATGGTTGACATCGTCTTCTCCACTGACCGGTCTCCAAATTCATAGTAAGCATGCTCTTCCCAGATCTTCTCGAGATCGAAGTAGGGACCTCCCAATTTCTTTTTGATGAAGGTCAGGCTTCGAGTATGTGCAACTCCAGCTGACGAGGTCTTGAAATCAACATGTCCAGGGACAATGAATCCAGCAGACAACGTTTCAGGATATGCGTACACAGTCAAGTTGTCGTGCTTCACGCTATTATCAGGCTTGCCAGGGACGTGCTGCAGTGCAGCCTTCTGAATTGTGATATCCCATGAATCGAAGGAAATGGTAGCAGCAATGCGCTCACTGTCGGTTACGACAGTCCGAAATGCATCAACAAACTCCGGCGCATAATCCTTCTGGGACCCGTAAACTGTGTTGAATTAGTAAATACATAATAAAACCGATAAAACACGGCCCTACCTAATAAACCAAACTTATCCTTCGTTTCACATTCCGCCAACGAGACAAGAGCATCAATCCCCGCCGTGACCAGCCTAGCAACACGCGCCTTGTCACCACTCGATTGCGAATCAAGACTGATTTGAACAACCACATAGCTTTCCTCCGCCCATTTCTGCAATGGCTCCGGGTCCAGACTGTCGTTTCTCTGCTGATAGTCTGCAAAGCCGCTAGGCCGCAAGATAATCAAACCCGGTCCACGTCCGCATCGAGAAAGCGGGGGTTGCAGGACAATATTAGCTCCCAGATGGATCACTGGAGCAGAGGGCAGAGACGCAGCCTGAGTCATAATGATGCAATGATGCCCTGGAGTGTACAACTGGTGAAATATGGAATTGGAAGGTTCTCCGGGGAGAAACACAGCCGTAATATCTCAGGACACGGCGGGTATTGCCGGATGGAGACCCCGCATTGGGGCCATGGCGATAGGATGCTTGAACTGATAAATGTGTGGGGGAGATATACATGAATTTATAGGGCAATTTCCGAGCTCATTTGCCTTTTCACGTGTCGTATTTATGCCCATACTAGCAAAGTGATGGGATGTGTAAACAGAAATGGAGCTTCATGATTGGTCAATTTGAGTGGCTTGCACGTGATGCGGAGCTTTTGCTTCCTCAGGCAGTAAATGCTTTCCCACCGCACTCCGTTTGTGCTAATGAGTCTCCTGCGATAACACAAGATACTCTTGCTGGACTAATTTAACCAATGTGCATATGACAATCCTCGCAATCCTCGCAGTCCTACGATCCTCCATCGAATTTCACCTCTAATCACTCTCCCCTCGTCCGTGTCGCGTCCCTTTTTCTCTCGATTTCCAACGAAGCCAAGTCAAAATGAATGCGCATATGCAATCGTCCTTATCAAGCCTCGAAAGCAAATTGAACCTCCTTATCACCAGCCTTACAACCTCCCCAACCGCCGCAGGTGCACCAGCCGCAGCAAGCGCCGTTCTGGACGCGGATGACTCGTTGACATCGGCCGTTGAGACCCTTCGACAACACCAAGAGAACTATGCCAAAATCCTACGGCTCCGCGCGGAAGCTGAGAAACTAGAGGAAAGAGTAAAGGGTATCGTCAGTGATGTGGAAACTCGCGAGAAGGAGATTCGAACGATTTGCGGCGACGCGGAAAATGATACCGACTCAGAAGCCGATGATGATAGCTCCGATTACGACTCCGATGAAGACGTGGACATGTCCAAGTCGCGATCAAAAATAAAGACGGACAAAGAGGTGGATTATAAGCTACTGCTCGATTTCGCCCGGCGTATCAGCAAGTATAACCACCAGGCTGCGGCGGATGCAGCAGCAGGAACACCAGCGGCACAGAAGTTGAAGGACAAACGCCAGCAACTAACTGAACAGGATGTCGCGATGACAGGCATCAATGGTGCTACAGAGACAGAAAAAGGGGCCGAACCGGTCTCATCGGTAACAAAGGAGGCAACATCTTGGTTGGATGAGTCCGCAAACATGACGCGAGAAATCTACATGCTACCATATCCGGCTGAGGATCGAATCCGCATGGGTCTCATGGGCCAGGTACAACTCGCGGCTGCTGAGGGTCGCCCAGGATTTGATTCCGATAACGAGGTGGAACGACTGATACGTGAAGCGGAGGGACAGGGAGCTGCGGAAGCTATCGAACCAGCACAGCAGCAAGATGAGCCTCATCGGGTAGATGAGGCTGCTCAGGCTGCTGCTCAGGCTGGGTCTGTTGCAACCAGTGGTGCGACAAGTGGACCCCCACCTGCCCCGAAACCGAAAGCTACGCTTGATCTTGATCTTTATGATCCAGAGGACGACGAGATGTGATCACAGAAATATATCATCTTTGTATTATACCCATGATTTTATACTTAAAGGCGCTTTAGCGATTGCATAATAGTCTATCCTGACTCATTCTCATCTACAGCACCAGTTATATTTATCATGACTAAATCTGGCAATCTATCTATTTCAGATGGTTTTTGATGAGCCTACAATAATTATCGCGTAGTTCATCTATTGCTGCATCCCAACGTAGGATATTTCATCATACCCTGCTTTGTTGGCAATGTTGGTCGCCTTCAGAATGGATTCTTAAGAGCTGGATACAGTTACCGGCGATGAAGTTCCAAAATGACATACCAGGATAACTGATCCTCCATGGAATGACTTCCATTCATGCTTCTTGAGGAGCTGCGAATATTCAGTGAGTGAAGTTTGTATATGCTTTTTCGAGTTTGGGTCATTGAATTGGTGAACTATTATCGATACCTACCATAGTTATCGGTTAGTTGCAGTGTACTTGTGCGCAATGCCGTACAATCGGTAGTCCTCTGCGTATACAGTTGAAGCTCACAGAACGTCCGGAGTCCAGAAGCGCCTACGCCCCTCCAAATGACGATGAAACGGCTTCCATTGTCACGATACTTGTTAGCACTGGGCCTATGTCATACTTTACGGACATCAGCGAAGAATAACTCCGTCATCTTACAAACTACAAGCCAGAAATGACGGCACACTCCGCATTTCCCAACCCAAATTGTTTCCATAGGGACTCTGGGGAAGAGATTTCTCCTCGGGGACCACGAATTTCGCGGAGAGTTCGCAGGAACACATTTCCGATATGGAGATCCCGGGCTTCATTGTATGGTACTGGAAGACTGGTTCCGGTGGAGAGACTGTTTCCTGGGGTTGCCGGAATACATTTGCAGCCTATAGCTCCCCTTGGCCTGTTACTAGGGGAAAGGACAGATGCGGAGAGATGCTGGCGGTTGGCTGGGACAAAGTGTCCGGACGCCTCCTCCACATTGACGTCAAAGTACTGGTGGCAGAAGCCGTAGAGTTCAAGATGTCATGTAATTGAGTCAGTTAAGTTACAGCTCTTTTAGCTGTTTGAATTTAACCTAATGTTCCCCCGGAGTCAGACATTCTCTATGTTTACCAGGAAGAGTAATCCTCTCCTAGCCCTACTAATAACGTCCCCACTCTTAACATTCTTCATTTATTGAATATATTCCGATGTCCCAGCCACATACACCTTTCGATCCATTCTTCGGAGCTGATGGAGCGGATGGAGCGGATGGCATGGATGGTGTGGATGGTGTGCTAAAGGAAAAGGAAAAGGACGGTGTACCCGACGGCATACCTGATGGCGTAGGCCGTCCTTCTGATTCTCAACCAACAGCATGTCACGGTGAATTCACCAAGGAACAGCAAGAGAAGTTCGGCAAGCGTGAACTGCAGGAGACGGACTGTTATGACAAACTTGGATTCACATTTCCCAAGTGGAAAAAATGGAGTATCCTCTCCGTTATCTTCATCGTCCAGGTGTCCATGAACTTCAATGCCGGTTTCTACGCTAGTGGTGTCTCGCTGTTTGCAGACCATTTTGGGATCTCGGAGCAAGCGGCCAGAGTTGGGCAGATGGATTTCCTCATTGCATATGGATTTGGGAGTGAATTCTGGGCGCCATGGAGTGAGGAGTTTGGTCGGTGGCCGATTATGCAGCTGAGTTTGCTGCTTGTCAACATATGGCAGATTCCGTGCGCGTTGGCGCCCAATTTTGGCACCATTGTGGTCTGCCGTATCCTTGGTGGACTGTCGTCTGCTGGTGGTTCCGTCACGCTGGGCATGGTGGCAGACATGTGGGAAGCCGATGAGCAGCAATACGCTGTCGCGTTTATTGTCTTTTCATCAGTGGCCGGGTCAGTGGTCGCTCCTGTTGTGGGTGGCTTTGCAACAACATTCCTGAACTGGCACTGGAACTTCTGGTTGCAGCTTATTCTTGGTGGCTTTGTGCAGGCAGTCCACTTCTTTGTCCCGGAGACACGATGCAGTATCTTGGTTACTCGGGAGGCCAAAAGGCGACGGAAGATGGGTGATGAGGTGTACAGTGGTGACGAAATCAAAGGAAAGCACATTACTGCGAAGCATCTGCTGATGGTGTGGAGTCGTCCGTTTATTATGTTCATTCGAGAGCCGATTGTGCTATGCTTGTCTATGCTGAGCGGCTTCAGTGACTCTCTGATCTTCACTTTCCTGCAATCTTTTACGCCGGTTTTCAAGCAGTGGGGATTTAGCACGATCACTATCGGATTGTCTTTTCTTCCGTATGTTCTGGTTTTGACCCACTCCATCTGGACAATTGTGCTAACTGCCTTAGATTGATGGTCGGCTATATCATCGCTTATTTCTCGTTCTTCCCGTTTTTCCACAGACACTGCAGGGTCCGTGAACGAGACCCCGACGCCCTCCAGCCAGAAGCCCGGTTGTATTGGTTGCTATGGAGTGAGTCCCTATCTTTTCAAATTACATATCCAGTATGTTAATCATTCCTAGCTGCGCCGCTTTTAGTGGTCGGTTTGTTCGGTTTTGCATGGACAAGTTTAGGACCCCCGCATGTGCACTGGATAGCACCGATGATCTTCGCATCGCTCATTGCAATAGCCAATGTAAGTTCCAGCCTCATGGGGATATCATATGGGATATTTGTCTGACAGCACACAGTACGCCATTTACATGGCCACAATCGACTACATGGTTGCCGCTTACGGACCGTACGCAGCCTCCGCAACAGGCGGTAATGCCCTAGCCAGAGATTTCCTCGCTGGTATTGCTGCCATGTATTCAACGCCAAGTAAGCCCCCTTCCTTTTTTCCTTCTGGGCTTTTATGGAAATGAAAGCCTCGGTGCTAATAAAATCAGTGTACGAAAACATGGGCCACTCGAATCCCCTGGAATGGGCCTCCACACTACTAGGTTTCCTCGCCATCTTCTTCATCATCCCTATCTACGTTTTCTACTGGAATGGGCCGAAAATCCGCGAGAAATCGAAATTTGCACAGGTCCTTGCTAGTGATCGGAAGAAAGCACAGCGGAGGGTTTCGCAGTGTGGCTCTGGGGAGCCGGGTCCGGAGGAGCATTACTTTTCTGGTTCGGGGGCTGTTTGAGACGATGCGCATTGTATCGCCTGGGTGCTAGTCCGGATGTAATAACCGATCGTGGGAGAGGAGAGGATTACACCATGGTTTTGGTTCCATTTCGCCATTTGACATCATTTACGACTGACTGACCGATAAATAGATATCTGACATTTGCATTGCATTTGCATCTGCATCTGCATCTACATCTACATCTGCACATTTCTAGTTGTTTATAGCATTTGCATCTATTCTGCCTTTGTTTTATGTGCCTATAATACAGTAATTCTATTAAATTAGAAAATAATAACAATATTAAGTTTATCATTGCGCTTCTCCCCTGCTTGTGATAAGGATTGTGACCATGGCACGATTCAGGAACATGTTTCCGGTGGCTATGCGCGCGCATGTCATCAGAGGCAAAAACACCCGACGCCCGAGACACCTCCGGCATGCTTATACGTTTTAGAATCAAAGAAATAAAGTCGCAGCTTAAACAAGTTCTTGGCGTCCTCCTTCAGCAACCACTATCTTCCGGAAAACAAACAGGTTGGATGCAAAGATGTCGTAATCGCCAAACCATGTGGGCGCAGTAATCAAAAAGACCAGATAACGCTACCTTTTTACGCTCGTGGAGAAATCTCAGTCGAAGATTCCAGAGAAGAGATTTTTTCTAGCGGACCCACAAGGCAATGTTAGTGGCAAACCCTAGCTCCCGACTTAGGATCTAGAAAATTGAACTTCCCAGACCATGAAGTGTAGAAATGAGCGTAAGATGAGCACGGCGGAATTGTTGGTGATTGATAAGTGCGAGTCTCTGTGTCCGTCTTGACCGAAGTCCCTCAATTGTGTCAACGTTGGAAAGCTAGGTGCCGTTTTCGGCTTCGGGTGCACCATTATACCTTGGGTCATGCTGGGATTATTTTCGGCCATAAGTCAGGGAATGGCTTGATAAAGGTCAGACACAAGACGTATCAAAAGGTTCATTCCCGTATATTGCCATCTGTCGCTTAATTCCCTCTCGGAAAGCCCCGGTTTAAAGGGATGATGTGAGCTACATCTAAGTATTCGTAGCTTGGGCACATCTGCTCGGGCCCTAACGCTGGCCGCACGATGCAATGCCTACAAGTAGTATCAGCATTTTTTCACCAAATGCAATGCAATGACTTCCCACTAGCGATCATAACTTGCAGCTTAGCTTCTCAAAGAAACTAATTTAAGAGGTACATATCACAGTCGCCCCGTACGCTATTTCGTTCTCATCAGGCTCTGTGGCCATCGAAAAGATGCTCTATCCAACCGTCAACCAAGTTCATCATGGTCTCAGTAAATTTCTTCTACGTGAGGGTGCAATAAAATCATGGCGAATGAATTGAGAAATCGAGATGACTCGTCTTTGTTGGTTGCCATACATCGGTAAGCGATGGGAGTTCCTGTCCTCTTTGCGTGAATCCTGTGGTGTCTCAAAGATTTTTGTCCACGGTAGAGATCACACGTCTTAGTTGGTCTGTTTGTAAGGTCGGGTGCACAAAAAAGACTGTATCAGTCCTTTCCCAGTTCATTTGTACGATAATTTGCGCAATAACGTCCCAGGATCTGTCAAAATCTTACTCTCAGTCGGCCCATTAATGATCCTTCGTTTAATGGGTTTTCTGCTGTGTTGACAATTCATTCGCTCTCTGTACGGTATGAGAAACTTGTACCATAGGGACAACAGGTACGACAATTCAGTTCACGTCTCTCATCCAAAAAGCAACTTTGTCAGCTGTATTTGGTCTCAGTGTCGCAATGATTGTCGTTACAGCTGTAGAGACCCATCCCAGTTACTTCTTGATGAAATTGTCTTTGGTTCATCTACCATATCCATCGTGGTTGTACGTGGAAATATGGACCATGTTTCTGTCACATATCCCTCTTCGCACAAACATAAATGCATCCAACGCTAGATATCTGAAAGATCGACTAGCCTTTTCTCTTAGACAGGCCATATGATTTTAGGGAAAGCATAGCACTCGCCACGATCATGGGAGGGCAATCACGTGTAGAGCTATGAAGGGAGCTGCAAGAGCAAGTGCAATCATTGCCTATTCTCTCATCGACCGAATCCAAGCCAGAAGATTGCCATTTGCTGTTCGGCGGTCGGTATCACAATTGCTCAGTTGGTGTCACATAAAGCCGACAGCAGGAGGTTAGTCTGGTGAAGTGGTTATGTGCTTGAGTCGCATGTTTAATGACAAAACCTCTCAGTTCCTCGAGGCATGCAATAGCAACATCACATCGCATTGTTTCCATATCACTATGAGTGGTTTCTTCCAAAATCACCGCTAGAGTAAGTCGTACATACCTCCGGCTCCGACTTGGCCGTACCATTCATTGTTCATATTTCAACAGCCGAAGTCGATATAAAATATGAGGTATTTTCCAACGTTTCCCAGGTACGCCATATCCCTGGGCAAGGCTTAGCAGCCCGATGTAACATCTTACATGTCACCGCAGGCATGTGCATGTGCAAGGTCCAGGTCAGCCTGTGCAAGGGGACACAGATGCAGGTGCGGAAAAGGGCCAAGTAAGCCAAGTAAGCCAAGGAGAGCCAAGTGCAAAGCCAAGTTTAGGTAAAATGGGGTGGAGATGTTGTGATAATTGCTAGGATGATGAGAGGTTGGCTAATGTTAGGTTATTTTGGTGGGAGATGGTGTTATTTGCTCATAGATGGTGAATGCTACTGTATGAATTGACTGTGTTCGTGTCGTAATGCAGAAGTGGTATTAAACTATGCTAATTCAAGTGCAAATGCACAATCCATAACCCAGGAGTAAAGAACTTTTCACAATATGCAATATTACCCAGTATCCCAATGCAAATGTAGTATGGTCATTACGGCATCACATAACCCACCGGAAAGCGCGTGCTCTCCAGAATCGAATATCCCCATTCCCATCCGTCAAAGTATCCAATCGTTCGTTCGAGGTCCTCGCCCAGCCATGCTTCCAGAGCGTCTTCGTCGACCGTGACACGAGGACGAGTTGCGAAGACAACACGCTCCACGATACCGTCGCGGTGCCAGTGCTGTTTCCAGCCGTGGGTTGGCTGCTGCATTGCTGGCATTGTAGGGAGGACGCGTGCTATGTCAGGGACTTCGTATTTGTCTGCGGGGTAGAGGAGAGGACACGGGTCTTTGATGACTTCGACGACGTCCATGAAGGAAGATTTGGAGGCGATGGCGTTGCGGGCAAGGAGGTTGCGGCGTGATTTGTAAGTTGGTTGTTTGAGAGCTTTGTAGAGGAAGCAGGGACCGAGGGAAACGAGATGGTTGCAGTAGTCGCTGTAGCTGTAGTTTGCTGTTGAAGTTAGTACCATACAAAGTACTGCGTCTAGTGAAGAGACTTACCAGGCTCGTCCTCTCCCTCACTGGGATACAAGTCCATCATCTCCGCCGGCAGCGAATTAGGCCTGAGAGCCTTCCACCGCGGATCAGAGCGCGGAAACTCACACGCAATCTCATCAAACATCCCCTGGTATTGATCCCTCGCGAACATCCAAACGGATCCAAACTCCTCAACTTCCCACGGTGCCATGGTACCAAAGAACAGATTCCAGATCTCATTCGTGGTAAAATTGCGGTACCAGGTCGATGACTTGCGGAAACGCTGAGACCCTGACTCATTCTCCGGCACCCATTCCCTTGCTCCAACAATATTATAGTATGTTTGTAGTCGACACAACGCACGAAGAATCCGAGCCCGCTCCGTCTCCGTCAGCTGCAGAGGCAAATACTGCTGTTTCCAGGTATCCTGGTCCATCCACGGCGGACACGGCGCACGACGACAGTACGCCGTGACAATGGTATCAAGCTTGCAGTACATATGCAGCAACTTGATGCTCTCCTCGATGCTAACCGGAGCACCAGCGAAGGGGTCCTTGCCGGAGAGTTCGAGCTCCCGGTGTCGCCGGCGACGGTCCAGGAGAGAGATGATCTTCTGTTTGTTGGCGGAGACATCTGCGTAGAGGCCTTCTGAGCGGATAGCTGCGACGGGCTCGGCCAGGTCTACGAGGCCATAATGGCAACGAACCAGGTCATGGAGCAGGGCTCTTCGGGCTAGGAGGTAGGTGTGGTGGTAAGTAGGGGAGGCAAGGACGGCATTATGTAGAGACTGCTTGTCGAGGGCACGGAGGATGAGGATGCGCAGCTCTGTAGGTAAAGATTCGAGAGTCATGGTGAAGAATAGATATATCTATGTACAGATAGCATGAAACGAAGGTATAGAAGGTAACGTGACCATAGTAGGCTGGTTGATAGATACTCTAACCCAAAATAGCCGGGGAGCCAAACAGTTAAGTACTCAACGAGCATCCGGCAGTATGGCGCAACTCCGCCCTGTGATTGGTCCACCGCCAGCCCTGTTGATCCGCGGCCCCCCGGACCCACGCTCAACGCCAGTTAAGTAATCCGGGCGGTCAGCCACGGCACTAATCCCAAATCAAGTATGTCTGGAACCTTCACTGGCCCACTTGTTACTTAATGATGGGGTAACAGAAACCACTGCATTGGTGGCCAGTGATGTCACGCCCTTGAGGTCATCCTTGGCATTAGTCACCGCTGTGGCTCTCTATGAGTGATTTTATGCTTTTATTCCCCTTTACAGTAGTACAATTATGCAGAATATGCAGACCGCTAGATCACGCAATTAAAGATTTTTAAGAAAAGGGGTGATCACGTTACTGGTTCCTGGATCTTGGCCGGATGGTTGCCGGTTGAGTCAACTATAAACTGACACGATTGACCGTCAGGATGGCGTACTATGTATAGGGGGGTCACGGGCTAGACACGTGGTATGTCTCTCCGTGGGTAACCGCAGCCAGCATTCCAATTGAGTGTCCATACTCCGGAGTAATTGTATTCTGTAGAGTACTTATATGCAGCCTCGGTTAGAATACCCGCGGGAAGATCTCGATAACGCTCCCGTTTTGCGGGGTAGTACGGGGTAGCTACTCCTACAGTAGTCTTCATTGGTACTCAAACGCAGCAGCATCTCCTTTCGAGAGTCAAAGCTCTTACCCCAAAGAGAAAGAGTATCCAGACTCTGGTTTTTTGGTCATGTGTTGGCAACTGGGTTCTCGGCGTGGATCATAATACATTAATTAATCCCTCAGATCCTCATGTGACTATCCACCCGGGACTAGTTTCAAACATTATTATGACTGCTGACTCCATACCTCCTGTAACTTCTCCACCGTGGATCTCGTCACCCAGCCCAGGTCTGCCTCCACGCCTCGCAACAAATCAACAATGACTTGCCTTGTTTCCGGCGTCTCGAGACATTGCCCCACAGCAAACAGCAACGGAACCATGTAAATACGAACCTCGCCATGTGGCCGACTCAATGCAATCCCACATATCTCCCGACATCGGTAGTCCACCTCCTTGGTCACCTCCCGCAGCGACGCCAGCCGGTCAAACGCCGTACCGGGTGCACTCATGACATCCGGTGGCCGGTTTAGTAATAGCCCCAGCCGCCCAAAATGATAATGCTGCATAGCCGCAGTGCAAGACGTCAAACTAAAGAAGATCTCCGGGAATGGGAGATAGCTGATCTCCGACAGATTCGACATATCCCGTGGCCTTTCGATGCGCAGGCTTGGCCGGAATGTCTCGGGGATCTTCTCGAACCAGCTCTGGAACTCGAAGCAGAGATTTAGCCACGTCGTTGTTGAGGGCTGGGCATGCTCGTCAGACTCGGTCCATTGGGCGAGCTGGGAGCGGCGGTAGTCTGCCAAGAAGTTGACCATTTTGTTCATGAGCCAGGTTAGTGTGTTGGCTGCTAGGTCTTCGTGCGTAAGGCGGAGGGTCTCGTCGGGTGGTTCCAGCTCGTTGACCCGGATCCCGGCAGTCTTCCATAGTGATAGATTACTATGCTTGAAATGGGTTGGGATGCGGTTAGAATACGATGCTAGGTAGTCTTGGCGGGCAAAGTTCCAAAATGCAGCTCTCTCGCCTTGCGAAAAGGTCGGAGGCAATGCGGGCGAAGTCGTATGTAACTGGAGTAGCAAATCAAATAAAGATTCAATACCAGCAAGGTGCCTATACTCTGTTAGTCTTCATAGAATAACGCATCTAGAATTGAAACGCACGTTTGCCAGTCGTCCCCAGGCACATCCAAGAGCCGATATACGGTAAGAATTACACAGGTGGCCAGCAGCCCTTCAACGTCACGTAAGAAGGTATCCGCATCGGATATATCCATGCGCGCGAACCCTGGTTGCTGACTCAAGTACCCATTAACCATCTCAATGGGAGATTCCAAAATCGCAGAGCTAGATGGTGCGGCATAGCTGACGGTGATTGAATGTCTCATATAGGCAAATGCAAGGTAATAATAGTTTGCTCCTTTAAGAGTCCAATCTGTCTGTGCTGCATTCGGGTAAATTTCCATTGTTGCTGGACTTGTAAATATCCCTCCAGCTGCGGGTTTCTGTCCTTTCATTTTACCCAGATGCTTTGCCGCAAGTGCTGCCATGGAATACTTCAAGAAGTATTTGTTTAGTGCACGAATGGGTGCGTAGACGGCGAAGAATTTGGAAGAGTCGGATAAGTCCAGCCTGAGCTGTCGTTAACAGAGCGTCGCAAACACAAAGAATTCTAACGTACCAAGGACCCAGATACTCCGAAAAGTATCTTGTAAGAAACGCAACCTCATGTTCCGTTCCTGTCATGAGCTCGGAAAATACGTCGCTGAATCCTTCCTCATCGTTCCGGGTCTCCGAAGTCTCATGCATTTCTGAACTTGGATCACGATGTGTCTGACTGAAGTCTGTATCCGGAGTATTTGAAGGATGAGAGGATCCACTAGTAGGCAAATTTGGGTTTTCAAGCAGGTTCCTCGCATTAAGCTCTTGCCCAGCAGGAGAGAAGCCTGTGTTCAGAATAGTTTGATCGATGTTTGGAATATTCACAGCTGGACGGCTGGGCATAATTGCCATCCCAGTTTGGATTTGGGGATCTTGCACGACTCCCTGTCTCGACGCATCAGGAGTGCCCTGTGCCCCTTGTGAAGCATCCGAGTCACGGCCCTCGTCCCGATGCACTTCAGTCACCGGGGTTATTGTCTGTAGATCATTTCCGTATTGGTCTACAGGCATCTGTTCCTGTATTGGGTTTGCTGCTAGGACATCGTTCTCCTACCGCCATTAGACAAGCCCAGAATACTTCTCCGTTCAAGATAACTTACTTTATGGGCGCCGGATCTTGGATGATGTTCTTGATATGGAGCATATCGACGCCTTATCGTAGCACCTTGGTCAATGAATTTGCGTGTCTGGACATAGCCTGGGCACTCTACGCCCGCATTGACGCAGCGCTGACAGTTTGGACGAGCTTCATCACACTAGTCTTGTCAGTACAATCTTTAAATATAATGAAGTGAGACTAACCTTGAGATGCCTCTTCTTACATCGCTCGCATGCTTTATTCGAAGGCACTCCTGGCATCCTCCCGAATGATAGACAAACCGATCGACAATGACGTTGAGGTTATGGAGGGGTATATCCACTGCTGTTGTCAACGCCAGAAACCATCATTCCACTCAACCACTTTCAGACATTGAACTGTCAAACTGTCAAAAGACCAAGACCTTCGGGAAAGAAAAAAGAAGAAACCAGAAAATGCGATGTTGCCCTGTCTGGACGTCCTTGGCGTCGATCACGGGATCGAGATCACGGGACTTGCTAGCTTCGGAGTAATCTCGGCTGTCAGTTCGGCTACCCGTTTCTTTACTTCTTCCACCATCATCGATCATGTCTTAAGACGTTATTGAACGAAATGCTTCGAATTCCTACAGATATTGATCCTAATTATAATGCCTCCGGTCATGCAGGCCAGGGTAAACGGTTGAACAAACCGACAACACCGGTAACATCAAGATTAATGTCCGCAGGTCCAGTACACGCTTTGACGCTGTCAGAAACGGATCGGAGTAATATCTACTATGAATGGATCAGTGAGTCACGCATATTAGTATCCTTGCTGGTTCTTGGCTTGCTAAGACACTTGCAGAAGCTGGAAAACCTCACAATCTCGTTTGCTCGCAATGTCGGATGCCAGACCAGTTACTGTTCTGCGAGACGTGCTGTAGATCCTACCATACAGGATGTCTTGCATTGAGCGAAGTCGCTGTATTCCCAGGAAGCTTCCACTGCCCTTCATGTAGGGACAAGAGCTGGGATCGTCTTCCCCCTCAATTCTCAAGACGGTCATCACCGAATGTATCCCGAAGCACGACTCCTTCGGGCAGGGATAGGAGCAGGCGGGGTAGTCCTTCACGGCTGGCCAAAACTAGCGGTCACGGATCTCCAATAGCTTCTGGGCCTCCCCTAGCTAGCTTCACTGGCCCGTCAGACCATGCCTCCTCAAATGAATGGCAGGTTGCGCACGGTGCAGAGCAACGATCCGATCATCCATCTCAGGCTCTATCTCAGGCTCGATCCTTTCTTATCGAGAACGGCGCGGCCTCCCAAGAACACAATACAGTGGTTCTGTATCGAATAGCGGATATGATAGAGCAGCTTGAATCTCAGCAACGTCTGCTACAAGAGATGCGAGAATTGAGGGAAGAAAATATGCGTCTGCATCACGTCAACCGAGAACTCAGAGCCTATGCACACTCAAGATCACCACATGAGTCTGCAGTTAATTCTCCTATGCCAAATATACCAAGACCAGCAGCAGATACGAGTGGGAAGTCCTGGGACAGGATTGTGATGGACTTGCTTTAGCCTCTACTTGGGTCTCCCGTGTTTGGGCCATCCGGTTATACTCACGACGGACCGTTAATCCCTGTCCAGGTTCATCTATCTCGTCTGTGGCCTTAATGTTTAATGTTCATAGCCAATGTTCGCAACTTGGGGTATATTATTCTAATCTAATTTTAATCTCTATGACCAGCATGAGTCCGTTGAAAATGCATATCAAAAACACAACCAGATACTGGTAATCACCACTCCACACGGTCATCATGCACTAACTGTACATCACATCTCTCGTCTCCTTTCAACACTCGACCTGGGTCGTTCGATAACGCCACCGCTTTTCGAAGGTCCGATATCATTCCCGGAGGCCCACTAGCCATGACTCTTGTCGGTCCAGCAACTGTTCTCGAGACGAAGTTCCCCAGAATTGGCGCAATGTTCGGGTGCGCTGTATCGGAGTCCTTGATGTGTTGAACCATAAATGGCTGATCATCTTCATTCGGAGACGGTTGCCCGCAACAAGAACTCTCAACGGTCTTGTCAGAGAAACCCTTATCTATCGGATTGGAGTCAGTAGGTCCAGATGATGTACCGTCGCTTTCTGCCGAGAGTTCCTCTCGAGTGACGAATATGCGAATGCGCAATGAAGGGAATATTTCCGCAGTTTCGCGCAAAGTGTCAAGTTCCGTGCTGATCCATTTCATATCTGCCTTCCGTCGAATGACCCAGACGAATTCTGTCAGCCCTTTTCTGCAACAATATTTGTTGCTTGTCGCCAGCGACATTAACACCGGAAGAATAAATGTTATCCCCGTGCCGCCAGCGACACAGAAGAGATTAATGTCATCCGTTTGAATCAGGTCAGCGTCGACTATGGACTGTCCGTACGGGCCCGAGAGAAGAACCTCTGTGGTTCTTGCTCTGTCCAATGACGATCCTGATTCCGTCTGGGTCTCGCGGGCAATACCTGCTAGGTCCTTTGTCAGGCCCTTTTTCGCTCTAATGATGTACGAATGCGACTGGCCCTGTCCCTGCGGATTCGACACCGGAACGCTGCTCGGTGTCATTGGGTGCGACTGCCAAACACTAAGTTCGGGGAAACATAAATAAAAATGCTGACCGATGTTCCATGTTGGATAATCATGCTGGAAATCCAAACGGACAACGTCTCCATCCTGGCCGTTAGGAAAAGAAGTCATCTTGGCCTTGGGGACCAGAACGCTGCCGCACAACGAATAATTTGACCCTGCGCTACCCGCACAATGGACGATAAAAGCACGCACGAGTCGTACAGTCCTATCCAACATCCAGACGATAAGTGACGCAATCATCCAACATCTCAGCTTATCCCAGTGCCCCCAGCAAGTCCCAACATATACCATGGCAATAACATAGTGCGATTTCCGAAAGAACTCATAACCAGTCAACCTGATACACCATTGCGTGCTATGCAGAACAAGGAAAGTAATGCAGATCATCGCGACAATACCGGAGATAATGTACTGCTGCGATATGAACTCGTTCCACTTCTGTGGTTGCGGCTGATACAGGTGTCCTTCGAAGATGGTCCATCCAATCGTGTGCAAAGCGGACTGGATATAAATAATCCATCCCAGCCAGCGATGCAAGAAGTTGAAATGGTGGTATGGGATGCCAGTTATCAGGGAGAGAAGCGATTCTCTGCTGCTCAGGAGCAGGGATAGTGGCGTCAAGGCGTATGCCATAACTCCGATCCGATCAGCCCAGGGACCTAGCCCGGCTCGTGTCATCTTCAGATTCGTCCCTTCGATGGGGCTGTACCATGTTTTGTATGTGATTCCGACGAAGGTGAAGATGGTGAGGTATCCGATTAAAATAACGAGGACGAGGATGTTAAGTCGGGTCGTGTGTCCGAACACGGGTGTCAGCGATTCCGAAAGGAGGTAGCGATTCGATACTGCGACGATGGATCTCCAAACACGATATACCGTGCCTTGTCGCTCATTCGGTTGCTCGACTTCCTTAGTCCCAGCACCGGTAACCCTCCGCGAAACCGGAAAATAATTAACCACGGCACAAAACAAAAGAACACCCCCAATAACCGCCCACAGAATAGCGCTATAGATCATCGACAAATCATGTCCCCCATACACGGCATCCAAATATGCGCAGTTGCCCGCATCACTTGTGCACGGCAGTTCCCGGGTGAAATAGCCCCAGTGGTACTGTATAACACCATCACCGGAGCCGCTGCTGCCATGGCGGGGGGAGAGCATTGCGAGAAGTTTGAGCTGGGTATTTCAGAACTTCTCGTACGCTTGGATATATAGTCTTTGGTTATATCACCGGTGGATGCCAAGCGGCTTGCCAAGCGTCCGGCGGCGGAGCGGGACCACACCGGTAGAATCTCGGGTCCACCGGTGCTGTTTTGTACAGTATTATCATAAGAGATTAAGAATGCATCATGTTGATTGGGTTGTCTTTATCTAACGCTCGCGATTTCACTCAATTTGAGCCAATGGCCGGTCTGATTTGACTGAAATTTTCCGGATGCAGATTTCTATCTGATGCACGTCATCTCCGCGATCAACCCTAATCAGCTCAAACACGCTCAGGATCCACTCTGTCTAGAACGCACTGTTTTCAACTGCCTAACCGGGTAATTTGTCCAACTGACACCATCTCGACTTACGGACGCTATCGCATTCAAGGCAATGGTCCCCGGGGGAGAGGGATGTTGTAAATGACTTTGGTAGTCTCGATATCTGTGCATCGTTGAATTCGAGGAACAATGTACAAGCTGAAATGAAAGAGAGACGCTGCTCTATAATTCTATTATTTTTATAGTTCGTCTCATGATGTCGCATATGTCCAACCGCTGGACGTTTGATATATAGTAATATTTACATAGAACCTTGGAGAACAGGATCATAAGACAAGAAAGGAAGCCAGGAAAGCAAAGAAAGCAAAAATATATTTCCGATCCTCCCAAGGAATTTAGAAAAAAAAGAGTAAGCATCGGAATTCCCAGTGCAAGAAAAAAAAATCAAAAAAATGGTCCCGACGAGGGTCGAACTCGCGACCTTGGCGTTATTAGCACCACGCTCTAACCGACTGAGCTACAGGACCTGTTCGCTGAATGACTGATCGCTTTAAAGTTATAACAATCATACAAGCTATGCACTACTTACTCCGACTGACAGTTCGTCGTCCTGTCCATGTTTTTCGTATGCTTGATATTACTGTACTTGTGTTTGAGGAATATGCAACCCCGGCGGAGATGATTAATTTGGCTTTGAACTAAGTATCTTTACATTTAGACACTTCTCACAAGGGCTATATATCTAAAGCATTGGTCAGATATATATCCGTAGTATCCCCCAAGAAGATCCCTACGTAACAGTTATTACTCCCACCTAGCCTCTAAATCATCCATCCCATCAAAAATCAACCGAAAACAGACCAAGCCTGCACGCCCCCCATAGCAGCAACAACCGCCCCAGTCGCATAAACCCCATTCTTTGCATACCACCCCGAACTAACCCACATAATCCCGGTCATCAAGCCCGCAATAACCTTGTTCAACGGGATATCCAGAAGGGCGGGGTTTTCAGCCCAGGTGTAGTTAATCAATGCTATCATCATCAGTGACCGTCTTTGTGTAGAAAGAGGGTTGGGACACCGGGAAGGGTGAAGTACCATTCATAATGAAGAAAAGAGAACCCTGGTACCAGCCGATTGTTCCGCATGTGTAGGCTAGACGGGGGAGTTGGCGGAATTGGGGGAGGGTTTGCCAGTCTTTGGCGTTGAGCTGGTATTGTTAGACAGTGGTGAGTGGTGACGGTGGTATGGATAGGGGCTCCGGCTTACTGTGTGGCCGAGGGCGATGACGAGCCAGCCAGCGGCCGTGGCTTTGAGAGGGTTAAGAGACATTTTGCTTGTAACAATAGTGCCTGAAAATGAACACGTTTATAAAGTATTGTCAGGAGGGAAGAAGAGACACAGTGTAATGGAAGTTGATTGAACTACCGTGGATTTAGATACCGAGGTTCGGATAGATTGCCTAATCAGGATAGCAGATGCAGCTATTTTTCCTTGTACCCCTCGATCATCACCTTGATTACACTTTCCTTGCCCTGTCGTACGAGCTCGAATGCATCTTCTGCCTGGTTAAACGCATACCGATTGGTTACCAATCTCTTTACATCGACTTTTCCGCTGGCGATCAGGTCCACGGCAGTGGGGTAACAGCCCGCAGTATAACGGATGGAACCACGGATGGTCAAATCCCTGATACACGCCGTGGTGATAGGAAAAACAACATTCTAGATCACGGTCAGCATCCACGTACATATGAATGAATTGGGATACCTACCTCCTTCCCCATCCCAGCCTGCACATACACCCCCCCCTTCCTACACAATTGGATCCCCGTCTGAATACAGCTTTGCGCTCCCGTCGCCTCAAGCACAACGTCCGGACCATCCCCAAGCCCAAACTGTTCTTTGATAATACGCGCCGCCTTCTCACTCCACTCGCACTCATCTACACCCTCCGGTTTACTCGGCGGCAGGAACACATCATCTACCCCGAAGGACTTTGCGAACTCCAGTCGTGACGGACTGATATCAATTCCAATAACTTTCTTCGCTGCATATGCCTTGCATACTTTCTGGCAGAGAACCCCGATGGGTCCGCAGCCGAAGACCACGACTGTCTGGTTTGGTCGCACGTTACCGACTTTTGTGATTTGTGCGGCCACAGCGACCGGCTCGACAAGTGCGCCTTCTTCCAGATCCATATGCGCTGGGATCGGGTAGCAGAAATCAGACTGCGTGATGTAGTATTTTGACAGTGTGCCGTCGTGCGGTGGTGTCGCGGCGAAGACAGTGTCGGGGCAGAGGTTGTATGAGCCGGAGCGGCAGTAGTTGCAGCTTCATTCTATCAATATAATTCAGGTCTGGGCTGAAGAAGGAATGAGGACGTACTGTCTACATGGAACCCCAGGCTCAATAGCGACCCGGTCTCCGACTTTGAGGTTCTTCACGGCCGGACCAACTTCGACGACTGTGCCGGAGCTTTCATGGCCGAGGACGATGGGAGATTCAAGAATGAAGTCTACCTTTCTATCAGCATTGCTTCATTTAAAGTATAGGTAGGGTAGGTATCGCAGACCTCCGATTCTCCCCCGTTGCCAGTAATGAACATCACTACCGCAGATGCCTGTTTGGGCGACTTGCACGCGGACATCGTACGGATCTTTAAGAGCGGGTATAGGGCGATCCTCAAAGACGATATCTCTGACGGCACGGAGGACAAAAGAAGGATTCGTTTCCTGATAGTTCAGTTTAGCGGTGATCAATTGGGAGATATTAGGATACATACAGTCATGTTGGCTTGAACGATTATCCTATAGAAAAGAAAGCATTGAATTTAAATACCTGGCTTACACATTTATATTCTACCCCGCAAACTAAAATATAAGAAGATATCATCCAACATGCATCATGTATCACCCCGGACATCTGTCTCCGTCCGGAGCACCCACCCCGCCATCAAATCCTCCATGCAACTAGACTACCGACAAGTGTACCCCCCATCAACCACAAAATCCGCCCCCGTAGTAAATGTACTAGCATCACTCGCCAAATACAAATACACACCTTTCAATTCTCTCGGATCCGCATCCCGCCTCAATGGCGTCAAACTATACCACTCCTTTTTCATTGCACTCGGACAATCGCCGCTAATGGCTGTATCAATGTATCCCGGGCTGACGCTATTCACGCGCGCAAAGGGGGCGAATTCTACGGCGAGAGATTTGGAGAGGTGGATTATGCCGGCTTTGCAGGCGTTGTAGCAGGCCTGCTTTGTCAGCTTATGTAGAATTGTATGAGTGTAAATAGGCTTATACCTGCTGCTGTGGCACGTTGACAGCATGCCCTGACATGGATGCAGTAAAGATTATGTTCCCGGATTGTTGCTTGCGGAATATTTCACCCGCTACTCGGGCGCAATAATATGCGCCTGAGAAATCAACATCCACCACGCGATGCCAGTCCTCGAGACGATCATCAAGACCCCCAGCTTTGGAGGGAATACCGGCATTGGAAATCATAACATCAAGATGGCCGAAGTCAGCAAGGACAGCATCAGTAGTAGATTTCACCTATTCATTACCATTAACCCTATGTATAGAATGTAGTGGAGCAACAAACCTGATTGAAATCTTGCACATCACACCGATACGCCTTAGCCGTAACCCCAAAGTCCCGCGCGATAGTAGCAGCTAGGTCTTTAGCCTGTGCAGATTGGTTATACCATAATGCTACATTGGCACCGGCTTCAGCTAGGCCCCTAGCAACCTGGTATCCGATGCCTCCTGAGCCGCCAGTGATGATAATCACGCGGCCGCGCATGCTGAACATCTCGAAGATGCTGTCGGAGACGGGAGGATTGGGACGGCGTATGGTAGTCATTGTTTTGGATGGTTATTGTTGATCTGGTATACTCATGGTTGTTGGGTATTTTCTAGCTGTTCTTATAGTTTACCATCCTATCACAAAGAGTATAGCAACGGACGTCCTCGTCCGCCCTGTCAACGGACAACAGAAGTCCTCGTCCGCCCTATCAACGGACAACGGACGGTTTTCTCAATGCTCAGACCATTCAAACAGGGATCCCGGCAAGTCCGTGTCATATCATGTCATATCGCCAACAAAGATGACACTAACCCCCGCATCCGCACGAATCCCCACGGGGTAAAGGCTCCACCATATATACTGCTTATTTCGCCGACGCATGCATGGTGACTTCGTGCATGGTGTAACATTGAACAAAATCATGAAAGACCAAGATATCGTCGGCGAGGCACTTGCCTCTGTTCTACCACAGTACAATAAGTTTTGGTTTCGGGTTCCGCATTTGCTGCAACTGAATCTAATTTTGATGATTCCATTGCTGTCTTCCGCTGTTGCTGGATATGATGGTACATCCCCTTTCTGACTTTCCGGAATATTGTTGACTAACAGAACAGGGTCTCTAATGAATGGTCTCCAATCCATAACACAATGGCAGAACTACTTCGGTAACCCATCTGGCGAGACCCTGGGCGTTGTTAATGCAGCGCAATCAATTGGGAGTGTTGTTTCTCTCCCCGTTGTCGGGTTCCTATCTGATAAGATCGGTCGACGGTGGACGTTGTTGTCGGGGGCTGTTACTATCGTCATTGCATCGGCGATCCAGGCAGCATCGGTGCAGTATGGAATGTTTGTGTTTTCACGGTATGCTCTTCAAGAACATTCAGGGGCCTGGCTGACTCTATTCAGAGTGCTCGTAGGCATCGGCTCAATGCTAGTCGTCCAGCCCTCGCCAATGCTCATCACGGAACTAGCATATCCGACGCATCGAGGGAAATACACTAGGTATTATATCTTTCCATCCTACCAATCGAGAAGCTCTGGGCTAATGGACAGTGCTTTCTGGACAATGTATTATCTCGGCGCAATCGTCGCCTCTTGGACCTCCTACGGCACCCAGAAACATCTTCACGACGATTGGACGTGGCGTATTCCCTCGATCGTGCAAGCTGGATTTCCTATTATCCAGATTGCGCTTTTTTGGTTCCTGCCTGAGTCTCCGCGGTACGTCCACTATACCACTTGAAATAAAGGAGGCTAGCTAATTATTAGATGGCTCATCGCGAATGGTCATACTCAACAGGCAGAAAAGTTACTCGCACGCTTCCATACGGCGGGCGATATCTCGCACTCTCTAATTCAGTTTGAAATGGCCGAAATCGCCCGCACGATTGAAATCGAACATTCAGCATCCACGATGCGCTGGACGGCACTGGTCGATACACCTGGAAATCGCAAACGAACGTTCATCGCTGTTTGTATTGGGATATTTGCGCAGTGGAATGTGAGTCTCGCCATCATAATCGTAAAAAATGTTCGAGATTAACCTGTACAGGGCGTCGCCGTCGTTTCATACTACCTAACCCTCGTCCTCGACACAATCGGAATCACAGACCCCGACACCCAAACCCTGATCAACGGCCTACTGCAAGTCTTCAACTTCATCACCGCCGCCAGTGCCGCCCTCCTCGTCGACAGACTAGGCCGTCGCCCACTCTTCCTCTGGTCTGCGCTGGGCATGCTCATCTCCTTCATTATTTGGACCGCCTGTTCTGCTGTTGTCAACGGAAACGATAATAACCAAGCTGTAGGACGCACGGTTGTCGCGTTCGTATTCATTTTCTACTTCCACTACGACATCGCGTACACGCCGTTACTCCTGGGCTACCCGACAGAGATATTTCCCTACTCGATCCGGAGCAAAGGCGTGACGGTTGAACTGTTAGCTGTGTATTCATCGTTGATTATACTTGCTTTTGTAAATCCGATTGCGCTGGATCGAATCGGATGGCGGTATTATATATTTTTCTGTTGTTTTGGTGTTCTTGTGCTTGCTGTGACTTGGTTTTGTTTTCCGGAGACGAAGGGGCATTCGCTGGAGGAGATTGCGGAGGTTTTTGATGGGACGGTGGATGAGGTTGACGAGGAGAAAATTGGGAAGAAGGGGGGTTGAGCATGCTGAGTATGTAGATTGGTTTGTTTAGTACCTGTATAGTTGCAAATAGCCACATAACTCAATACGGAATGTCTTTGGGTAACAACTAAGTCCCCGACAGTAACACAAACTCCCTATATCATACACAAACGGACACGGTCGTCCGTATCCGCCTCCGACCTCGATCATCAGATGCTCTGCTCCACCGGAGCTCGTCCGATGCGGGGACGATTGGGCGGGGCTAGTATATGATGACCAGAATTGACAGCCTTCAAATGAACATCGCGGCCGGAACTTTGCTGTCCAGAATAAAAAAAATATACGAAAATGGTCCTCCATCAGCCTGAAAACAAACATGTCCTTAAGGCATTTGACCTGAGCGGCAAGGTTGCTGCTATTACGGGTATTATTTTATTCTCACAATTCATTGGACTATGTTAACAATGATAGGCGGTGCTCGTGGTATCGGCCTTGAAGTTTCAAAAGCACTGGCAGAAGCCGGTGCTAATGTAAGTATACACCAAGCATTGATGAATAGAAGCTAACGAGCAGGTTGCTCTGATCTACAACTCATCCAAAACCGCCGAAGACATCGCCGCAACAATCGCATCCGAGAACAACGTCAAAGCAGCCGCGTACAAAGCCGACGTCGGCAACCAAGCGGACATAGAAAAAGCAGTCCAACAAATTGCCGCAGACTTTGGAAACCTAGACATCATCGTTGTGAACTCGGGGATCACATCCAGCATCGCGGCGGAAGATTACTCTACGGAACAATGGAGGGACATCATGAAGATTAACCTCGACGGCGCTTTTTATACCGCCCAGGCTGCGGCGCGGATCTTCAAGAAGCAGGGATATGGAAATGTTATTTTCACAGCGTCAGTTAGTGCGACATTGGTGAATGTTCCGCAGAAGCAAGCTGCGTATAATGCGTCGAAGGCTGGTGTGGTGCAGATGGCTAAGTGTTTGTCTGTTGAGTGGGTTGATTTCTGTCGGGTTAATTGCATCTCGCCTGGCTTTATTGCGACGGATATCCTTGATATTCATCCCCAGGAGTGGAAGGAGAAGTGGTTTGATATGATTCCGGCGAAGCGGATGGCGCAGTCATATGAATTAAAAGGAGTATGTATTCCTTGTTGACTATGGACAATTGCTAACTGTTCTAGGCTTATGTATTCTGTGCGTCCGATGCTTCGAGTTATATGACCGGTGCGGACCTTGTCATTGATGGCGGATACACACTGCCGTAGTAGTCTTCGAATCGTGGACTTGTGCAATCACACATATTATTCTAGACCTGGCAATTGATTCATGAAATCCATAATCGTCGATTCTTGTCTGTGACCCGTTAGAAATAGTAACAGTATCCAACAGGCCAGCAACGTACAGTATAGAATCAACCCCATCAAGCTGCGCCATCTCCAACGTCGGCCACATTAATGGGTACAAACTCGCCAATTGCGTCTGCGGCGACTCCTCCGTAGGACGCCCCCACCCATCCATACTCGGATCAAGATACCCTCCACACAATGAGCGTATAACACCTAGACATCGAAGGGCTGTAGGATTAAGCTCTCCCATTGACTCGAGAACAGGCATAGCTTTGGATATCTGGTCTCGCCAGTTTACGACCAGCGGGCTTTGTGGGTCGTTTCGTAGGCATATCACTGGGATTAGGATTGCTTGGAAGAGGAAGTATAGACCGTACCAGCAGGCCATTATGTTTTTTGAGTCTTCTATCCAGAATGTGCAGATGAGGTCGACTGACTCGTGTGCTGCGTCAAGACATCGTTGGACGGCTACGTCGATATAAGGATCGTTATCGGGGATGCTTTCTGCTGGACGTATCATAAGCCTGCTCACTAGGAACGGTCGAAACATGAGGATACGAAAATTGCGATATCGCCATCGGAGAATAGAATGGCAGAGTCGGAACTTGGGCTTCTGTGGTGCGTTCTCGGTGAAGAATGGAGGCAAGTTTGCCAGCCAATTTCCAATTAGTCGGTCGTCCATTTCAGCCAAACTGGTCGCAGACGGGAAAGGAGAGGAGATGATTCGTGCGTAAATCGGGCTTGTTGCAAGGTGGAATATAGATTGGGCTCGTAGATGTGTATAGACTGTCGTTTCTGGTGCTGGATTCGGGCGTTTTTTTGAACCAGCCGTGATGTCCTGCAGAGTTAGTGTTTTATTCACTAAAGGATTGAAGAAAACTAACACTGTCATGAACGTTCATAGGCAACTCAACATCAATCCCATCATTAGGAAAGTCAAAAGGTCTGGAAAACGTGATAATCCCTCCCACGTCAAATATGTACAAACAATACCAACAGCGTCGACGCATCTCTATAGTTAGCAGATTCGCCTCCCACGTTGGGAACTCTTTATGTAAACCAATTCCCATAGCAATTCGCCTAGCAAGCCCCATGTAGTTATATCCTGAGTTTGGCTTGTTTCTTTTTTGAAGGTAGTTGGAAATCAACGTCAAAGCTTGGACGAGAAGCAGGTTCCCTGTCTCCAGGACGTCAATTGACAGTCGTGCTTTGGCTGCCTCGAATAGTCCAATGTCGACATCTGTAGGTTGTATGGCTGTTGTAAATGCGCCTATAGCAGCGATCACGAAGAGCAGTACTTGCCATGCATTGGTACTGGGTCTAGGAATGACCTCCATGAATTGGGCACGGAAAGTAGCTTCGTGAACGATGGGATAAGAGCAGTGATAAAGTTGGAAGTATGCATCAACAAAAGGCTCAAGCTGAGATAGTGAGGTCAATGCAAAAGACACAGGCGGTCTGCAGACATTGGACTCTGGCTGTGGGGAGCAGTATGTATCCACTCCCTCTGTGGGTCGAGAATCGGTCATCCGAAGTAGTGCAGCCCCTGATGCAACTCCTATGCCATAATCAGCAGTTGGTACACTATCAGTTGGTGGAATGACAAGTACCAAGGTAGCCCCCTTCATTCGAACGACTTGTCAAACTGGCCATCCCATCTACAAACCTGTCACCGCTGGTCTTCCCAGTCCGCTCATCCCATTCAAAGCTACCAGACGAGGGTGGAGCTTCCAAAGATAGTCCAGATGAAGATAGTCCAGATGTAGTAACGGAATGCGTCTCTGATTCACGGGGATCACCGCTTGTCCGACGATATGACGTTCTGCGCGAGGTCGGAGAGAGAATGGGTCGGTTAGGACTGGCAGCAGTGGGAGCATTGGGCTGTAATGGAGTTCCATGATTTCGTTTCAGGTTTCTTTCAAGTGATGGCCGGTCATTTGTTTTATCAATAACACCACTTCGTTCGTCTGCAGTTGAAGCCTGTCTACTGGACGCAACCTCCGGCGAGGCCAAAATACCAAAGTCACGGCCATGAGTATCACCATTAGGTGATCGTGTACCTTGTGAGTCCTCAGAGCCACGCTCTTGATAGCTAGGACCTGCATCCTGCCCCGACTGCAATTGCCGCAAGACAGCCTTCGTCCGCGCAAGCTCATCTTCCACCTCTGTCAAATGCCGCCTCGTAAGAGGCGTCTTAACCTGCCTCTCATAGATGCACCGCCTGCCAAACTTGCTGCATAGCAGACACGAAGGAATGATCCGATTGCACTATGTTGCAGTTAGCGCCGAGACGGAGCACTTCACTAGGGTCACAGCTTACTTTGGATTTCCGGCGCCGACATTCGTGGCATGCCTGCTCCGCCATGCGCCCAGTGGTACTCTTTCGCAGTGTATCCATAGCGCTGCTGTTCACTGTACAAGTGCTTGTTGTATGCGGAGAATGTGCGCCGGAGAAGTCGCCGATCGGTTTCCCGATTCGAGTGTATCTGCGGAGGTGTCCCCCACTACGGCGCTAAGCCTGAAATGGTAGAACTGGTTATACAACATCTGTCCCGGTTAGCACATTTATAGTATAGTTGTGCTGTAATATCAGCTAGCTGATTGAATATCAGAATGAGCTCTCTAAAAGTATCAAGTGCTTTTGCAGAACGCTGTGTTTAGGTTCTCTCAAATGTCGAGTATCATTTATGCTCCAGATGACCGAAGCGCCAGGATGGATCGCATCCACAGTACCGGAAATAGTCATTGGCACGTTGACCTATCCAAGATGACGATGTCCAATCTTGGGGCTTGCTGTGCACTTTTGCCCATTCTCGCAGGTCTAGACTCAATTGGACTTGGGCATTGGGGCTGCACTGCTATCTTTGGAGTATCAGACGATCTGCTGACCAAACTCGCAGCGTCTCTAAGCGCAGGTTATTTGTTCAGCATTGGATATCTGATACAATGAATAAGCGCTTAGGGGATTACCGGATGACCTCCAATAGTCGAGTATAGCCTCGAGATAGCATAAAAAGACAAAAAACCGCGGTAGAAATGGTCAACTCACACTCAATTTACAATATCAAACCATGACAATCGCAGAAAGGAAACTCAACCTCCTCAGCCTTGACGGCGGAGGCATCCGTGGCCTCTCGTCCCTCTACATCCTGAAGCGAGTCATGGAAGCCATCAATCCTGACTCTCCACCAAAGCCGTGCGAGTACTTTGACATGATTGCTGGAACAAGCACTGGAGGGTAAGTCTCTCTTCTTAGGGCTACGCACTTTATAAACTAACATTGATTCTAGCCTCATCGCCATCATGCTTGGCCGCTTAAAAATGGACGTCAGCGAATGCATCGACGCCTACAATACCCTCGCCACCCAAGCCTTCACCCGAAAAGCCTACATCCCCATAGCCGTAACCGGCAATGTAAAAGAGCGCTTCGACAGCAAGCAACTAGAAGCAGCTCTTAAAAAAGCCATAGCAGACAGACTTCACGACCAAGACGCACTGCTAAAAGACTCCGACACCTCGTGCAGAGTAGTCCTATGCGCAACCAGAGCAGGAACAAGTACGACTGTTGTGCTGCGAAGTTATCGTAACGAGCGGGAGTGTTCTGAGTTGTATAATACCGTAAAGATCTGGGAAGCTGGTCGTGCTACGTCTGCGGCGTCTTCGTTCTTCGATCCGATAACGATTGGTCCGAATGGACAACGGTTTTTCGATGGTGCGACGGGGTCTAATAATCCGATTCGGCATCTATGGATGGAAGCTAAAGATATCTGGCCGGCTGCGCCGTTGGAAGAGCAGATTGGTTGCATAGTGTCTGTTGGGACTGGTGTCCCACAGGCCACGAGATACGAAACGAAGGGGATAGGCGGGCTCAAGACGCTAAAAGCTTGTGCTACGGAAACGGAATATACAAAGGAAGAATTTGCAATTGAACACTCGGATCTTGTTGCGAATGATCAATACTTCCGGTTCAATGTTCCGGATGGACTTGCGAATATTGGACTTGAGAAAGTGGCCAAGATTGATCTTATTGTTGGCATTACGGAAAATCATCTCGCGAACGATGTCGTTCGGGAACGAGTACTGGCTTGCGCGGGGTCACTGAGCAAGAGTAAAGGCTACACCGTCTTGGACCGTCCTCCATCAAAGACTTCTCTTTGGGAAGTTACCGGGTTAGCACGGGCTCAGGTTCATAGTAAGTTTTCGATTCTCCATTCAAGTCATACCTTATTCTAATGAACCAAGACCATGAAGAAAGCTACGAACTCGGGCGCACCATGCCCAACAACTACGCATACGAACAAACACAAAAAACCGAGGTCTGTCGACCACGCACTCGAAATAAGAAATTCCTTGGTCTGTTCAGAAACAAAAAACCGCCGATGGCCGTCTAAATATTCAACATCAATTTGCGCATTGGAGCACGGTTTTGAAGTTCCGTGTCGTCCGGTTTAACTTGTAAGTCCAATATCCGACCCAGTCCGGTGTGTAATAGATCAGCACTAGCCAGTCAGATTGAATGCTTATGCTTATCTCTGTCTATATCCAACGCTTACTAGCACATGTCTCGTAGTCTATAACCTGTTTTCCATACAATCTGGTCGTGCCTTGGAGTTCATCAGGGTATGATATCAACCATAAGCATATGATACAATAGAAATTGCTCCAGACAACCAGCATCGCATCGGAGAATGGATACTCGAAGGTCTAGACACGATAGAGTTACCGAGCATATCTCGTGACATCACCACATCACTCAACCCTCACCATGGTCAGTGCAAGTATCGTGGTCTCATGGAGATGCAATGCAACGCAAAGCAAGCCATGGAATTTCCACTTACACCTCAACCCCCAACAGCACAATCCCATTCAACAGCCATCATCCAGCCCACATCCACTCACCCCCCGTGCAGGGTCAATCCCGGAATGCTAAGACCATAGCACGACTCGCCTCGCGTGTCGCTAGTCAACGTAATCCAAGGCACGAACTCCGCCGATCCATAGTTAACTGAGACGTCAAAGCTTGGCCTCTTGGCTGGACCTCGGCGGGAATGTCTGTCTGTCGAGTTCCGGACATCAATCGGGGAATTCCCAGCACTACATACATATTATGTACTGTAGTTCGGAGAATTCTACCGTGCCGCCGCCTGCTGTGCGGTGGAGTGTGTCCATGGTAATACGTGGCGTGGTGTACAAGACAATTGAGTTGCGTGTGCGTATGTGGATTATGTATTATTACAGGGCACTATAATGCAATGCGACGACGATGCAAAAATAAAGCAAGACAAGAAATGCAAGATGCAATGCGAACTCCATCCATCCAACCAATCCCACCAACCAGACCAACCATTAATTATCGTATCTCGTAAACAGCGAGTGTCGTGCCGTGGCAATATATCGCGCGCAGCGCAGTATACTCGTGCATAAAGTAATCACCGCACAAGATAAAAGTAAAAAGCACCCTCCTTTCCGAAATCCTTGCTCTCCATCACACCCGCGATCATGCGATCATTGACGGCGCGGAAGTAAGTGATCGCAGGGAGATCGTCGAAGATCATAGCGGTGGAGATGAGAGTTTTGTATTCCATGCGACGGAGCTGTTCTTGTCATTAGCATCTGCACATCACCCACAACAGTGCATAGCAGAAGGGAAAGGACGTACGCAAGCACCCCCAAAGTCAGTCCCAGCCTTTTCTCCATCCCCCTTCTCAACAACAACAGGCTCAACGTCCTCCGTCGAGTGAAACACGGCGCCCCGCCAATGCAACCCCTCCAACTGCTCCATGAACTTATGGCCCGTGTTCAGCGCAATGCCGCGCCATTCCCCCGACCCGCGGGTTAATGTCTCAGGCGCCACGGGGAGGAGTTGGTCGAACACCGCAGCCAATTGGCACGGGTCGAGTTTCTTGGAAGCCGCCGCTGTGGTGAAGGCGAGGAATTTGCGGGAGGGGGTGAAGCGGCGGATGGAGGGGCGGTAGTCGAGGAGGATAGGGAAGGGGATTGTCATTTTGTTGCTGTTGCTTTGCTCGTGTCTTGGATAGCCGAAGAACCAGGTGTGTTAGATGAGTATGTATGTCTGAGAAGACGAGAGGTGTCTCAGTATAAGTATGGGAGATCGTGCGAAAGTAAGCGCGAGTATTCAGAATGCTCACTGGAATGCAGTATAAAAGAATGCTGAGATGACGGCTCGATGACCGTATTTATACATCACTACCAGGCCACTTCCACATTCCGCCACCCTCTCTACTGTCCCTCCCAAAAAACAAGAAGAAAATCACTCATCTCCTGATCAAAGGAAAAAGAACTTGTTGGTCATGCATCAAAATCAATGATAACGGCACATCCCACCCGCAGCCAATCAAACCCTCGGGATCCCACCCGATCGGATGGTCCACCGTCCCGTCCAGACCAGACCCGAGTATCCGAGCGCGGTTAATCGGCTGTCAGGGGAACTGTACTAGGCAGTCGTAGTACCAAACCGTACTAGAAACAGGAAGAAAAACTTGATATGCAAGAAACACACTAAAAGCCGATTACCCGAATTATAAAAAGAACACCAACCACGACCGTTGCGATTGCTCAATTGAATTTGTCTTTGTAGTCTATCTGCGGAAACTCCCTACGCGGTCATCTGCCTGAGAGATTTTTTTCTCCCGCTTCCTCGAGCTAACGACAAACAGTATCGCCGCCAGGCCAGGCCAGTCTATACATACGGATTTCCCGATCGGAGAATTAAGCCGACTGCAATTGACTCACCAGTGTTCCTATTGCTGGATACCAGGCCGATGCCGCCGTGGCAAAGTGCATTGACCACCACCACTAACTATCACATCAAAACCAAGACTTGTTGACACCTTAGTTCCGCGGAACAACAGGGCCGTGACAGGGCTGTAGCAAAAATAAAAAATAAAATAAACCAGCCCCTGTTAATCACCCAACCGGTCACATTCTCACACTACGTGGTCCCTCCACGCCATGCCGTGTAATCCAACATATCCCTCAACACGCCCACGCCCACGCATTCACCATCCGCTTCATTTCTGCACTCCTTTTCAGATGCACGTCCTGGAGGGGGATTGGCACTGAGGCCGCATGACAAAAGCACCGCCTGTTTCATGTCTTATTTGTATTCGGACTCGGTTTCTGCGGCGGCATCACGCTGTGTGCGCATGGGATGGACAACCCCTATACCCATTTCAGTACTTTGCAAGCACATCATCATCCCGAGATGTACTCGACCATTGGGTAGATTTACAGCGGCTGGTTGTAGGCCAGTTTGGCTTCTGTTTTTCGCCCGTCCGACTGCATCGTCTTTTTGGGTTTAACGTGAATCAAGAACTAGGACATCTCACTTTCTGGTATGAAGATCGGGGTTGAAATGCTAGCCCCGACTTGATCGATGATCAACAGGGATCAGAGTTGCCGCGCTTGATTATGCTCCACGCAATGTGTTTCCCGTCACCTTTTCTCAAACTCGCATCATGTGGTTGGAGGAAAGTATCCTTGCCAACTTTTGCGAGTTTTTAATCCTCTCGCATGCGCTTTTCCACCTGCGAGACAATTTCCGGTGTCGGGGTGCAGGGTCAGGCACAGATGTGTACTAGGGGTTGATGAACAGGATAAGCTACGGGCCAGGCTATCTACAGGTACATAGATGAGACGCAGCTCGAAGAGCTGCGTCAGGATCGGCTTCAGCAGGGAGACACTGAAGCGGGGTCTCTCGTAGCTCAAAAGGGAAATCGGGAGTCGATTGTTCCGGAATAACGAGGTCTATATGGAGAGGACTAACTTGACGAAAGATGTATATTGTCTAACGAACGTACGTGCGCGTACACAGCTGATTGAGTGCGTAATCTACAATATGTGTGCACACGTCGACTAAGAATCTCCTGGCCTCGCTACTCGGGCCAACCATTTATCCGATCAATCCTTATCAAATAGCACTACTACTACTCGGCCAGTGGCTTAGTGGTATAGACACTGAGCCTAGCTAAACCGCTGGTGCGGGACATCGCTGAGCAGTTTGTGGGTTTGAATTCCGCCTGGCCCTTGGCACACTAACCAGGAACTAGTAAAGACTTTGCGTCCGTCTTCACACGGGACATAACTAGAGCCTTTCGTGCTGCCAAAGAGTATGAAAGCGACACCGTCACCGTGAACTGCACGAGCCACGATCAGAGCGTCGATTTGGCGTTTGGCGGTATCAAGGGGTCTGGTGATGGAAAAGGGTATTTCTATTTGATACATTTTTTGAATCCCATCCTTTCTATCAAAGAAATATAATAAAGATCTGGACCTCTTCCTTCTCATAGCTGAGTGGCGACAGACTTATAAGACTGTTTTTTTCATGTCCTGTTGGACTGCTCTCGTTCCAAGAGTGATTGGAACCCATTCGCAAACAGCGCCTTCGCATAAACGTAGTGGAACCTCTCAATATACTCGGCCACTGAAGGAACATTTCTCTGCGGATTGCACCGGAAGTGCTGCAGTTGAATCTGGACCTGCAGCTCTGGCTGCTTCCCTTTGCTACCAGACTCAGACTCCGAGTCCATGTTAGGAGGCAGCCTTGTGATTTGAAAGCGGTGACATCCTGCAAAGATGAATTCATCTGAGCCGAAGCCATAGTCAACGTAGCTCGAACTGTAGTCAGATGGTTCTGCGAAGTCCTTATCCAGTATGCTAAAGGAGCCGAATAGGCAGGTGCCGATGGGGAGGAGGTGAGTGTTGGGGACTTTAGAGCGATTCCAGATTGTTGCTGCTTGTGAATCTGGCTGGAACCCTAATTGCATTTTTTAATTTTTTTTTTTTCTATAATTAGCTGTTGTGATCTACGATTGGGACGATTTAGATTTCACAATGGGAATTGGCATGGCTCACCTGTATAACGTGCAGGCAACAGATTATACCCTCCGATCCTCAGTATCCACCGTTCGAAGCCAAAGATAAACCCTGAGAAAAATCCACTGGTGAACAAGGCCAAGACTTCCTGATCACTCAACCCAGCAATTTCCGCTGCTGGAAACTTCTGCGAGACGTTATCCGTGGCAACAACATGATGGCGTGGATTGACAAACTTGAAGGATGATGACGCGAGAAATTCCGAGCTGACAGGACTGGTGTAGTGAGATTGGCGAAGGGAGCGAAAGAACTGCCTCCGAGGGAGCATCCATGTGGTTGACATGGCGATGAGCCGGGGGTGTGTAACTTAAGAATCTTGGTTTTGGAAGAAACCGATCTGAAGAGGCGGCTCTTGCTGCTATCAATGTTAATTGATCATCGGGTGAGATTTTGAGCGACCCGCGATTGTCCGCAATTCTAATCTAATATCCACATGTATCCAGCTTCGTAAAGGATTCGGTGGGGCTTGGTAATCGGTATGTTTGCTTATTTTTACCGTCTTTCCGAGATGCCACAAGTACTACATTGTCAACAGTCACAACGCTTCAGATAATTTCATCTGATCTGTCACAGAGCATCGACGCTCGCTAGCTGTATAGCATGTTTTATTACTTCGGCCTGTTCGGAGTAGGAAATTCACTGAGCAAGAACGCTTGCTAGTAGGGCATGAGCCCCTCGCACACACTAGATAGTTCGTCGCCGACAGGCCCTGTCTCTTTCCTTTCTCTCCTCAGGTAAGAATTTCGTCAGATAGTCTACTGATATATTTATTGCCCGAGACCGTCACATGATCCAGTCCTCTCGCAGCTATGCCCCCCCCCCCATCATGACAGACACGCACCAGGACCCACCACCACCATGGACAATGCAATAAGAAGCAGCAGCGTTCCCTTTTACACTGCCCGAGCAGTATCTGGCACCACTTCTGATGGTGAAGGTACATAGGTTCGGCTGAACGAGGTCGAGGGGTCGCTTGAGAAGACGGAGCCAAGAACCTCGCAGAAATGCCGGATTGCCGTAAAGTGGCCTGAAAAAAGGTACGCCTGGCCGAGATATTTGTCCATGCAGGAACCAGTGCTGCAGTTACGACAAAACATTGGAGCGAGCACGCTAGACGCGCACCCTGGGATAGAGTCATGGAGTCTCGCCAGAACAGCAGCACAAGCTGCTGCGGACCGATAGTTCACAAATGCACGATTATCCATGTGAATTAAAAACACTCTCTCAATATCGTCAGTGGCATCCTGCGAGAAATGATCCCTTAGATCCATCATGTTTGCCCTCCGCGGGAGATTTCTTACCCAGAGACTAGAGTGCATGGCCTGACTGTTTCGGCTTTCGCGTTGGTCCACGAGGCGTGTCTGAACTGCTCAAAACCGAAGTGGTCGAGAGAGCAGATCTGAGAAAAGTAAGTGGGTTAGCTCCACTTTCTTAAGGGTTGAGCTGAAAGATTTTCTAAAGTTTCCCTGACCTTCTTGAGTCTCTTCTTTGTTTTTATCGAGTCGAAGTGAAGCTGCGCAAGGAGAAACTTAGGCTAAAGGTCAGTTTTTCCAGTCTAGTTGAGCAAGTGATATGAGCATTGACAGACATTCCATTTACAGCCTCTGTAATCCTACTCCTGATCTCTTCCTCGTGTTCTCTCAAGAGTTTTGATTCAGCTTGTGAAATGCGACCTCCACATAAATTCGCACATCACTTTCATGAGCACGAATCTCTCTAGAGGATTGCTTTTGAGGAAGAATTTCCCCTTTTTGATGCGCTAAGTGCTCTAGAAAGTGTTTCTAGCACATACTGCAATGAAACACTTCAGCGTCTTGAGCGTTTCCGAAGCCATCTTTATGAGGAATATGAAGCCAAGACCATGAAAAATGCAGACACAGAGCAGTCTCGACGAGATGAACAACTGTCTCAAGCAATGAGAGATGAGGATTTAGACACCACGTTCAAATACGGACACTCCTGGCTGCGCCAATAATGGGAAGAAGACAAGGCCGAAAAGCCGTGGGGTAGACCTGGCACTTGGGTACAGATTGTGTACCCAAGTTAATAAAATACAGTGTATTTAGATTACATATAACGTAGTTGATAAGCGAGCGGCGCGGATAAGCGAACGGCGCACTTTTTTCGGATCCTCACATTCGAACATCAATTGCACCACTAGATTACCAGTAATCAATTAAATTTAATTATGGGTATATATAATAGACCATTTTTCCATCTTATTTGCAAGTCCTAGAGTTATGACCAGTCTTGCCGCACCTACTACAGTGCCGCAGAGTTGGTGTCACGGCGCTCTACTAGGATAATGGAACATCCAACTCATGGATTCTACCTAGGTAGCTATCAACGAGAATAATCAACATGAGGAAGGAAGAGAGGAGGTAACGCCGTATTTATCAACAAAGCAATAAAGCAAAAAACTGCACCTCACGTGATACCCAGCCAACGTGACCAGGCCGTCACAACATGATTGATATGTGACTTGATGAGTCCTTCTATCTGGCGACTGTACGCCCGTTTGAGTGGACTGAAGCATCCAACATCAAGTGGCTGAAGAAGGCGAGATGAGTGTGGTGGCATACAGATAATAATGATGTTCTTGTCCTTGCAAAATTGGTCGAACTTGGCCGAATGGTGGCTCTCATGGCCATCAATCAATAGCATCCGATATGCACCCTTTACGCGGGAAGCTGTGTATTTATCAAAATGTTGAATCCATTTCAGGCCAGTCTCATTGTTGGTCCATCTATTATGGGTGGTTCCGATCACCCATTCTGGAGGGAGGTTGCTCTCTGAGTACCAATTCGCCAAATGGTAAGCTCCTTGAAGTATGATAAATGGCGGGATGCACCACCCATCTGCATTGACTCTCTGGATAACCGTAGCCCATTCCCGATTACCAGGCTGGACTCTCTTTGACCTTCCACGTTGATCAGCGCGCGTCACTACCATTGATGGCAGTATAACACCCCATCATAAACCCAGTCTTGTCAAAGTTATAGACATCAGCATCTGTCACGGGCTCGGACCAGTAGATACTAATGAAACGATATTCCTATCTAAACCAGTGTAGCCACCGACTAGAATATCGAATCTGGAGAAGAAAAGAAAAGAAGAAGCAAGCCTATTTACACGAAGAAGTCCTATATGGTTGTGTGTGGTCTCGCTAAGCAGCTTGTTTGTCTTGATTGCTCCCATGGTATTGTTTGCCGTGTTGATGATGTTTGCTAATGAAGGCGCTGGGCAGAGCCGTTACACTGATGTGGCTAGGTCTGTAACACATCAACAGTCGTGGCACTTTGAATAGAACTTGATAAATGGAAAACTATGACAGTGCCCTTTCCATCTAGGACATAACATTATATATCTCCTTGCCTATGAAAATAGGCGGGAGGCGGAGAGGACTGTGACAGTCTCGAACAATATAAATTCACTGGTAGACTCTCTGTCGAAATACTAACATGGAGAAGGAAAGAAAGAAGCTGGGCCTGCCAGCGCTGCGCTATCTAGTGTGCGAAGGGGGTTCCTGCCCTATATCCAAACAGGTCAAAGTATACAAACATCTTGCGTTGTTGGTGAATGTCCGTACTCCGTGACAAGGACCAGAAAATGCGAGGTCAGCCACGGCTTGGAAAGAATCAAGACCTCTTGACCCTGACGTAGTAATTGTCTTGTTCTTTATGGCCATCCCCATATTTTCATCATTATACAGTTTTCCTGGATACACGCACCAGTTCAACTTCTGTAGTCACTACTGCTCGTCATCCCAAGAACAAATTATGCATGCATATTTGTATAGCTCATTTTGTAACTCAGAAGCCCTAAATGCCTCTTGTGGAGCAATGAGCCCCTCGAATACGCTGTCATCACTCTTTATTATGGTGTGGTTGTTGAACAATATGTAAATACATCATACATGTAACATGGCACAAGGCTATAATGGCTCATGATAATGGAGGCTGAATAGTACATTTTGCACTGGTCTTAGCCTCACAGGGCAGGGATAGGCAGTAATCATTACTTGTAAAGTGGGCCACAGTTGTAAAACATTGACATTTTGCTATTTTATGGCATCACTAAATCAAAGCAGTCGGTCTCGTGAGGTAAGATTGCAGGCTTGGCTTTGCACATTTTATTTGGCACCCTTATCAGGGTGCAGTGATCCTAGCCTGAGCAATCCTGAGTTGCTCCGGGTTTACTCCAGGATCACTCCGGCATGGTTCCCTGAGCACTCCGGGCACGCATCACCTTGCTCCGGGTACGCTCCGGGCGGCTCAGGGAGCCAAAAGCGGCGGGAAGTCGGACCGAAAACGGAAAGGGCAAGTGTCGGGATTTCCGCAGCAAACTATCACAAAAGCTTGCAACACTGGAGGATGTGTTGTTTTCCTTGTATAAGTGATCCTTCGGAAATTCCAGGGTTTCCTTTGTGCACATCTTGACCTGAGATCGCCAGTCGGCCCATTCTTCGGCGTATGACACGTATACATCCAACCAGGATTCGTTTTCAGATTCACCAGATGCATTAAATTTGTCAGACTCGTTCATATCCATCTCGTCAGGTCCATCGCCAGATCCCTCAATTCCCCAATACCTCCACCACACCTCATCATCCCTCCAAACATCCCAGAAAGTCGCAACCCTCACCAACCTTATATATTCAAACAACCAGCACATCTCCCAGCCCTATCCGTCCCCTTTCCCATTGCCATCCTCTAACCACTCCGCAAACCTTCAAAATGGACTCCTCAGGGCGCGCAGGCGCTGGCTTAAATAGACCAGATGGAACCTTGCTGTTTTGGGGACTTGGGAGCGCCGGATTGGTTCGTCTTCGAGGGCGTAGATGCTGTAGGAGAGATTGTAGCGGGGGATTTGGGTGGTTGTTATGTATGTTGGTTGAGGACGGTGTCGGTGAAAGGATTATTCGAGTGAATGTATGACGAGAGGTGGAAGGCATCAAGGCAACCACGGAGTGATGAAATAAATTACAGCCTAAGGACGTCTACTACCAATGCAAAGCACAATATAGCAATCCATGCAGTATGTACATAAATGCAAGATCGTAATCAACATAGCAAATCATACCTCCCAAGCATATCAATATATGCATTCCGACTCTATACACAGAATTCTGTACAAAGGAAATCAATCACTTAGCCTCCACCTCCCCATGACTCCCTGACGCTGCACGCCGCCCCCAACCACTCCAGAACCCTCCTGAATTCACCGGCTCAGTCTGCGTCTTCGTAATCCCCGGCCCCGTCCCCGCACTCGACAGTAACGACAAGCGCGACTCGCCAGATGCCCGCTGCTGGCTGCTGACCATCTTGCGCAAGGATTCCATTTTACCTTTGACTTCTTCCAGCTCTTGCTTCGCGACGGCCTCGGCTGTCTTTGCGTTGACGAGTTCGAGGAGGAGTGATTCTTCGGGGGCGGGGGCGTGGTTCTCCGTCGAGAGGACTGTTTTCAGACCCAGACTGCTGGAACGCTTGCTGAATGTTGATGCGCGGCGGGTTGTTTTCTGGGAATTGCTGCGGACGAGTTTTAGTTCGCGCAGGCCGCCGCTTGTCGGGGAGTGTTCGCTTAACGGGGACCAGGGTGTTTGGTCGACTGGTGTCTCGGGTGGTTTTTCGGAAGCGGGTGTTTTTATGGAACGCAGTTCGCGGACCATTCGCTCTAGGCGTTGACGGTCGCGATAGCCGTCCTGGATGCGGCTGCGTGCTTCGCGGATTTGTTCGCGGAGGGAAGAGCCTTCTTGTTCTTGTTCGTCGATGCGGCGGGTGAGGTCTAGGCAGCGGCTGGATTCGACTTGGTGCATTTCTTTCCAACGGTGAAGATCATTGTGCAACTGTTGCTTTGTTTGGTCGTTTGTGGCGGATTCGGGTTGGGGTGTGGTATCGTCTTTTGCGCCGAAGCGTGCTTCTGCTCTGGTGAGGAGTTCTGTGGCTGCGGGATCCTCTTCAGCGCCTGAGCGCTCTTTGACATGGCGCAACAGCGATTTTGCTAGGGATTGGTCCTCCTCGCGCTCTTCCCGCTCCAGTTGCAGATTCCTACTGAGGTCTGCGTGTTGTCGTTGCAGGTCACTGAGTGCCATCAGCAAGTCTTCAATCTGCGTATGCAAGTCGCGGTCCTTGTGAGGCGCTGTTATGGCGGATTTCGCGCGCGGTTTTTGCGATGATTCCGCCGACAGTTCTGTCGGTGCTGTGCTGGCGTCGGATGCAGATTCAACAGAGTTGAGTGTGGAGGTCATACTCTGCTTCGACGTTGAGCGACGGATGGACGAGTTGGAGGTGCTGATGCGGTTGGGACTGAGCTTGACGGAATTGTGCGTGCTGCCGTTGGAGCCGGCCCAGAATCGGCCCAGGAACCGAGACGCCGCCTGCTGCATTTGAGGGAATGAGATGCCGGTTGGGACGCCTTGGGACTGGTTGTAGCTAGCTTCTAGGGTCTGCAGGCTTTCCTTGGTGACAAGAGAGGTGAGAGAGACAAAATCGTTGACCAGATCATCCGCATGGCAAGCATATCTATGCACGTTAGCCCTATTCCCTTTCAATCCATTAGACAACTTACGTATCCCACAAACTTCTTGACAGCAAAAGTTGCATAACGTCTTCGAACTCAGTGCAAGCCAAGATTCTCTTCTCGTTACGCTGCATCAAAGACAAAGCGACGCGCATCAACGTCTCACAAGCACCCTCGAGGAAGATGATATCGTAGATTCTAAGCAGCATAGGCAGCGGACAAGCGACCGCGAAGAAGGACAAGAACCACTGCGACACGTAAACGGGCTCGACATTGAGCGACTCGAGGTGGGCAAACAAGGTTGGGCTGTGGCGGGCGAGCAAGTTCTGGAATTGGTAGACATGAAGATGTAGACCTGAGAGATCAGGGAGGTAGCAGTTTCGCAGGTTGTAATGTTCCATCAGTCTAAAACGGTCAGTCAGACTTCAATTACACTCAGAAAGGACGACCCACCGAACCAAAACACAGAATGCCTCTGCGTCTGTCATGTGCATCAAGAGCGGACCCACGACAAACCCCAGACCCTGACAGTACCCAATCTTGGTGTCGTAAAGACTGAAACATTTCAGCACCCGCGCTAGCATCTGCTGTCCCTCACCATTGGGGTCGCGGAACATCTCGACATTGGGAAAACTCCGGCCAATATCTTTTCCAATCATGCCCTCATAGGGACTACTCTCACCACATAGTCGCTGGTACTCAGCCAGTAGATGTTGGTCTCTCGCGCCAGCCAAGCTGGGCCACACGACCCCTCGCAAGGGGGGCGGCACTCCGCTTCGGATCTTGTTGGTGGTCAAGGTCGGGAGACGCTGGGCAGTCTGATGATAATCGGATACCAAGGCGGCCCAGAACTCGAGTTCGGTCATGGGAGGGGCAGGAAGTTGGGAGTATCGGATGGATGAATGTTGCGAGTCGTCCTTGATCAGGCGCTTGATGTGGTGGAGAGATTGCGATCGTTTTTTGGTGTGAGAGGATAAGCCGGATTTGGGGTTTGTCGCCAACGCGTTATTTTCCTGTTCGAGTCGGGCTAGAAGTAGAGCCGTGGACTTATTTCGTCAGTACGATTCTCTCGGATTGAACACTGTGGATAGAATAGCACACCTCGTCGGCATCCTCTCCACGCGGTTCCTGTTCCTCAGTTCTGTCCAGCTCAGCCCAATCGACCTCGTCGTCCAACCCTCGATCACTGCATTGAGACCGTCTGGGGGAATTCCCGGTGTCGGATTTGGCGCCATTCTCGCTCTGGGTTGGTGACACGGCGTCGGCGGGTGTTTGGGGGATGTTGAGCGAGCGCCATTCGGGCTGGGTGTGTTCAGAATCAGACTGGACTTCAGACAGAGGAACTGTCACCATCGAATCGGTATTATTTGCGCCATCGTTCTGGTTGTTTTGACCGGTTGTTGTAGTCGCGGGTGTGGTAGGAGTTTGCTGGAGGGGCGCTGAGGTCGCGGCGGACGCGGAGTTGGAGGATTCCATGGTCGTGATTTAACGTTGACACAGGTACGACAGGAACATGAGGATAGCTGTAGGACTCTCTCGATGCGCACTAACAATACTCAATATACTTGTACGTAGTAGAGAAAGAGAGAACGGTTGAAAAGAAGAAGGGTTTCACCTCCTGATAATAGACTTTAGGGGATACAGAGTGTTATGGGGACTCCTAATAATTACTAGTCGAGAATCCGACGATCCTGTCAATAATGCCGGTCTGTGCATTCACTCGTTGTACATGGTATAATTATATCTGCCATCATCCCTGGGCTACTCTGTACTACAACATGTATATAGTCTATACTTGCACTTCTAGTTACTACTGGTGTCTACCTGAACTTGGCTCCGTACACAGTATGGATTCGGAGGACGTCGATCCACCGCGTTTGTCTGGTTCTGATCAGGGGGAGCCAAGGCGGATATTCTCCGTCACACTTTATGTACAGAGTACAAATACTCCGTACTCAGTCTAGACTTACAACTATTCACACCGTAACTTCTACAGTTTCAACGAAATTAGTACTATCGGTTATTGGCGCCTATTGGTTCATTCTATTTCCGTGCGTTTATTGGTGGTTACATGTCAAGTCACGAGATGCACTAACCCGATCGGGATATTCTAGAAAAAAACGGTCGAACAAAAGTACGTACCTTTAGTCTGGAGTATTACTAGTGTACTGTAGAACATACCCTGGAGTAAATCAATTACAGTGGTGCTATGAGTGAATACTGGCTAGGCGGCTCCATTAGTAAATTGTACTCCTCATAGTGAATGGTAGACAGCGCCCTGATCCATAACACGGATATATATCTTGACTCGCGTCGTTTCAACTGATCTCATGCGCAGTATGGAGACGGAGTACGGAGTATCTTGCCCAATTAATGTGCACTACCATTACTGTAGCCTTATCAGTAGCTATACCATCCCCATAACAACTGTGTTGAGGATAGACACTGATCTCCACAGAGTATGATATATAGGATGTTTTGACAACACCTTCCTCTTCGGGCCACACTGTTTGGAGATTTCCCCATCCGGCCAATAAGCGCCACAACGGTACGGAGCAATGTTTGTCCGTCTGCCATTGCCCGCAATTTTCGAGGCGCGTCGCAGCCCAAAGCGATCAACAATCAACATCCACAGCCGCGCTGCTGAGGAATTGGACTTTTAACGCCGGCTCCTTTGCTTCTTTCGCTCTGCTCGCTCTGTTGCTGAGCATGTGGAGCGTTGTTTGCGTCTCTTAGCTCATCGGAACGGTACTAACCATACAGGCTTTATCCCCTAAATCACCTCTTGCCTACGATCTCCTCACTACCCCTCCGTCTCTCTTTCTCCTTGGAGATCATCCTTCATCATGGATGACGACTCAGTGTTCGATGATTCCATCCTAAATGATGAAGAAGGATCTGACTTTGAGGAGCCCGCGCCGGTAAGTAACCCCAACATATCATGTGAATCGTGCCATGTACTGATGTTGTCGCGCTTAGAAACCCAAGGCCAAGCCCGCCCCCAAAAAGGCACCTGCCCAAAAGAAAATGACCCAGTCCACTCTCACCGGAAAGAAACCAGCGGCGAAATCAACCGCCTCAAAAAAGCGTGCCAAGCCAGACAGCGACGACGACATGTCCGACGGTGTACCCTCCGACGATGACGATGCCATGTC